GGTCTTTTGCCTAGATGGGTAGTAGGTAGGGGTTGTTTGCTTGCTTTCTTTTCTTGGGGGTATCTATAATATAGAGGAAGTATTGGTTTGGGTCTTTTGCCTATTTGGGTTGTAGGTAGGGGTTGTTTGCTTGCTTGGGGGTGTATGTGTGTAGGTATGCTTGCTTGCAGATATGTATAATATATGGTTCTATACTCTAGGTAGTAGTGGTGGCTGTTGTTCTATATGAATATACATATGAATGCATCTATGTATGCATGCATGGACGGACGGACGGGCGGGCGGATAGATGATTGAGTGGATGAATGAGTGGAGGTATATTTAGACATCAACGAAATACTACCTATTAGACGAAATAGATGAATTATACGAGCCCGGCCCCTCGCACACCCAATCAATTATTCACCTCGTAAACCCTACACACCTAAGCCCCAGGAGCACTGAGCGCGAGCACGATATAGTAATTCTACATCGCAGCGAGTGTATATCGCGGACTTCTTACCTACTATTGACTGTGATTAAGCTCAGCTCAACTCAGCTCGTAGAATGGGACTAGATCCGGTTAGGTGACTAGTTAGATAGGATATAGAAGGAAAGAAAACAGGGGCGAAGCGGTTAGCGATAGAATTCTAGATCTAGCTCTAGTTCTAGTCCGAATGTTGCATCTCATCTACACCTGCACATCAGACAAGCGGGCGGAAAGCAGGCTAGTGGTGATGGTTAGGTAGTTATCATCATGGTGATTGTTTACTTCCCACTTCCATTCCCAGTATTGTCTTTCATGTTGGATGGCATGATATGATGCGACGTGACTATGACATGGGTTTAATTGGTGGAGATAACCTCGACAGGGGGATCCTTGTCGATGAGCTGGCTGCTGGAGAATGCGTGCAGGTGCGGGGTGAATGTTATGTACATGTTGATTTGTTGGATGTTGGAATGCAGTGAGTAAATGAGGCTCCAGTGTTTCGCGCCGTTGGTGATGAGATTTGTTTTTCTTTTTTTTGGGGGGGGGAGGCTGGTTTGGGGGTTGTTCTTGAGAGGATAACTATGCACGGAGTAGCCGAGGAGGAAATATCTAACTTGTGGGATAATTTTGAAGAGCTGAGAGATGCACCGGGGAGATACTGTATAGGTGATAATTGCTCTGGATGATGACTGCACTGCAGGGGCGAGAAATAGTTAGCTTTAGTTACTTCATTCGGAAAGAGCAGAAGACTCTTGTCGCCGCGCGGGATCACTGCATTTACCTAAATAGTCTTCGCTTAGAAGTGTTAGCTCTTTTAGTGTAGTAGAGTATTTGTCATGATTCCTTTCCAAAGTCTCTTGGCTTGGATTTAATCAATATACATGAAGATAATGCAGTGGATAGTTGGAAAGGATGCACAGTCCTAAAGTACACACGCCGACTGTACAGTCCATGTCGTATTACTTTCACAAGTCCAATTGTAAATACGCTTCTTGAACCTGGGAAAAGCTCCACATGCGATACGGGGGTCATCAGCGCAGAGAGATAGCGACTCATATACGTTTATATTGAAGGACACAGTTTCTTCTCGACGTGTGTACATCACCTGTCAATCGAGGGCATCAGGCACGTGTACATGATCAAAAAACGCTCGGTCCAGTCCCTTGAGTTCCCAGTTCAGTCAAAGGAAAACGCTCGAGCTGCATCGCTGTAGTTAGAAAGGCCACGAAGAGGACTGGATCAAACAATGGGAGTTAGTTTCGTCTCCGCTTGTCAGAGTCAGGCACCTGCTAATGATGTGCAGAAGAAGGGAACAAATGTCGATATAGAACGGAGCGGAAGGAGAAACGCGATTGATAGACACAAGAAGTAATAGACACTAGACGTGTGGAAGCTGTTATTTTGTCTTGGGGGTTTCCATTCTGACACCATGTCTTCTACTTGGGGTTTACTCGTTGAAAGTCAACCTGCTTCGTTCGGCAAAGCGCCTGTATACTGTAGCTGATCGGTCCATAATTAAGCCTTCATCAGGTTAGAGTCTTGACTGATTGTTTGATTGGACGAGTGTCTTTCAATCACGGCGTTGAATTCGTAACAGCAAGTTTACCACCAAACTGGCCTTTCTTGATGCATCCGAGACAATTCACTCATCTTGGACTTGATAGCGTGCGTTCAATGGGGGTGTGGATCACAACTCTCCTTTGATGAAGACTGAGCACTCAGCGCAGAACGAGACAGAAGACACTGAAAGTCAGACCTCAAAACCTCAGCTCACACCGTGAAAGCTACTGAGTGAATCCAACAACGAGAATAGATTCGAGAGTACGACCATCTTATACCTTGTGTTCATCGGAATAAAACCTGCTGTGTACTTTATCGTGGCAAAGCTTACTGTTCGAGATGGGTTTCATATAATGGCAAGCCCTGTGGATGTCTTCTCGAACGTATGAGCATGGGATAAGAGAAGACATCGCTGAAGGATAGATTGATATTGACCAAGGATTCCCGTCGTTTCCTGCCATGTAAACGCTGAGACTATGGGTTGAAGAATGATTTGATTGTTATGTTGAATTTTTCAGCTCCTTATAGAGGAGACATATGGATCAGCAAAGATTTTGAAGAACCAAGATTAGGCTGGAGACGATTCTCCTGAAAGTGCATGGTTGTTTCCCGGCTTCTCACGTTAACATTGGGAGCGAAATCCATGATATTCGTATCTTCGTGTTGTTTATGAAGACAGGTACTTGGGAATTCACACAAATAGACGCAGAGAGACAGACTTACAGACAAACAAACAGAGGCGGTATAATCAAGTCCACAGCCATCAGTATAACACTCACCTCAGTATTCTCAATGCAATGACAACACGGCCTAATTATGCCCTAATAGTTGCATCTGATACTCTAGGCAGGATCAACATGGACATTTCTGGTGTTCAATCCGTGCCCTTGTCATTTCGGAATGACCAAACATTCCAATCAAGTCGAAGGTGGTGAGTTGTATGCACTAGCATATTCTAGACAGAAAGTATCACTCAACTGAATAATGATGATACAAAGGTTAAACGATCCGGGGTGGATTGATCTTCAATGCAAGAAGAAGCCGGTGAATTCTCCGACCTAATCGGGCTTTTGTATGTCTATCGTTGTTTGCCTGACCTGATCGAATCCGGGGAAAATAAAATTGAAATGGTTATGACTTGATCACAATAGACTCGATCGACTAATTTCCTGGATAGATAGTGACTCTGTGAAGATCGATGGCTTTGCATCACCAGATACTCGAATAGTTCGGTTCAAAGGATCGATGAACTATCAACTGATTAATAGGCACTAGTTATTCAATCGACCAATTGCCATCGACACAAATACCAGAACCGTGCTAGCACGACGGTGAAGAATACAATGTATCCTATCTGCACATCAGCAAGAACCAAAACAACCAGGAAGAGAAGTAAAGCAACACCGGTATATAGACAAGCCGTCGCATCTAGAACAGCAAGAAATCAAGAGACGTTCCGACACAGATCCTCAAATCCAACACACAGGACCTAGAGGAGCGTGTGAGGGGTCGTGTTGCTTTCCTTGCGCGCCTGGTTGGAGACTGACTGTAGGTACCGTGGGTGGGATCAGCTGCGTCCATCAAGTTGGTCGATCCTCGACGTGCAGGACGATTAGAGACGGGGCACATGAAAGCAGTTTGGGAGCGAGATGTAGTAACTTCGGCGATACCGTGAAGCAACCATGCATCTCCTACCGACCATAGAGACATAAGTCATGAACAGAAGGATGGAGATGGATTAGACAGATCTAGATCGATCAGTCTCTAGTCGCTGTATCAGAGACATCTCATGAGGCATGAAAATGATTCGCTGCGCTGGACATGCAACTTTAATATTCAGTCACTCAATGTGAAAGACCGAGTAGATTAGTCGGCGATGGTAAAAGGGTGCATTCATCAATCCATTCCAAGCCGAAAATTGCCATGAATGGATTTGGGCGGCGAATGTAGAGGGTAGATGACGAAAGGAGGATCGGTTGTAGGGGCGTAGTCATCGCTAGGCATGGTCGCGTGATCAAGGAGGATTGTCAAGTTGCATGTTGAGTACTGATAACCTGTTCATAATACTGGCAACATCGTCATTAGATATGTATTTTCGATGGATCACCCTCAGGCATCAATCTCCACAAATAGTTCAGTGGTATCCATTCATTCCTCACATTAACTACAGACCTATCCATCATCCTACTTACAGTTCCCCAAAGCAACCAACACATTAGGGAGATGGTGATGGAGCCAATCTCGGCAAACAAAAGCATAAGAGAAAAGGAAAGGAAACCGCGGGGAAATTCCCCGGCTGAAACGCACAAAAGGTATGAGAATAGAAAGGAAACATATAAATAAAGAAATATCAAATGTCCCACGAGACGGAATCTCAAAGAGAACACTCAACCCTCAAACGCCTTTTGAAGATACAAAGATCCCTGACTGACATACCTCAGGTCCAAACCCAGTAACGTAAAGCGCTTGACCTTCCAAAGATACCCTCGGTGGCAAGTAGAATACAATGTCATAAGAGGAATGCCACGTGATGGTCATTCCAGCGTCGGAGGACGGAAGCATCCATTTCCAATTATTAGCTTGAGCTTCGAAGAGGAAGTGTATCGACAACCTCCGAGTCGGCTCGTGATTCACTTCGCTATCTCGGATCATAGATCGAGATGATTGAATGCGTGGCAATTTCAGGGTCAAATGGCGTTCACAGGTAAATAGTTCAATTTGATAGCAAGACATCGTTGTTTGTCCGCTGGGTGTTTTCCTGGATATCGCAAGGTCGCTAAAAAGAAAAGAGGAACACATGGTGGAGATATCAAATATGAAGTGAGTTCGGAAATAAAAGGTGTGACTGGAAGTACACAGAAATGGTAATAAAAATGAAGAAGAGAAAACATCCACCGATTGTTGTTGTATATCGGAAATGTCGGATCGTACGGCCCAGGCCTTATGAGTGTTCGCGTGCATGTCGCCTAGGCTAATGGCCGCGATCAGGGTTGGTCACCTAAATTGAATTAGCATGCTTCTAGTGACAACCCCTGTATAGGTGAGAATAATTACCTGCAAGATCCGACGCGAAAAGTCCTGATCATCATCAATGCTACCATTGCTTTGTCGCCTCTGCGCCATGAAGTCACCGTCAAATCGGGAGTCAGACATGGAGCTCTGAGACATAGGTTTGCCACCGTAGTTGTCGACACCAACGCTGCGACGGTATTGGTTCTCGGCTGCCTTGCGGCTTCGGAAACGCCAGAGGAAGAAGATGGCGCCAACCAGAGCACAGAACCCAACGACTCCGACGACAACACCAGCGGCAATAGCGGCAGTGTTCGGACCCGAGTCCTTCTTGTCTTCCTTGTTTGTTTCTGCAGCGGCCTCGGCACCCGTTTGACTTGCCGACGTAACGAAAACCGTATGTCCCGCCTTTGTGCTCATATGACCTTGCTGGGTGGTAGTTGACGATTCGCTGTCGGTACTCGAAGACGTGCTCGAGGACGAGGATGAAGACGAGGAACCTTCTTTGTCGACATTTTGCTTGAGACCTGTGAGGTAGACGGAGTACGCCTCCTTGCCACCACCTGTGCAAAGCACGTTAGTAATGAGAATTCGCCGATGCTGAGCTTTCGGGCCGTAGCGCAACAAAACAAGGACAGGAACATACACTTCACATCGGGCCAACCAGCACAGTCCTTGTCACAGTTGCTATCGGAAGTCTTATCCGAGTCGGACGGCAGTTTGTTTCCGCAGAGACAGTGCGTTCCTCCAGTCAGGGCGAAAACTGAGTAGTTGTCATCCAAACAAAGTTTCTGGCAGTATCCGTCACTCTGATATGTGTAGGCGCCCTGGTCTTCGAGGGACCCGGCACTGCTGTAGCAACCCTTGGACACTTCGTCGGCGGCATTCGCAGCTGGCAAGCTGACGGCGAGCAATAGAGCCGAAAGGGCAGCCGCCGACCGAATCGTGAATGATTTCATGTTGTAATAAGTCGTAGAGGGCGAGGAACGTTTGTTAAACTTCAAGTGACTGGACACCGGGCTCCAGACACAAGTCGTGTCGAGGTGGTAGTGATCGAGCGAAAGGAAAACAAGGGACGACCCGCGTAGCCCTTCAGGAATCCCGTGATGAATTCCCAATCCTTATTGTTGTTTACTTGGCCCCCGAAGGAATTTAGTCGACTCGGTCGCAAGAGTGCCGATTCGAGTCGAGTCGAAGAAAGTCGCCTTTGACGAAACGGCCTTAAGGGGAGGCCGGGTAGGACAAAGGGCGGGTAAGGGGGAGGAGAATGGGTGTCCAAAGACGAGGATTGTCGACGGCGAAAAGGGTCGATGAACACAAAAGGATTAGGTACAGGATAGTACACGGTAGTGATAGGTAGGGGAAAGGAATGTTGAATTGTTCTGGAGAGAGAGCGTCCCTGGCGGGGAAAGACTCAGAGGACCGGCCGTTTCAAACCCCCCTTTCTGCCGGGAGGGAGTTTAATGAGCGTCCTGAACGGGCAACGAGGACGCGAGCCACAGAAACGGGCGGAAAAAATGGAGGGCTCTGATTTTGTTTACTGGTTTTTATTGAATTATCGGTGAATTCTGGACGAAAGAGAACAGACCCCCACCAGAAAGGGAACAGTAGAGAGAGAGACAGAATAGAAATAAAAAATAAACGAGGGATAAAAAAAAAAGAGCGAGCGTCTTTTTCGGTCGGCAGGTGGAAAAAGGGAAAATCAAGGAGCGGAAGGGGAAAGAAGGAGGGAATGAGAGACTTGGGAGCGATTGACTGATGGACCGACGTGACGGACTGCAGAAGGGGAGGGCAGGGATGCGATTAAGCGACGGGCGTAAGGGCTCCGTCAGTGGTAACTACCTTACGGAGTAACGTCGAATCCCGTCTGGAAGAGTAGGTATTGTTATTATTCTTTTACTACCTACAGAGTAAATACTGCTGTGTACTGTATACATTATTATGATTATCAACAGGATGCGCAATCCTCCCCTCCCCCATACCGTTTTTGCTTAAAGACGGTGGTTCCCAAACGGAGCGTGACCCTGGATGTGCAGGCCGGTTATTTACACATCCCGCGTACCACCTCGGGCAGCCCAATCAGAGCGACACAAACCATGACATAAGCCACTCATCCAGGGGCACGGCGAATCTGTTCCACTTTGGGACAACCGGGCGGGCTGGGAGGAAGGCACCATTCCCAATTGGGCCGTCGGGGTGGGTGCGATGCTTTGTGGCGGCGCTACTCCGTACGGTGTCTTATGAAAAAGAGGGGGCGTACCTGTACCGAGTATTGTACAGGATGCGACCTACACGTAGGTGTACTGGGTACTCTATCAGGTCATTCATCTTAACCGGGTAATCCATATCATCCGAGAAAGGTCCGGTACGGTCGCAATCCTCCGTGCAGACTACACCGCACACAATATGCGCACTCGAGCACAAGCAGACCGGACAAAATACGGATACATAATATCATCACAATTGTCCGACCATGCAAAACCTGTTGGACGGTGTATGCCACTGTGCCACAGCTGTACCCAGAAGTGGTCTTACTAGTTTATACCGGTCCTTACTTTAAGCGACATAAAGTACCCGCGAGGAAGCTGCATTTGGAGCAGGTTCCTGGATACCTGCAGCGGACGAACTCAAATCCAGACGATAAGGATCATAAGGTATGAGAGCCTTGACTCGACAGCGTCATTGTGTGCGAAACTCTTTCTTTACAGTGGAAACTGGAAGATGACCGAGGAGTGGCAAGTGAGACCCAGGCAGCGCTTGTCTGGCAGAGTTGAGCCCCCCGGCGGCCTTTTTTGATCCTGAGCTGCAGCTGCCCGCCAATCAGGGGGGCGATCATCGGGGCAATTACGGGGCCTGCGACCCGTGTTGGCTCGAATTTTGGACATGTGGGAGTCTGGGAGACGGATTCCTTTGACATGTACGGAGTACTCTCTGTGAACTGGTAACTATTATAACCTACCCAGAATCCTAACCAAGAAAGAATCAGCAATGCTAAATTTACTCCGTGCGACAACACCCAAACAATGACTTCAGTTCCTTTGGGGAATTGTCCATGGGTAAAAAACGGACACTCCCGGGATCGGTGGACCTGAACTGGATCCTGACGAATGTAATGGATTCCGCGTAATCTCAGTACGGCGTTGACTCAGCGGACGGACCTCCTGAGGGATGTCCCATGTTCTGTTCTTCCGGTCTGCGTCCCCGGAATAAGAATCTAGGCAACTCGCCTCGCTCATGCAGCATGAGCATGGTGCACGTAAGAGAAAAGCAAAAGATCGCCTCTTCCGGCGACAAACTACGTCCGAATGATGCTATTCATGTGAACATTGCAGCCGGCGCTTAGGTATGGTCACATGGAGACATACCAGCCATCCTCATCCACATTCGCAACAGAGCATTCAGATCTTACGACTCTTCGGCATGTCGGAGGGGAAGGTGGAAAAGAGAACCCCGGCGAACTACCGCCAAGCAGCGCCCTAATTATTGACACATGTCCCTTGCGAAGGACGATCGTCGCATGTCACGGCGGCTAGAGAATTTATGAACAAGTCAGTCATCGACCGGGCATGCGACACGTCTTCCTTCGTTGCGTGTTTCTCTGTCGTTGCTGTTATGCTTGACTGAGAATGCCAAATAAGCTTATCTGGGACTTTGTTTCACGTTGGAAGGCGAGTACGGGGTACTCGCGACTCAACTACCTATGAAGATACTACGGTATACAATAAACTGGGTATCTTTCACCGGATAACATCGGCGCAAGGAGGTGATCATTCTATTACCTACCTACCTAGTCTCGCAGCGATCCGTACACGTTGTCGCGTCGTTCCACGGCAACAGGAATGAATCATTATTTCCATACGGCTTGTGGCCATCGTCCAGACGAAAGTTCGCCCAGCTGCCAGGAACACGAACGACGTAACTCGCCAACCCGGGCATACTACAGTACTAATAATAAGTTCATAACACTAGTTACGGAGTAATACTAATGAACTTTCCCACCATTCGAGACGACCGTATCGTCGGACCTCGACGGGCCACGTCGACCGGGGTCTAGAACCTGTCACGACCCACGAGAAATCATGTCAGCTCCCACGGCAATTCTGGAAAATACACGCCGGCTTCGAGGCTAGCAAGAAAGCAGAATTAGCAAATGCTACCGAGCACCCAGGCCCGTTCGTTTCCAGGATTTCCGTCTGCCAGTCTAGAGTCTAGACTCGAGACTCTGGCTGGACTGACTGATCAACGGTCTGTCGCCTCACCGATTCAAATCGTGCCTGAAAATTGAGATGTTTCCAATGAGCCTTGTAAGGTGCAAGAGGCTTGTCGTCTGGAACGATATGTTTGCATTCGTAAGATCTTGATTGGGTTGGGTTATCGGCACGAGTTTCCGGTGCTTGTGCCTGGTTTGTCTCGTTTGTTTCTTGCAGATCTGATATCATATTCGATCTGTTCCATATGGTTCATTCGAGTTCTACTCCGTACGATTTTTGTCGTAGGATGTCACTTTAGATCTTGATTTAAGCGTGACATCTCGTGTTCTCGACCCGAGTCCAAGACCCGGAAATACATGCGATGCGGTCTTCTGGATTTGCATCTTTTGTGACGCACGAGAGCTATGATCATACACCTCACCTAGACACCCATTGGGGGTCTAGGTCATCAATATGATTTGCACTATCTTCGCCTCATCGACACCATAGGGTCAGGTGACTCCAGGTTTGAAACTAATTTGTAGATACTCTAGATATTGCGCAAGAACTAGAGGTATATTCAACTTCAGGCAATTCCCGCGTCAATGGAGGCTACGGGGTTAACTCTTCCTCGCGGTAAGTCATCTGCAACCTATTAACCACCGAGAGTTGTCTCTTCTGCATACAACTGCTAGCAAAGTTCCCTCCCTCCCTGGAAGAGAAGGAGTTATACCTCCTTCCCCTCTCGGTGGAGACCGCTCCTCTCCTCTTCCTGCGTAGCTCTCTGCATGGCCAACCCCTCATTCTCTCTCTCTCTCTCCCCCGCTCGCGGGGCAAGGATGTCCGCACCTCAATTTCGTTTGGGTTTGAGAAGAGGGACATTGCAGACTTTTTTTGCAGGTTTCGTGGCATTATACGGAGTACCGTGCAAGAAAATTGTTTGAATTGGCGATGATTTTGCAATGGCCTATTCTTTTTGCACTCGTAGCGTACAACATACTGTAGATAGATATCCACGAGTAGTTACGTTTACTTGACACGATAAAAAAAAAACCACGGATATCTTCAATCTATACGTTCTCATTTCCTGTCCCACTAAATGCTTCATATCCACTATCGCTATGTTTTTTTTGGTAGGCTTTTCTCTCTTTATATACGCTCGTGAACTTGCTCTATCAAGAAAGATACCCCGAATCCAGGCCTCGGATTCCACCAGTCATTGTAGACTCTTCAGGGCTTAGGGATATGTATGGACTTGCTGACCATCAGGCAGCCGTGCAGGACGAAAAGGAGCACCACGGGATGGAATTCAAAGATCGTGCCCTGCGCGACAAGACCCAGCGGCAGGTCCTCCTGGATCCACCCCTTCGAGACCCAGTACGCCATCAAGGAAGCGATAGATAGTGTGGTGGGGATGGGCGTGCCTTCGAAATACTTCGATTTGCCGGACTTGTCCTTGGGCAAGACGGCGACCGTCACGTTGAATCGTGCCAGCCGGGTCAGACCGCAGAGGACAAAGAAGGCAAGCAGGAGATGGTCCAAAGACGTGCGAGCTCCGAGCGCGAATGCGGCCGCGGCGGGCGCCATGCCGAAGGAGATCTAAAGCGGAGATAGAAAGATTAGTAAATTAGATTGGTGTTTTCGAATGAGGAGAAAGGCCTACCAAATCTGCCAGAGAGTCGAGTTCTTGTCCCATAAGAGAGGACTTCTTCCTCCACCGAGCGATCTTGCCGTCCATAAAATCGAAAAATAGCCCGAATGGCATGAAGGCGAGGGCGGCCCAGATGGCACCGTGATCAGAGGGGTCTCCGAGGCAGTACCGCATGGACGAGAGGACTGACATCACTATTGAGCAGGTTAGTTTGGTAGGTCCGCGGTAAGGTTAGAACCAGGTCGGTTGAGCTTGCCTCCGCAAAATCCTACAAAGAAGAGTCAGCATGTTACCGAGTAGGGTTATTCAGAAATCCTCGAGTAATTACCATTGAGTTCGGTCACTAAATCGGCAAGATGCAAAGCCCTAGAGCGCGGAATTGAAGTGAGCAAATGATTCGATTAGCGTCGAGGGAAGATGGCGACTGACTTGATCATGCTGAAGTGGCCGGTCTCCGAAGACAGCAGCATCTTTTGCTTTTCTTGGCCTATAAAGGGTGAGCGCCAGGAACAGAGGGAATTTAGACCATCAGAGCTCACCACCGTCGCTCGCCTGCGGGACACCGCTATTCGTGGAATTGCTCGAAGACATGGCTGATGTCCGACGAGACATGCTCAATCGAAGAAAATACAAGGAAAAGGAGAGGGGAATCGATGTGGGTTCTGCCGTAACGCTTAAATGTCGAGCGAAACTGGCATGGATGACGTGGGAGAAATCGACGTAGAGGTTGGCAATGACTGTCGGAAGGGTGTGTTGACGGACAGGCGCACAGAGATTCTACGGCTCGGCATGTGCCGCCAGACGTCATTGCCAGGCGGTGTTTCTGCTGCGCCACAGCCACTACTACTAGCCACGGGAGAATCGGAGTATAGAAAAATCCGGTCCGATCTAATCCCCAAAATGTTCATGGATACGGAATACGACAATCCCAGCTTCTCGGTGGGCATTCTGGCAAGATACTCTATTCTCGTAAGACGTCCATTCAATGGCTGGATCTATTCTACAGCCTCTGCAGACAGGCAAATCTTTCCCTTTAGGATGCACAAGAATATCGAGACAAAAAAGTTCCTGCAAGAGCTCCCGTTTTCCCAAAACGCCGTAATAAGACAGTACTAAGCAAGACAGAGACTGTCTAACGTCCGCGGAAGCCTCCACCTCCACGGGGACCTCCTCTGCCACCCCTGAAGCCACCACCACCTCCTCTCGAGAAACCACCACCACCACCGAAGCCACCACGGCCTCGGGGGGCACCACGGCCACGAGGAGCGCCGCGTCCGCCGCCGCGTCCACCACGCATGGGTCCGCCACGGCCAGCACCACCGGCTCTCTTGGGCTTCGCAGCACCTGGAGAAGATTATCAGAAAGGTGCACTGAATATTGAGCAGGGGTAAGGGCGTGTTTGTTATCCTACCTGGAGGAGGCTTGGGCTTGGGAAGGAATCTAATTTCACACGGTTAGCAAGTGTATAGGCAGTAGCAACACGTAGCATGAAAGCATAACGTACTTCTCCAAAGGAAGGAGCTTATCGCCACCAATGTAGACCTTGTCACCGGGCTTGAAAGAGGTTGCGACAATTCCTTCCTGGGGCTTGATGGTGAAGTAGACCTGGTTGATAGGACCGAGAATCTCATCGACCTTTCCGATAGGGGTCTGCGACAGAACTTTGTTAATCCCTTTTGCCAACCGCCGGATTGCATATGATCGCATCTGGAATATATCATACCTTGTTCTCCAGGTAGATGGGGGCGTTGAAGTAGGGGATCTTGGGGTTGACAGATTCGCAAACCATCTCGCCTTCGGAAGCGTGCATGAACGATCCCATTTCTAGGTGTATATTAGCCGACCGTGCCATCCATAAACCATTCTATCCTCCTCATTTTGTTTTCGTGTATTCTTACCTAGGACCTGGGCAGGGGGGCCGAACGACTGTTGCTGGAAGCCTCCGCGGCCTGTCCGACGAAATTTTTCGTTAGCACGTTCCCTCATTCAAGTCTCGAACTTCCTGCATGGATTGCGACTCACCACGGCCGGCGAAACCGCCGCGATTAGCACCGGTGGCAAAGCCACCACGACCTCCTCCGCGAAAAGACATTATGGCTGCGATAATCGGTGTTGATCTGTATGAACGGAGCCCGGAGAAGTTTTCAAATGGTGGGAAGCTCGAAGCGGTAAAGTGTCGCTAGCCGCCAGGGCAGTTTTCTGTCACATGACTCACCGCCTTCGGGGCCTCACTGATCGGATTTGCATCCATCGATCTATTCCTATCCGAGTGCGAAGGAGTCATCGTGTCGCTGGTCCCCCTCCTTGTTCTCACGCCTCTGCTCCGACCCGTTTTCCGCTTTCCCCAGAAAAGTATCGGGATACAATCATGGCTTCCGAAGGCGCCAAAGACTTGCCCGTCCGGCCTGCAGAGGCTAAAGGTGGTGAGTTTTCTTGCTTCGTTCTTCTACCCCGCCAAATTTCTCCGAAGCCCCTCCTAATCAGATCAATGCGCCGATAGACTCGCTTCCCGACTTCATTATCGAGCGAAACAACCTCTTCGAACAACTGTGGCAGGAGCATCTTGAGGAGCTCAAGAACAAGCCTCACCCCGATATCAATGTCACCATCGACCTCGGAAACGGAGAAGTCTCGACGGTCGCTGCCAAGGCCTGGGAGAACACCCCTGCTCACCTGCTCAAGAACCTGCCCAAGGAGTTGAGTGCCAATGTGGTCATCTCCAAGGTCAACAAGGAGCTGTGGGATCTGGGCCGCCCGTTTGAAGGCGACTGCACGGTTTCTTATCTTCCCTTCGAACACCCCGAGGCACGGGAGGTTTTCTGGCACTCCAGTGCGCATTGCTTGGGTGAAGCCTGCGAGTGCGAATATGGATGTCTCCTCTCCCACGGACCTCCTACCCCCCAGGGTTTCTTCTATGACATGGCTATGCCTGACAAGTACGTTTAAATCAGATCAACTGGCGGCGCGGTAAAATCGCAATTTCGCTATCTGTTCCCACAAAGCTGACTTGATGAACAGCCGTGTTGTCAAAGAGGGTGACTGGAAGTCGCTGGACAACAAGGCCTCTAAGATCTTCAAGGAGAAGCAGAGCTTTGACCGATTGGAAGTCACGAAAGAGAACCTCCGCAAGATGTTCTCGTACAGCAAATACAAGCTGCATTACATTGAGAAGTTGGTCACTGGGGAGAAGAGCACCGTCTACCGTTGTGGTACCCTGGTGGATCTCTGCCGAGGCCCTCACATCCAGAACACTGGCAAGGTCAAGACCTTCAAGATCATGCAGGTACGAAAGTTGAACCCTATCTTGTGGAATGCTCACACTGACGATACGGCTCAAAGAACTCTTCCGCATACTTCCTGGGTGACCAGGCCAACGACTCCTTGCAACGTATCCGTGGTGTTGCATTCCCCGACAAGAAGCTGATGCAGGAGCATCTGAAGTTCCTGGAGGAGGCCGAGAAACGTAACCACGTGCGAATCGGCAAGGAGCAAGAATTGTTCTTCTTCGACGAAGTTTCTCCCGGCTGTCCCTTCCTGCTCCCCAACGGTACCAAGATTTTCAACGCTCTGCAGTCTCTTCTGCGAACGGAATACCGCAAGCGAGGCTACCAGGAGGTCCAGACCCCCAACATGTACGACGTTGGCATCTGGAAGACCTCGGGTCACTGGGCGCACTACAAGGATGACATGTTCAAGCTCGATGTCGAGAAGCGAGAATGGGCCCTGAAACCCATGAACTGTCCCGGACATTTCGTACTTTTCGGCCACCGTGAGCGGAGTTACAGGGAGCTCCCCCTGAGAATTGCCGATTTCGGTGTCCTGCACCGAAACGAGGCCTCGGGAGCCCTGAGCGGTCTTACCCGTGTCCGGAAGTTCCAGCAGGATGATACCCACATCTTCTGTGCTGAGGATCAGGTAGGTTAGCTCCGAGTTCGGTGGGCAGTACCGTATCATTCAGACTAACCTTTCTCTGTTGTAGATTGCCCAAGAAATCGAGGGTCTGTTTGACTTCCTGAAGTCTATCTATGGCCTTTTCGGATTCACCTTCAAGCTGAAGCTTTCCACCCGCCCCGAGAAGTACCTTGGTGAGCTTGAGACCTGGAACTACGCCGAAGAACAGCTGAAGGCCTGCATGACCAAGTTCATGGGCAACGACTGGACCATTGACGAGGGTGACGGTGCTTTCTACGGCCCTAAGATCGATATCACCATCGCCGACGCTCTCAAGCGAGAGTTCCAGTGCGCCACCATCCAGCTTGACTACCAAGCCCCCATCAACTTCAAACTTGAGTACATGACCAACGAAAAGGGCGAGAAGGTCCAAGTGGCCACCGAGGATGAGCAGAAGGAGGGCCAGAGCAAGAGCAACGAGCTCGGACCGGGCCGTGCCCGTCCCGTGGTCATCCACCGTGCCATCATTGGTAGCTTCGAGCGATTCCTGGGTATCTTGATCGAGCACTTCGGTGGCAAGTGGCCCTTCTGGATCAGTCCTCGCCAGATCCTGATTGTGCCCGTCATGCCCGCCGTTAACGACTACGTTCAAGAGCTGCAGGAGATCCTGCGGGGTGACAAGCTGAACGTCGACATCGACATCAGTGGCAACACCATGCAGAAGAAGATCCGTACTGGACAGCTGCAGCAGTACAACTTCATCTTCGTTGTCGGTGCCTCGGAGAAGGAATCCCGCACCGTCAACATCCGCAACCGTGACGACCCTGCCACCCAGAAACAGGGCGTTATGATCCCTCTTGAGGAGGCTCGTGCCAAACTCAAGGCTCTGCGCAAGGAGCGCAGACTGGTCAGCTCTCTGTAGAGTTCTTGTTTCGTTTGCCAAAGATTTTGCATGAATACACCACAGCATTTTGTTTCTTTTTCTTACCTATTTTTTATCCGACGTGGTCATGGGAGTTCGTATTGAATCTTGATATATCCTGCCAGAAATAAAAGTATGCCGGTTGATTGATGAAGCGATGAGATTATGAGGGTGACGGGTTGATGCTACCTTTGTGCTAGCCTGGTAGAGTAGTAGAGTAGACAAATCATACATTGGTTAGGAGACGAACATCATCTACCTTTCTAAACCACCACTAGTATCCTCCCTCTTCCTACTAAGCTTCTAGCTCTATTTCCCTACCCCATCATCCTCTCAATCACCTCAGCGCTGCCCAACCACATGCGGTTTTTTTCGGGAGAAAGAGTAGGAAGGTCTCTGGGAGGTTGCTTATTAGAGCGGATGCGAGGGGGACTAAGACAATACCTTAGTGTCTGGGTAAGAATGTAAAGAGCGAGATAACCTGCTGGTTGATTGACGAGGGGGAAATTCGTTATCTTGCATGCATGAGAGACCCTTGATATATTCTGTACTCCGTAGATATCCTGTAAATGTCCAGAGACATCTTCGATTGAATTAGGGCTTGGATACCGCCACGTGGTGAACCACACTCCATCGCAGAGATGCAGGATTCGAGAGAATTAGATTGAAATCTCAATCTCATGCATGCCTATATTATTTAATATGTATGCGTAGTGCATGATGCAGAAACATATGTATGTACATACAGTGTTGGCGCCGATCTCTAGAATCAATTGCCGAAGACTCGGAAGAGATCCTAAGAGTTAAGACAAACCCTTCATACACTCAACATTAGGACGCCGAAGGATTTAATTCAACCATGGATTGACCCTTGATAGCATGACTAGAATGCTGACGAGCCATGGAACCGCGAAAGGCATGGAGACGCGCCGATCAAATTAAGCGGAACCCCCTTCACGTTTCATCTTTGCCTCTCGCTTTTCTCTTTTCCTGTCGGTGAGCAACTAATTAATTACTATTAGTCTGCTGACGGGCAAGGGATACTTGGGGCTTTCTAGACTTCGGTCTCCTGCAGCTCCAGTCTGTCAATTGATTTCCCCATTGACCGGTTCTTCGCTGTTCAGACGTTGCCCGGAGAATCAGTCATGTCTTGGTCGCGATGCAGCAACTCCACCGTCACTTGCTTCAACTGCGCCAAGCGACTCTGCTGAGGCTGATTGCTTTGACGGCGACCTTCTTCATCGTTTGTACTGCCATCTCCTTCCTATATTTACATGACAGCACCGTCGGCCCCGTCCTCGATGCCGGAGTGAATCCGTCGGTCCCTGCCGGCGAATTCAACGGCACCTGCTACGTCGACCTCGACGTCCTCCGATCCTACACCAATGCCTCCGCGGTGGAGTACGCGCGCTTGGAAATCGCCGTCGCACCGACTCCCAATTTCACCAACTTCTCCGACTCCCTCGATGTTTCCTTCCCTGCATACCACCCCGTTCACCTGGATACCGAGAGAACACGCGAAGGCGTGCCCGAAGAAAAATGCTCTACGTCCCTAACAATCCCTGGCCCCGTGGCAAGTGCCCCGGTCAATGCGTCGCATCTGATCTTCGGCGTGGCGACTTCTATTGAGCGACTACATAACTCCCTGGACGCATTTGCCCACTGGGCGGCGGGTACGGGCGCACACATCATCGCCGTGGTCGATGAAGGCGGATCGCTGCGGACTCAGACGGAGGAGCGGGCCACGCAGTTGGGTCTGCGTCTGACGATTATCCAAAAATGGGACGAGGAGGTGCTGGACCGATACTTCTCGCTGGTGCGCATTTTCCTCGAACACCGCGACGCGTCGACCCAATGGGCCGTCCTGATCGACGACGATACTTTCTTCCCGTCCATGCAGAACCTGGTCGACCGGCTGGCCTCCTACGACGCCACACGCCCGCAGTATATCGGCGCGCTCTCCGAAGACATGTGGTACCTATACCTGGCCGGCCACATCGCGTACGGCGGCGCCGGGGTCTTCCTCTCTTTACCGATGGTGGAGCGACTGGACGAGGTCTTCGACGACTGCTATCTCTTCAAGGGCGCCGGCGACGGCATGATCGGACAATGCATCTACGCGCACACGGATACCAAACTCACGTGGGACCGCGATCTCCACCAGGTCGACCTGCGCGGCGACGTGTCGGGGTTCTACGAGTCCGGGCGGTCCCTTCCGCTGTCCCTGCACCATTGGAAGTCCTGGCATCATACCGACGTCGCCGCGCTGGGCAAGGTGGCCGCCGTGTGCGGCTCCGAGTGTCTGCTGCACCGCTGGCAGCTGGCGGACGGCTGGTACCTGATCAACGGGTACTCGGTCATTCAGTACTCGCGCGAATTTCTCGACCCGGCGGCGATGGAGCAAACGTGGGATGACAGCAAATACGAAGGGTCGAACCCGTTCGCGTACAGCTTGGGACCGCTACGGGGCAAGGACCATGAGAAGATTTCCTTCCGACTGAAGGAGGCCATTGCAGACGGCCCAGACCGGGTGCGACAAATCTATTTGCGCGAGCGAGGCGAGACCGAAGCTCCTCAGGTCTTGGAGGTGGTCTGGAACCGAGCGTCATGAGCGTTCGGCAATCCGTGCGCGGAAATGAGAAACAAGCCACCGTGTTTTCAGGAGCTCCGGGCAATTCTCTGCAGAGCTTGGGATCATCCTGGCCTCGTCATTCCCTCGTTTTCTGGCGTTTATCAGTGAATCTCATTAATCTCATAGTCGGCAGGTTTTCTCCACTGCGGGGCCTCAGGTATCGAGCCTTCTATCGCTTTGGGACCCGGATTGAAGGTACTCGAAGGAATTCCGAACAGAACAAGAAGCTAGATGGGTAGATAGATAGATAGACAGATGACACGATGTCTTTTAGACTCTGTCTCTGCCGAAATGAAGATATGAACGACCGCAAAAGAACAATGTAATAGGCAACCAAGGTCGAACAAAAGCCACGGTGCGATCTGCGGTGGATTGCAGAGAGGAAACGATTAATTAAAGGGTTAATTAATTCGAGAACATCCACCGGGAGTGTCTCGGACTCTCCATCGATATTAATATTATGATAATATTCATAATCCGGATGCTGTCAGTCTGTCAGTCTGTCAGTTGCAACGTGAAACTAAACTAAACTGCGGGGCTGCGGCGGTTCCGTCTTTCAATCACCTTCTTTTCTCCTCGTCCCGGCGCCTACTGACTATTTCTCATTGTTCCTCCTGCATCCCTCTAGGTTCATCACATCCAGAGAAAAAGTGAAATCTAGACAAGCGCATCTCCTCATCCCACAAAGAGAGGGTGGACACAACAGCACCGCCACTGTCATCACCGTCTCCCCCTCCTCTTCTCCTTTTTCCTCGCTCCCATCTTCCCTCTTCTTCTCTTCTTCCTGTCTCTTCCTTTTCCCCCGCCTTCCGGTTTAATCGCCTCATTACCTAGCGACAATGTCTGATTTGCAGGGTCGTAAGATCTTCAAGGTCTTCAATCAGGACTTCATCGTCGATGAACGCTACAATGTGACCAAGGAGCTGGGTCAGGGCGCCTACGGTATTGTCTGGTGCGTCGGTCCTTCGTGTTTGCCTGCCTGCGGATCACTAGATCAGTAATGCTAACCCCTCCTCTTCTTTTACGACAGTGCCGCCCAGAACACCCAGACCGGCGAGGGTGTCGCCGTCAAGAAGGTCACCAACGTCTTCAGCAAGAAGATTCTGGCCAAGCGCGCTCTGAGAGAGATCAAGCTGCTTCAGCACTTCCGAGGCCATCGCAACGTCCGTTTGAACCCCGCTGTCGTCGCCGAGTTGAAACTGACCCCGATGGCCTGCAGATTACTTGCCTGTATGATATGGATATTCCTCGAGCGGATAACTTTAACGAAACGTATCTCTATGAAGGTGAGAGAGAGTGTGTTCGGACGGACTTGTGCATCTGATCGAGATCGGTGGTAGCTGACGTCCGACGCAGAATTGATGGAATGTGATCTGGCCGCTATCATTCGCTCTGGACAGCCCTTGACCGACGCCCATTTCCAATCTTTCATCTACCAGATCCTCTGCGGCCTGAAGTATATCCACTCCGCCAACGTGCTGCATCGAGACTTGAAACCCGGTAACTTGCTGGTTAATGCGGACTGCGAGCTCAAAATCTGTGATTTCGGCCTGGCTCGTGGTTTCTCGATCGACCCGGAGGAGAACGCCGGCTACATGACCGAATACGTTGCGACTCGGTGGTATCGTGCTCCCGAGATTATGCTGAGCTTCCAGAGCTACACCAAAGCCAGTGCGTTTTCTTCTCTAAAAATTAAAATCGGTCCATACTAACCACTCCTCTAGTTGATGTGTGGTCCGTCGGATGTATCCTGGCAGAACTCCTCGGTGGACGGCCTTTCTTCAAGGGCCGCGACTACGTCGACCAGCTGAACCAGATCCTGCACTACCTCGGCACCCCCAACGAGGAGACTCTGGGCCGCATCGGATCCCCCCGGGCCCAGGAGTACGTGCGCAACCTGCCCTTCATGCCCAAGATTCCCTTCCAGCGGCTGTTCCCCAGCGCGAACCCCGACGCGCTCGACCTGCTCGACCGTATGCTCGCGTTCGACCCGACGTCACGAATCTCCGTCGAGGAGGCCCTGGAGCACCCGTACCTGCACATCTGGCACGACGCGTCGGACGAGCCGACCTGCCCGACCACTTTCGACTTCCACTTCGAGGTCGTCGAAGACGTGGGGGAGATGCGTCGCATGATCTACGACGAGGTGGTGCGGTTCCGGTCCGTCGTGAGGCAGCAATCCCAGGCGCAGGCCGCCGCTGCCCAGCAGCAGCAGATCGCCCAGCAGACCAACGTCCCCATCCCGGAGAACCAGCAGAGCGGCTGGAAGCAAGAGGAACCGAAGCCTCAGGAGGCGCTGGCGCCGAGCGGTGGCCATCCTAACGATCTGGAATCGTCGCTGGCCCGTGGAATGGACGCACACCGATAAACCAACCAACAAACAAACTGAAAAAGAAAAAAAAACAAAAACACCAGGAGATGAAATAAAAGATCGGAATGTCATTTCCATATCCTTTCTGTTCTTTTCTGGTATTCTCTTGGCCCCTACCTATATCATATCCATATCCAGTTTGGTGGTTATTAAGTAGAAGAGGTATTAGCGAGTAACTATAGCATGAGATAGTGTATTTTCTTTTGTTTTTGTTTCTATATCAGTCGATTAGTGTGATGATGACGAATGATTTGTTTTGTAAGGAACTGCTCGGGATGTCACTATCTTGAAGTCGGTTCTGGAATGAATGATTGACTATACGCAGAGAGACAAACCAAGTGGATAGTCAATGAACATATCATATAAGAACACTACTTATATGCTGTATAAGAATCACAGTTCATTGGCTCCGACTGACCAACTTAACTGGTCGGATGGTCTTACATTAATTTAACTGAAAAGATGTAGAAATGAAAGGTGACACTAGCGAAATGATTTATTGTCTCAATGACTAGCAAAGTCTATCTAGTTCCGGCAATGATGCTAACAGCAAAGAATCCATAAGATAAGCAAAGGTAAAAGTAAATTAAATCCATCCATCCATCCATCCATCCAGAGGGAATCATCATCAATCGTCAATCATATGCAACGGACGTGGACATGGGCATCATCCATCCTAGGGGGTAGGTAGACTGATAAGGAAATGACTGTGGATGCTGATAAAATGCCATGAAGTCCAAAGGTCAGGTCCAGGTGCAAATCCAGGTAAGAACAAACAAACAAATAACAATATAAATAGGGCCATCCAAATCAGATCAAACCAAGTCAAATCAAGCACGTAAGCAAACAGAGGTAGATATCAAGTGCGAGTAAGCAGAAAGAAAGGGATATTAGAAGGAAAAGAAGAACTCCCTAAGGAATGCAAAGATGCTCCGAAAAAAGATAAACACTCCTTACCTACATCCACTCAAAATTCATAATGCAACGAACGCAAACCCCTCAATAATAATATCCCCGCCACCAAACCGCCATGCAAGAAGCGACGACGAGATCCAACATCTTGATGCCTTCGTCTTCGATGACAAGTTTCCCCAGTTTTGCGCTCTTGCCGCGCATTCCTCCGCCGGCTGGTTCTCGGGCCAGGCTGAAGTCTAGTCGGTCTTCGCTAAGTTGGCGACGGAGCGGACGGCGCGACTCGCCAGAGGGGTCGTCGATGTCGACACTGCTGGCGCTGCTATGGGAGGGTTTGCGCGCATGGAAGGGCGGCGTGGATGGGGGTGGTGGGTGGTTATTATTGTGGTTGGAGTGCGTGCTGGCGCCGGAACGCGAGCGAGGACGGTTGGTGAAGGCTTGAGCGTGCGCGTTGAAAAAGTACGCCAGGGAGCTGCGCTTCGACCCTGGCGGCAGGAAGGCGGAGGTGCCGTCCGGGTGACCATCGGAGGCGGCTGCGGGGTCTTTGAAACCGGCGGTTTGGCTGAGATAGAAAGGCGAGACGTGAGAAGGACCCGGGTTATGAGGAAGATGGCTGGCCTGGAAGGGTGTGTTGAAGCGGATTTCGGCGACAGTGACGGCTGGATTCTCAACGGCGCCATTCCTTCCGCCCGCAGGAGGAAACCCAGGCATGGGGATCATGTGCTTGCATTTTAGACTGCGGCCGTTGACACTGGTGGAGAAGGTGCAGGTGCCGTTCCAGGGCGAGGTAAAGGTGTAATAACCGCTCTTGAGCTTGGAGACGCCTCCGCCACTCTGGCTGCTAGGTCTGCCTAGGCTGTCGATGGAGGGCCGAGCTCCGGAAACGTCCAGCGACCCGCGTGACTCTTCTGGCACATGCGGCCGGGACACGCACAGCTTGCGCTGGAACCGACGCGGCTGCGCGGGTTCGTTACTGGTGGTCTCGGCAGCCTCGGACTGCGGTGGGAGATTGAGGGAGTTGCGGGCTTCCGCGGGAAGGTTCACCCCAAGGCTGGTCAAAGAGAGCGGTTCATTTTGCGCGGCAAATCGCTTATAACCCGGCGTAAATACCTCAATGTCAATGGCGCCACCATCCATCCGGGGCATCGACATGGTCGCGACGTTCCACTGACTGCCATGCGTAGGATCGCGACGGATCAGCGTAATGTGGAAACCCGGCCGCTCCGGTGGCCTGCCCTCCTGCGGCCTCCGAGTGGGAGATTGGCCGGGACTTCTTCCCGGAGAACCCATGTGCGGGTATGAGGGACTTGCATGAGCCGAAGTCGGTCGCATCCGGGGTTCACGAGAGTCGAGGCTGTGACGCCCCGCGGAAAGAGCCTCGTACTTCTCCTTCCAGAACTCCTGGCCGCGCGAAAGATGCCCGAGCGCACTCCATCGGTGGGGCTTCTTCATGAAATTCTCTTCGTATGCATCTAATGCGTCTTCGTCCTGGGGAACGGGGGGAAGTGGGCGGCGCGGACGAGCGGACGTCGGATCGTCTGTCGGATTGTCGAGAAAGTCCTGGCGATGCTGAGGAGCGCCAGCGAAATCCCCGGAGGATCGCGGGGACAGGCTCGGACGAGCCGGCATGGGGGGCGGTTGTAGCGACGCCGTAGAATGCGACGGGGAATGCATCGGTGGGCGAACAGGTAGTGAAGGAGGCGTAGAGGGGGCCACTCTCTTCTCAGCGTCCCCATTATGACCTCCACCAGGCACCGGTTTCCGCCGGACATTATTCAATCGCGCCAATTCGGGGGGCAGGTCGGCATCGTCGCCCGTCTCACGCCGTAGTCGAGCCTTTTCTTCTCGTTCCTGCTCGACCTCATGAAGCAAGGCTTGGTCGTCGGGGGTGGCGACGTGCAGGTAGTACAGCGAGGCATTGATGGCCTCGGCGGAAACACTGGCCTTGGTGGGAGGTTTAAGCGGCGACAGGAAGACATCTAGTGTGGAAACAAGCAGGTTAGTATAGGAGATCGCATGGGGCGCGAAATAAAGCACATACCTTTACTACCAGGGACTCGCACGATGTAGAGCGACAGAGGTTCCAGTTTCTTCTGCGTAGGATTTCGAGGATATGCGGGGGGGTTGGAGGCGATGCCTGTGATGGCGGACAGCGATCGGGCCTCGACGGGGCCGCGGGGAAGGTCGGCGGACTCTTCATCCGCCGCGTTGACGGCCTTGGCCATGTCCTAGGGAGGTAGTGGCGCAAGGAAGGGTTGTAGGGAAGGAGGAAAACAAAAGAGAGACAGAGAGAAAATAGAGAGAGAGAGGATGGACGGATGGAGAGCGGGTCAACAAAACAATGGAAGTTGGCGGAGATGATGCCAAGAACCCCGTGAAGAGATGGAGAAATTTGAAGGGAGGAAAAGACGGGGTTGCAGAATGCAGAATTAAGGGGGTTTAAAAAGGTAAATGATTCATAATTGCGGATTTCAGAAAAAGAAAAGAAAAGGAAAGAAAAAAAGGGCGGGTGAACAGCCACAGCAATGATGAAGCTACCAAGAATAAGCATAAGAATAGGGTTGCCTGGTGAATGCCACGCCATCCGATGGCAAAAATCCGGGGAATGGCGGTTGTTGGCAGTGAATGTCATTTGGTATCTTGAATCCCCCTTTAATCCAGTCCTGTAGATAGCTACAATGCATGCTGATGCGCGGCATTCACGCCGTGCAAGACGGAGAGTTCCCCTCCGGATGCCAGCGCAAATCGCCAAAAAAACCCCAATACAGGAACAAATCAATGCACAGAATCAATGAAGAGAAAAAGAAAAATAGTAAAACTCCCTAGCTCCGAAGCTCCAACCTTGACGGACCGGGAGGGTAACCCCCGGTGATGATTTATAGACAGGCTTCCATATACGATTGAGACAAGAGAAACGATTAGACAACGGTCTCCGATCGCTCGCCTTCCGCGATGACCGGAACTCCCAACCCTCGATCTGGGCTCTGCAGAACCAACTGTTCGTGCCGTCGAGCTCGTAGGAAATCGCTGATGGCCCGGATCAGGATGAACCACCCCACGATCATCAGGATGTACGATATCCAGTCACTCGTGCTGATGCCCGCAGTGCCGCCTCCGTCACCACCCGAGGTCTCGTTGACCGAGTTGGGATCGAAGTTGTGGCTGTTGGGGTCGGATGGCGTGACATACTGGTCGGAGCCCTCTTCGCCCCCTCGAGATTCACTGCCACCCTTCATATAAAAACCGTACTGCACCAGGGTGAGACCCAGACCCGCTCGACTTCCATTCTTTGCCGCATGTGTAGTGTGGAGGAGATATGTAAGCAGGAACCCGACGAGCTGGAAGGACATCGAGATCATGGCATTCCAGACAAACGAAAACACCGATCCGACCGGTAGTCCATCCACATACACCTCGTCCGACGCAATGCCAGGCGCAAGAATGGTTGTTTCCCAGTAGGGTGGAGTGGCGTCAGCAGCGGCTTCCTCATAGGACTATATATGGCCTGGGTTAGCATTCAACATAATAACCAACAGTGTCGACGCAAAAGGTACTAACGTACCGGAGGCATATCTTCATTCTTCTCCCCTCGCTCAGGCTTAGCCGCCAGATTTGCGAAAACCCCATCGTTGGAGGAGCTGATCATGCGACCCGGGCCCGAGCTGGAGCCATTAAACGACGGTAAGATCGTCGGTCGCCGTTGCAATGGGGGAGTGCGCTGCTCCCTCGACGATTGTGATCCGCTGCCTGCGCCCGATGAGGAGGCACTCGCTGTGGTGGTATTGCTATCTTCGACCGGTTGGGATTCGGGCTGGGCCCGCATGAGTCGTTGGCGGTCATCTGGTTCGTCATCTGCTTCGGAGTCGCTGCCATCGCCGAAGGCAGCAGCGAGGGTCTCGTCGGCACCGTTATCATGGGGATCGTCTCGGAGAAGCCGCCTCGTTGAGGGAGAGGAGGAGCGAGAGCGGAATGAAGGCGGCGGAGAAGAGGGCGTTGAAGTGTTTCGGAGAGGGATCGACGATTGGGACTGTGGCGCTTCCTCGTCGTCATGGGCGTTCACCTGAACAGCATCGTATTAGTGAAACTTGCTACCGCGACCGTATCGCATTCCCTAGTCCATAAAAGGAGTGGGATGCGTTTTCTCGGGGGGAAGTATGGAAAGGGAAGGCGATGGCGTGACTCTTACCCGCTGGTAACGCTGCGAGCTCATGACGAGCGGAACGAGGGGGACCGGCGATCCGGGAAAAGAAGGGAAGGTCGGGAGGGAGACGAAGTCGAGAAAACAGCCGATAGGAAGATAGGGAGACTCGAGAACTAGGAGAGGAACAAAAGAACGGAGATGATAGGAGATGATAGGAGGCGCTGAGGCCGGGATGAAAGAGACGGAAAAAGAGAGGGAATGAATGAATGAATGGGAGAAAGAGAGAGACGGAGAGAGTGAGAGACGATCCACTTTGGGCTGGACGGCTGCCTGGGGCATTTGGCCCTGGCTCCCGTGACTTTGGCCCCATCCCGTGATTCGATTTTCATCGGCATAGCATCGAATTCAACGAAGGCAGTCCACTCCCCTCCACAACCCCCGCGGTCGCTATTTTTCGATCTTATTTCTCTTATTTATCTTCTGCAGTATCTGCAGCTTCTCCATCACTCTTTCGCCCCACACCCATAACACAGCAAATCCAATTCCCCCACAGCCATCATGGTCAAACCACCAGTATGTATTCAACCCCAATCCCTAACAAGTCCCTAAAACTAAACTGCCCCCCACAGAACCCCCAATCCATCCAGACGCGGATCTCCCATCTCATCAACCACTGGCCCTCCGACCCCGTCCGCCCATCCTCCGTCTCCGTGCAAACCTACCTTCGCTCCCGCCTCCCTCCCCAGTCCCAGTCCCAGTCCCCGAATCAATCACCGCAATCGCAAGTACAGTCCTCCGCGCCTCAGGGTGGCGAAATCTCAGAGTCCTCCCTCAACGCTCTGTCTTCATTACTCGAGAACCGCTACGCCCGGCGGTATCCGCTGTCGCCGAAGTTGCGGAGGCCTGCGAGTAACCCGGACCATTACGATAATGTGATCAAGGAGTTTGCGGAGGCGCCGTCGCGCGATTGGCTGGGGCGATTGGGGAAGAAGATGAGGGGGCTTTTCAGGTTGAAGTGAGGTGGTTTTGTTTTGAGGGGGATGTAATTTTATGGTGTTTGTACTACTAATGTATCCTTCGAAATGATGGGTTAGATTGTTATTTGGGTGTATATATATCATGTCATGTTAAAGGAAGAAAGGGAATGGAAAAAGTCCAATCCGTTTATTGGATTATTTTGAGCAATCGACTGGGGTGCTTTGTTCTTCATCGGAAATTGGATTCAATAACACGAGAACTCAAATAAGGTATGGTATATACAATAGGTGTCTTATCCAGACGTTTGGGCTTTGTCCCCGGTCAACCCTATATGCTTGAAAACCACAATCATGTACGTAGGTGAAAAACCCCCTCGCCCATCGAACCAGGTCAACAACAACGAAAAGGAAAGGAACCAAGCTTTTACAGCATAGGCTTCACGTCATCAGCCACCTTGAAAGGAGCCTCCGTCTTACTGCGGACCTCATCCACCGTGACTCCGTCGGCCAGCTCGACCAGGGTCAGACCGTCGGTGAAGTCAACGTCGAACACGCAGAGTTCAGTGATGATTCGGCTGACGCAAGTCTTACCGGTCAGAGGGAACTCGCACTGCTTGACAATCTTGGGGTTTCCTTTCTTGTCCGTATGCTCCATCGTCACCACCACCTTGGTGGCGGACGGGTTGGATACCAGATCCATGGCTCCGCCAAAACCCTTGATCTTTCCGGGGAGCATCCCTGTCATGCCCGAGTTAGTATTTGAGGAAGTGAGTTCCGAGGGGAGAAGAACTAACAGTTGGCCAGGTCACCGCGAGCGCTTACTTGCATGGCGCCCAGGATGGTGAGGTCGATCCGTCCGGAACGGATCATACCGAAGGACTCCTCGCTGCCGAAGACAGCAGCACCGGGAGAAAGAGTCACGGTCTCCTTGCCTGCATTGATGAGATCCGGATCTTCCTGGCCCTTCTTAGGGTAGGGTCCTAGACCGAGAATACCGTTCTCGGACTGCAGCATCACCTCCACCGAGGGATCCACGAAATTAGGAGCCAGCATGGGCATACCGATACCCAGGTTGGCATACATGCCGTTCTTGAACTCCTTCGCGGCGCGACGAACGATCCGTTCCCGCTTGGCCGCGGTGTCACCCTTGCCTAGGGCACCCGCGTCGTCACCATCCTCCTTGGCGAAGGTGTACTTCTCGATGTTCTTGGGCTCAGTGCTCTGGATAACGCGCTTCACGTAGATACCAGGCAGATGGATAGCGGCGGGGTCGATCTCGCCGGGTTCCACGATGTGCTCCGCTTCCACGATAGTCATCTTCGCGTTGCGTCCCATGGCTCCGTTGAAGTTGGCCGCGGCATACCGGAACTGGCAGTTACCCAGCTTGTCGGCCTTGTAGGCCTTGACGAAAGCGTAGTCACCCTTGATGGCCTCCTCCATCACGTAGCTCTTATTATCGAAAACCTTCACGTCTCGGGGCTGGCTGTACTGCGCGACGGTGTTGTCGGCATTGTGCTTCAGGGGCAGCTCGCCCGTCTGAACGACCGTGCCAAACGCCGCGGGGGTATAGAACGCGGGGATACCGGCGCCCCCGGAACGACAGCGTTCCGCCAGAGTACCCTGAGGCGTCAGTTCGAGCTCGATCTCGCCGGTCAAGTACATGCGCTCGAAGGTCTTGTTCTCGCCCACGTAGCTGGCAATCATCTTCTTGATCTGCTTAGACTGAAGGAGGAGACCTAGGCCGGCTCCGTCGACTCCGGCATTGTTACTGACGACCGTCAAGCCTGTGATCTCGGGATTGGCTCGCACCGCCTTGATCAGCGAGTCTGGGACACCGGAGAGTCCGAAGCCACCTGCCAAGACGGTCGAGTTGGATTTCATGTCCTTGATAGCCAGCTCTGCAGACGAGAGGACTTTGTTGATCTCAGGCCGGATGGTACTGCTTGAGAAAGCACGGGCAAGAAACCGTTGGTGCTACAATCGCAGAACATGTGTTAGCATCTCGTGTGTACTATTAGGATGGCACCCTCCTTTAAAGCGTATAGTACCTTGCTCGGGTTAGCAGAGAACTGCCGCGCTAGGCGCAAGCAAGTCGCTACTTGTGAAGGCATGACGAATTGAACGTCCAGCGAGCTGTAAATCTAGAAGAGAGGAAAGCAGCCGCTTGATTTCAACAGCTGTGGTAAATAGGACCAAAAAGAGAGGAATTGACGACCTTCATGCAACGGCCGGAGAAATGTCTTTCGAGCAGAATGACAGCAAGAGGTTTCAGGGGCGTGAATGGAGGTTGCGGAGGCCGAGCAAGAACCACGGGATAAATAGACTTGAGGGCGGCGGGCAGCTGCGGAGTTGCGGAAGCCAACCCGCCCTACCCCGGAATGCCCCCGCAGAAGCGTGGAGATCAGGCAGTCAGGCTCCTACTCTAGCAGCCTCAGGCCTTCACATCTAGGCAGTCCTCCATTTCGTGAGAACGATAGCTATACTCTGGCCTCGGAGATGATAATTCTCCCCTGTACACTATTGATAACATACCTAACTTGTTTCTACCTGTTTTCATCAATCCCGCATTCATCCATTCCGCAGCATCGGCCGCCGTGGACAGCCGACGTGGGCGGTTCCGATGACGATCCGCGGCCCGCCTCGGATCCGCAGCTGATTCAGCCCTTCAGATCACGTGCCTCATACATACGAAGTACATCCATGGTGCACCTATTATCTTTCTATATTGAAACAATTACTAGCGCTACTTAAGCGAGACCTTGCATATAGGGCGATAAGGGGCACTTCAATCACGTCTATGATCTAGATACCTGCACTTCAAATAGAGTGACGGCCATGTCTGCCTCTATTACTTCGCAGTTTGTCGACACTGGTAGTTTCTTTCCTCAGATCTTGGAACCTGAAGAAAAGGGTGGGAATACTAGTTGTGCCTCTGCAGGCGGCTTACCCAGATTGACAATAATACAGAGAAACTCACTCCATGGGTCTTCGAACATGCCAACCTCGCTGACCTCGACTGTGCCGACCATTGGCCTGAAGAATCAACTCCATTCAGGGAAATATTCCATCACTTCAATTCCTATATCGCGGAAGCGAATCTTTGTGCTAACCTCCTCCCGGAACCTGATTTCTTTGCAGCCTGGTCTCCGGAAAGTCCATGCCGTAACCCCGAGGGAGTTGAGACAGGCTTGCTGGAGGATGTTGTGGGAAGGATCGAGACAGTATCACTTCCTAGAAGGAGCTGGAAGTACTCGAGACGGGAGTATTGTGTAGGCTTGACGATGTTACAGGCGATGGCGCTCAGGAAACTACTCGAGACCGTTTATCGCAAACTAGAAAAAAAAATGAGAACGCTCGAGCCTCGACTGCAGTGAGTGGAGATCATTTTGTGGTAGCTTTTGTACTAATAAACTTTATGAAAAGCTTCCCTGTGTTAAGCTATAAACAAGTATACTATCTAGCCGGCACAAAGTATACTTCCAAGCCTGAATTCTCTGTTATGGTTCATCTTCGTAATCAACATGTCCCGGTCCTCTCTTTTACCAGCGTATGTATATAGCTCCAGACTCCTTTTTTTTTTTTCTTTTTGTTAAACCCACTGACTCTTAATTCACTGCAGTGGTTTCCAGAACAGACCTGGGGCGGATTTCTTGGAGAGATCCTAGCCACAATGTTAGGACAACTAGCTTGTAATATTCAACTCGGACTACGCGATCAAGAAATGTTTACTCTTGGGTTCTACAAACGCCAGGTCTTTGTGGCCCATGGTCTCTTTACAAAAGATCAGATATCCCGCGTCCGTTCCAATGGATGCTCGGTCGATGAAACCTTTAACATGTCCTTTACACGTGGCTATGATCTCTCCAAAAGGGATGACTGGTATGCATTCATGGAGGAATTGGTTGGACTTTTGAGATATTTTGCAGGTGGGACAGCTGCGGTAGGTTGTTTGCAGGCCTTTTTCAGCAGCGAATAGCAATTAGTTCTTTGCTTGAATTTGTCACGCTTTTATGCTGTGTTTAGATTTGCACAGCCCTTGTACGTACTTTATTTATATTAAGTTTTCATTCCCTGTGATGGCTTGGTATTGGTATTCTTTTATATTCGCCTGTAGATCAAATTACATAGCTCTATACAGCCGAAGGATGAGAAACGTTGAGTATAAGCCAGCCAGCACCACTCGTAATCAACCAACACCTGGTATGCCAACTTTCTCCTTCAAGAAATGCACCACATCATCAATCTCATCTGGTACCTTGTACCAATGTCCAAAATCTTTATACGCCTTCCAAGTCACATCCATCCCAAAACCCTCAGACAGGACAGACGCCATTCGTTGTCCGAGTTGCACCGACACCTTGGGGTCTGCCGATCCATGGCCGAGGAAGACAGGTGTTTGTAGATTTGGCGTGGGAGGTGAACGAGACTCGGAGACTTCATTTCGGACCACCCCTTGCAAGGGTGGTAGATCGAGGACATCTCGAACAAGGTTCAGTGCCTGGATAGAAGCAGGGATGTCCTTCTCCTCGTCATCGTGGAAGAAAGGATCATCATCGTCGTCGTCACCTGTATCCTCATCTCCATCCTCCCCCATCAATCCCAACAACCCCGAAATATCCCTCTCAAAAGGCAACCACCCACTCATCCCCACAAATCCCCCAAGTCGTTTAGTACCTTGCCCATCCTCCCACCCCGCAAGAAGACAAAACACAGACGCCGCACAGCCCTGACTCAACCCCCCAACCACAACGCGGCCATACCCATTCCCAGCGCCGGGCCCATTAGCCTCATACTCGCCCAGCAACCGCGCTTCCTCATCAACCAACGTCCTCAAAAACCGACCGGATTCCTCTAACCCCTCGACGTGTATCTCCGTCTGCGTATTCGGATCGTCAAGAGAATAGTTATCGAACCACTGATGGATCGGGATCCGGTTAAGCACCGTAGAGCGACGTTTCTTGGCAGTCGGGAAGACGAACTTGGTTGTTGCTAGATGGTGCGCGATCTCAGTGGTCTCGAGGAAGACGGAGACGAAGCGCTCGCTGTTGCTGCCGCGGCCGTGGAGGAGGATGAGGGTGTGGGTGTGCTTGTCGGGTCTTAGGGGAGGGATCACCAGAGGGGTGAGGTAAGTCTTGGAAGGCGGCATAGAGGGGATGGGTTGTTTAGGTGGTCAGTAGTAGCAAGCAAGCAAGCTTTGGGCAGACTAGAGATTAATAGATATACTGTGAAAGCCAGCGGGGCAGTGCGAGGCGCGTATTTGACCAATGCTATTATGACAACAATGGACCCTTAAATAAAGGCAAAATAAATCGGAATACTACCAGGTACATAGTAGTTCTTTCTTGCGTACCCGCTAATGTTGACATTGGAAGGCTAGGAATTGGTTCGAATTGACAGACACAGAAGAAATGTGACCCGGAAAAAGGACGTGCATTTTCAAGAGCTCCTTTTGTAAGGCCTTGGGGGTCTGGATTGCTCAGTAATCCGTTCAGATTTCTAGCCATTGAGTCATGGGCACATATAGTCACTAGTCAGGCCGACCCACTTGAAGGCCATCAGAAGGTAAACTCTAGCGTATAAGATGAATGCTTCGCTCATAAATCTACTCAGAGCCGGCTCTGGCTACTCGGCGAGCACTTTGATGGGAGAAGAAAGCCTTCAAGCCATCCAGAATACTAATTACTGTACAATCAAATAGTTAAGAATCTTCTTTTCAGTAAACTCTGTACATCATCATCATTGCGTTCATCATGATGGTATCGTCCGCTATTTACAGATAAAACAATGTTCACAACTGACAATGACCCGCTACCATGCACATGTAAAACAACATTACAAACCCTCTTCAAATAATCACAAGAATTTCACGAGAATTGAAAATGCAAAAGCCCCGTCTGGGCCCGGTTCGTCCTCCCACGTACCATACCCACGACTCCATCCCACTATACCCGGAGACGGGGCCATCGTGACCAGAAAGACACGCCGTGGTAGGGAAAAGGCCATGGAAACTCTCTCACCATGACACGTCATCCAACCCTTTACGTTTCAATGGATTCGGAATGACTCCGGCTGGCGAAGTGGTCTCGGAGCCTACCATTGCACATTCTGGTTGTTAGTGTCTTGTTTCGACGCCCATGTTGGAAGGTCCTTGCCGTCTCCCGTCCCGACGGTTCGATGGTGATCTCCCGTACCTGGTACACCTTTGTCAGTCCAAATCTCATCGTACGATGGTGGCTTCATGTCCACATCGTTGGCTGCGGGTTGAGTAGTGACACCCTCCATGGTGGTGGTTGTATCTGCAACTGGTTGAGGCTCGGGCTGGTCGGGCTGGTCGGGCTGGTTCTCAACCACCTCTCTGCAAACCGGGTCGACTAGACGTTCTTTCATGCTGTCGTTGACATACACGAGGAAGTAAGGCGTGGGTGGATTCTGGCGGTCATTGTTCACAAAGATCTCATCCAGGTCCTTCACCTCGGTCACGTAGTTGTCATTGTACTTGCGCCAGATGTTTCGTTCAAAGTCGCGAATGTAGATGTAGTAGTGGCCGAAAGTCACAGACCCATGATGAACGAAGACCGCATAAAGTCGATAGGGCAGACGTCTGGAGTCGGCAAACTGACTGGAGATCATCGTCTGCGTATCCTTGATTTCCTGGTTGATGCCTACAATATGTTAGCCGGTAAGGAAAGGGCGTGGCGCATTAAGAGCACTTACTGTTCAGTTGAGACCTCGCTAGCTGGGAGAGCTGCTCCAGTTCAGGGAACAGTTGCGGGTTCACATCGATGGCGTCATCTGCAGTCTCTGGGTCGTCTTTCAAAGAGTTCAGGTCTTCGAGGGCCTCCCTGGCGCTGTTGAACAAGGCCGGCATATCTAAGGAATCCGTTTCCTGTGATAAGGGTTAGATAGATTGGCCTCTTGTGTTTAAGCCAGGTGTGAGTTCTTACTTCAAGGCGGAGTAACTCGTCCCGTCGAGCCTCCAGCTTCCTTAGATTATCCTTCCATTCCCAGCACTGGCGCCGGCGATTCATGATTTCTGGCTGCTGGGTATCCATATATCGGTCGAGATAGATGGTGTCCTTGAGCTCAAGGTGGTGCGTTGATTTGAACGAGCGTTTCTTCACTGGGTCGAATTGAACCCGCTGCACCTGGATCTGGAGCACCGGCGGCAGTCGGCTTATGGCACCAAACTGTTCCGCCATCGAGTCACCGACGTTAACTTTTTGGATATCGAAAGCACCGTCAATGGCCGCATAGATGTCACGGGATCCAGTTGCAACATCGATCTTGATATCACACCATCGTTCCTCCTTGGATCGCACGCCTTCATTGGAAAGGATATAAGATTTGGCTTGTCCGTAGAAGAGGCTGTTGGAAAAATATGCCTGTCAGTTTGTATATTCACGCGCGTAGGTGGATCAGAGACTCACTCCTTGATTCGGTCAATCTGCTCACCGTCCGGAGCTATCGAGTTTGGCTCAATGGCACACTGACTCTGGAAAAGCACGTTGTTGATGACCTCCGTCACATCCTGTTGCGCTCCGATCTCAACCTCATCTAGTATCTGCTTCTGCGAATCACCTTGTGGCGCAGGTCGAGGGGGTACGGGTGGGGGTTTATTAGAAGGCGCGGTTTGGTCTTCAGGTGATTTGTTATCAGGGTCACTGGCTTGGGGTGCTTCGGGGGTTGATTCACCCTGCACGTCCGTCATCACGGCGTCGGCAGGTTGCGGTATCTCATTTTCCTTGTCATCACTGGGGCCGATTGTGTGGTCATCGCCAGGTGCAACCTTGGCATCATCACTCGAAGCGGATGTCGCGTTCTTGGTGCCATCGGAGACAAGGGTTGCGTCGCTGTCAACGTCGCTTGTCGTCATGCGTTGGGGCTTATCCGTGTCGAGCGCTGCTGAGTTTTGGGTCTCCCCGTCCGTAATCGGCTGGGGTGGTCCAAGGGGGCCCAAAACCGGGGCGCCATTTATTTCACCGAGGCCGACAGGCCTTATGGCAGATATGGTTGATCGACGACGAATGGCGGCTTCGTTCGAGGGGCTGATCAATGTCAACCGTGCTAACTCCTGGCCCGGGATGACAAACGATGTGGGTGAGTGAATCATATCACTGAACAGAGTCCGCAGTTCTCTCAAGACTGTCGTTGCCGGATGGTCAGTCTTCCATATATTATGCATTCAAAGGTCCCCAGCATGCCACCTACATTTTTGAGACCGCTCGACCTCCTTTCGGGAGACTTTGCGAGATCCCACCTGTTTCTTGCTCAAACTCTCGTCGTTGATCGTCATCTTAAATGTCTCGAAATCCAGGACCATTTGGCGGTACGGGCGCACTGAAAAGTAGAACTGTAGCAAGCTGTTCAGATAGCAAGTGTTGCCAATGTTTTCCAGTCCTACTGGCCATTCCGACATGTTGTGGTCCGGTTTCGGAGCAGAGCCAGAAACCATGCTGTTCAACAACGGGCTGTTCTTCTCTTTCGCGATTATGGCCAATGCCTGGTTATAGGTCTCGACTTGCGCAGGAGCCTCGTCCACACAGATCGTGTAAGCCGCCATGATTGCTCCTTCATCTACAGTCCGATCGGGGATCTGGAGGAGCCGATAAGCATCCCCAATGTCCATTTCACCGGCGGTCATTTCACCGGTGTTCAGGAAGTGTTTGAGGGCATTTGACTTCCGCGCCTCGGCTATGAGCTCAATAGCTCGCCGGGAGAGTTCTTTAGTCGACGGACTGTCATTGACCTGAACCACATGTCAGTACCTACTATTCCGGGACTTGGTGCAGAGAGGCAAGAAATGTACCTTAGCTGTGTACATGGCCATAATGAAATCGTCGCCCGTATCATTGCTGACACCCAGGTACACTTGAGCTTGTTCGACCGTCGCAACCCCTAGTTTTTAACCGTTAGCCACTCCATATGCTGATCCGCGCTGTGAACGGCAACAGCCCAGGGGAGCCCTACTGTCTTCAGCTGCTGACTTTATGCGCTCGCTGCGCCTGCTGTCCCCAATTACCCAGAGTTGTCGGCGAGTTTCGTTCTCCTGGGTGGTGGAGCTCAAATAAGCGTAGAACTTCCCGATGATGCTATCCTCCGTAAGACGAGTGTCGTCATAACTCAGTCCAAAGTACCTGTAGGCATTATAGACATCCTCGTTTGTGTATTTGCCTTCTGCGTAAGCCAACTCAACCGCCTGCCCAATTAGAGTCTTATCCTCCCCACCCCGGAGGTTACCAATCGACTTGAGGCAGTGAAGATACATGGGAGTTCTTCCCGGGTCTACCGTGACTTGTCGATTGAAGGCATCTATTATGGCGACAGCTGACATATCTTCAACGGTCCCCAGATCTTCATAAAACCTAGATTGTTCAATCAGCACTCAGTTCTAAAAAAGGCTCGATCGCGGGTGACACGAACGGTTCGGACGCCATTTGAAATCCGTCTGTTCGGAAGGCTCTCGGATCTAAAGAAATCAGTCAGCCGAGTACCTGACACGAATCATGGGCGGGCACTTACAATCCAGAGCTCCAAGGGCTAAGAGAAGGTCATTTGTGGCGGGGTTGTGCTTGTCTTCTATCTGGTGTCCTTTCTTTTCAATTGCTGGTCTCTGCTCTATAAGCGCAATGAGTTCATGGAGCGTGTCGTCGAGAAAGATCTTAAGCTGATCATGGTAAGGGAATTCTGCCCAGGGGCTAGGCCGAGGAGGCTCCCAAGTGCCTTCATTCTGTCAAAGTGTCAGAAGATATCCTCATACGGAGTACTTAATGAGGAAACCAACACACCTTGGTGGAAAACTCCAGAAATTCCAGCAACTCTTTGCAAGGCCGCCCTTCGATACCGAAACAGTTCATGAATCTTTTATTAACTGCTGATATTGACTTGCTGCGCTGGCCATCATGAAGAGCGTTACTGATATATGCTTTCAACGTCAGCAGGACGGTGATGGGATCCGGCGCGGCCATTCCCTCCATCCGATCAGGATACGTTGCCATCGCCTCACTCGCGCGTTTCTGTAATACGTCGGGATCTACCAAAAGCCGTGTCCATTCCTCGTTGAGTATCGGAGAAGCGATTCGCACCGATACGGCAATAGAGCAGGTGAGGTAGGAACATTCGTAGCGATACGTTTCTGCCGTCTGGCCTTTGGGTGTGATCTCTTCTGGCGAAGGCCCGCCGACCTGCCTTCCAGACTTATAGACAAGATGATGGACATGATCTGGGTCCTGATGGGTATGACCGAGAGCGGAGGTGAGGTTCACGATGACCTGCAAGTGACATCGACATTTCAAGCACACGGCGGACACTTTCGGGGGGGTTGCGGCGTCCGTTTGTAGAAAGCTTTGGGCGGGCTTAGTCACGTATTGATGGCGGCATGCTGAAGGCGAAATGAACTCTATCGGACCGTCGCAGCGTTCGGGGAAGACGGGTGGCACATCGCGGAGAAGGTTACGTCCTGTACTCGGCGGATGAATGAAGTCATAGTCGTGGATATCTTGTACAAGACGCGGGGCAGTCTTGCCTGAGAAGGGAAGCCATCCATATTAGCCTCAAATGTACGAAACCGAAAGGTTGCGACACTTCTGATAAAAAAGCAGAGGACTGCATGTTTGTACGTACCTGACCTCTGGAAGGACGACATTAGTAGGCTCAGTGGAGCTCACAGGTACCGGAGGATCAGGCGACAAGGATCAAAACTCTGAGCAAAGGCTTTCCCATACAGTCGACTTCAGCATAACAAATCTTCAGCAGAAGTGATATCGGAATGATGGATAAGTGAAGGCTCCCGAATTCTTTGAGTATGCCTAGAAAGTGAAGGATACTGGTCAGTTTGGACAGCGGGGAGCCCCAGGCGGGCGGCAAGCTTAGGAATCGGGACTCCAACCGGGCAGGTTCGGGGAAACAATACCGGAAGAACCTCCACGAGTATGAGGAAGAGATGAAACAGAGAAGGTGTAAAGGATCTCTTAAGTGAAAAGGGGCAGGATTCTGGCCGGTGATCGTCCCTCACTGCCTTCACCCACTTGCGTGAAGCTCCATGAGATGTGCGGGTAGGCGGTGACAGACGGCATAAAGGGCGACTTCCAAAATCCCAGCATCACCGTCACCGCGCAAAACGACTCCCTCCACCGCAAGCAGCAGGCAATTTGCTACTCCTCCCCCTCAATCCGCCACCATGGCTGCCCATCATGAAGAGCACTTTCACCCCAAGAACACAATCATGGCGTCATTGAAGACGACCATGCTGACCGGTGGGGTCGGTCTTTGCGCCTCCGCCGTGCAGAACACCCTGGTCAAGAAGAACGTCGGACCTTGGGGTGTGTTTGTGAGAAGCGGCAGCACCATCGGTCTTTTCGGTATGAACACAATACCAATTGAACCCTGCATTGACGTGTCGTTTGTCTGTACTGACCACTGCCAATCTAGCGGCCATGGGCGGTACCTACGAGTTCGTCAAGGACGCCTCGGCCAACCTGCGGGAGAAGGATGACCACTGGAACGTCGCTCTGGGCGGTTTCTTCTCCGGTGCCCTTCTGGGCCTGCGTGGTTAGTATCTCCGCCCTCGTTCTTAGAGTTGTGGCGCCATTGTTCTGACTTTTGATCTTTCACTTGCACAGCACGCACTTTCCCCGCCCTCCTGGGCTACGGTGCCGCTCTGGCAACCGGCATGGGCGCCTTCGAATACACCGGTGGATCGCTGTGGGGATACCAGAAGGACCATACTGTCGACGAGTTTGAGCGTCGCCAACAGCTGCGAAAGCAGTTCCGCACCTCGGGAGAGCAGACCGTCCAGGAGCTGGGCGAGGGACGAGGTACGTTCACTCCAAGGCGTGAATGCGGTTGACTGTGGAAATTCTGACCCGTAACTAACCTGACTGTCACAGGCATCTACGCTCCCGGATACGCCGAGAGACGACGAGAGAGACTCAAGGAGGCCTACGGCATCGACGTTCCCACATCCCCTATCCCCGCTTCATAAAGATACATTGGTTCGATATCTCTTGTCACCCCCGCGTTTGCCGATTCCCAGTCTCCTTGTGTAAAATTATCGCTTCGTGTCGACCACCTTTAGCTAGCACATTTGGCACATTCTACAATGAAAGATTTCCTTTTCCGTTGATACAGTCGGTCTTCTGTGGGGGTTTCCGGGGGTGGCCCTCGGTTGACGTGTCTGTTGCCTACCTGTATATCGCAAACATTCGATCTAATGGCAAGTTAGGCATTACCGTGGTACCTAGTTCCAGCGTGATTAAGCTTCCACACAGTTTGTCTACGAGGGGTAGCCCATGCCGGTGGCTGGACCTACAAGTCCTCGGTAAGGACAGGAAGATAGATTACGAGGCGCATGCGATCACCAGCCCCAAGTCCAGTGACGTTGAGTCGACTGGTGACCACCCCCGCCTAAAATACGAATATCATATTCAATCATAATGAGAACAATGCCTGGTAACAACCCCGGAAGCCCTGACAAGTGCGTGAATGCCTGGGATGGCAGGCATCAACCGTGCCCGGGGTGGGGAAGCAGGGGCCAATCACAGAGCGTGTTTATCCAATCACGGGAATATCACGTGTCCAACACTTTACTGCCTCAGGTGTCAACCTGAACACAGTAGATATAGAGGAACGGACGATATTCAGGAGGCGTGGAAACGGAATAGGCGATCGATGCAAGGGAATATCCGCCAGCCATGTCCCGGGTGACAGGGCCATGGGGAATTATTAGACCTGTGCCTGCGGAAATGCAGATCATGCCCTGTCAATCCTCGATGTTTGGCGCAATTCAAGGGGTGTATGAGAATCTACTCCGTACGCAGGGGGTCTGCAGTGCGATGAGATCACCGTGTCTTCCTGTGACCATGGAGTTGGACTGGACAGTACGGAGTAGCAAATGGCTGGTTCAGGTGGTGGTTCGTCGGACGGTAAGTCAGTAACTTAGGGGATTCTTTCGCTCTTCCAGAAGGTCGTGGAGATCACCCGTCGAGTGAATCGGTACTATATTCTATTTCTAGCCTTCTAGCGAGATAGTAGAAGATACTCCCAGTCCAACTAGTAACTAGTAACTAATAACTATCTAGTCTACGGAGGGTGTTTGCATAGCATTAACAACTACTCGTTAGTACTACTAGTTGTATGCACCGTATATATGACGGAGTGGTCGTCTCGAGGACTTACTCCGTACGATCGATCGACGCAAATGATGAACCGTGCATGACGTCGAATGTTCCCTTGGGAAAGTTGCTGCCTCCGCCCATCCCGAAAGGAGGCAGTCAAAGTGCAAGGACCGCGGGATCGCCCGTCGGAACCTTCTCCTATTTTCCAGAGTATAAACTCAGGAATTCAGAATTCTCCATTTCTCCTAAACCTACGGAAGGGCGGGAGAATGGATCGCAGAGGGGGGTGGTTTGCCACCCAAGTGGATGGTCCGATGGAGACTGGGAAAAAGGGGGTTTGCGGGCTCCATCGAAGACATGAAGAACGATTCTACAAGTACTAAATAATAATGACTGACGATGGCCTCGTTTGATTGCGCTTGCTCCACCCAGGTCCATGCAGAGGAGTGATTGGATACTGCAGCCCTCAGCCACAGCTCGGATTTGATTTGATTTTCTTTGCTTTTTCTTTTCTCCAGCCACGTTGTTACGTTAAAGGGGAGTAATTGAGGAAGTAATTGAGTAAGTGGTTCGTGGAAGGAGAACTGTTTATACTGCAAAAGTACCCGACTATAGAACCTAGGTCCTACCTGTACTATTTCTTGTTATCATGCTGCATGTTGAACACTGAAATTGAGAACATAACTTATCCCGTAGTAATTATTTACTGAGTGGTAGTTAGGTAACATTACTATATACTTCGTCAGCCCGGGCCAAAGGAATTCCCATGATTCCATCCACATTACCTTGAATCATGAAGTACCTCGCCGGTTACATCAACCCTATTCAGTATTCAGAGAATGATAATTGGAAGCAACTGGTGAAGTCAGTCCCCGGCCTCATTCGGCTCCGGCTATTCCGTGCCATGCGAAAGACCAAGGAAAAAAAAAGAAGTCATAACGTCGCATTTTCCTTGGAGCTCAAGCGGCGTAGACGTCATCCGGAAGCGGCGAGATGCCCCTCTCCTTATTCTTTACTTCAAGGTCGCATTCCGCAAAGGATCCCTAAGAATTCCACCTGCAATGGTGTGGAGAGAGCTTCGATTTCACACTCTGTGCCAGATCGATGAACGGATTGATTGAGATTAATTGCACTCCTCCGTATCATCATCTAATTACATTCTCCCCCTAAATCCTCGATAGTGCCCTCCTAGACCCGGTGGGACCTGGGCTAGTATCAACGATCGGCCTGTTCGACAGCAGCCATTTCATTATTATTATTTTCTCTAGGGAGAATACAGAGGAAGTGACGGATTGCCCCCGCATAACCGTTCGATCCAGACCTCTTCTCCCCGTTCGCTGGGTAACGCCGCCTGGGAAGGAAGCGATTTCGCGTTCATCTTGCATTTATCCTCCATCCTTGGTTTTACCCTCTCCTTTTTTTTTTTTTAAACCCTTTTCCTTTTATTTTAATTATCCTTATTTTTATTCTTATTATTTCATTTCGTTCCATTTTTATGTCCTAAATTCATCGTCCGTCATTCCTCCCTTCCCCTATCTCTCTCGTCCTCTTCTTCCTCTTCCTCTCTTCCTCCCTTTCTTGTTCCCTCCTATTCCTTACCTTCTATCCTATCCGCACTCTTCTCGCCTCGTCTCCCCTCTCGCGGATCTGCAAGTTTAGCTCGGCCTACTATTATTATCACCCTGCGTATATAGCCTTATCGCAGCCCGACTCTCCCATTTCCTCGGCTTCTGATTTGATCTTCCATCACGGGTCTGGGTCTGCACCGCCCGATTATTCTCTGTTGCCTCAACCCTTCCCCTCCTCTTTTATTCTTTGCCTCCCTGCGCCTTTCCCCCCTCTTCTTCCCCCCTCCTCCCTTCTATACAATAATGGCCACCTTACTACGGTCGCAAACGCCCGTACAAGACGTATACGGCGGCCCCTCGCAAGCCCCCGATTCCGTCATCTCCAGTCGGGGTTACGGCACGCGATCAGGCTCCCGACCCAACTCGTTCGCCGCCAGCTCCTCCGGTTACAACCTCGCCCACGGCGCTGTCGTGGAACCGTCCGCCCTTCCTCGTGCCGGTCGCTTTCACGAGGATTTCGATGCAGCTACTCAACGCGGCTCAGTCGTCCTCGAGGGTCCCTCGTCCGCCGGTATGCAACGTTCCGTCTCGCAAATGTCCAGTCGCTCCGCAACCCCGACGCGATCCGCCGCCGGCACGCTGAAGAAGAAGTCATCGCTCAGCAAGCGAGGTAGCATGCGCCGCAGCGGAAGTAAGCGCAGCTTGCGCGCCGGCAGCGTGCGCAGTCTAGTCCTCGGCGATAAGGAGAAATACGGCGTCGAAGGCACCGATGATCAAAACAGCGCCTTCTATATCCCCGTCCCCACGGACGGAACGCCAACCGAGGTTCTGGCGAATCGATTTCAGGGTAAGCTTTGAGCATTCGTTCTTGCGCCCCGGTCCCATCGCAAAAGTTGCTAACTGTGTCGCAGCGTGGCGCAAAACTCTCAAAGACCTGATCCTCTTCTTCAAGGAAGTCCAGAAATCATACGAAGCCCGAGCGAAACTATTCCTATCGGCATCGAATGTCGTCAACAATACATCCCTCCCTCCCACATTCCTCAAATCCGGAGGTCTAGGAGATGCGACCGAGATCCTGCGAGACTTCCACCGACAAGGCTATCTGGAAGCAACAAAGGCTGCGGAGGTGGAGAGCGAGGTTGTCAGTCAGCTTATGGGTCTCCGGAACGACCTGCAGAAGAAGACCAAGGAAATCAGGAGTCTGTCGGGTGATTTTCGGAACTCCGTGGACAGGGAAGTCGAGGCCACCCGAAAGTCGGTGCGGCAGCTGCACGAATCGCTCGGACTGGTCGACACCGACCCGTCCGCTACCTCGGGCAAAGGAGACCCTTTCATCATCCGATTGAGTGTTGACAAACAGATCGAGAAGCAGATCGAGGAAGAGAACTACCTGCACAGGGTATGAACCCCTCAATCCTCGGTGTACCCTTTTGGAGGGATCTGACCGCTAATCCATATTGTGTCATGCAGGCGTTCTTGAACTTGGAAAATTCCGGTCGCGAGCTAGAATCCATCGTGGTTAGCGAGATCCAGAAGGCCTACAACGCATATGCCAGCATTCTTAAACGGGAGGCGGACGAGACGTACGACACCGTCAACAAACTGCGAGCGGGGCCGATTTCTATGCCCCACGATCACGAATGGAATTCGTTCATTGCCACGACGGACGAGCTTGTCGATCCTCGAGTTCCTCTTCGAGACGTGGAGAACATTTCTTACCCGGGCAAGGATCATCCCGCTGCTGCAGAAGTTCGGTCCGGCATGCTCGAGCGTAAAAGCAAGTACCTGAAGAGCTATACGCCTGGCTGGTAAGTGTATCTTGCACTTGTTCTTGTTTTCTTTCAGTCGTGTCTTCGGGGAAAATAACAGGCTTCCTAACCCGATACTGCAGGTATGTGTTGTCTCCGACGCATCTTCACGAATTCAAATCCGCCGATCGAGTGGCCTGGCAAACGCCAGTCATGTCGCTGTACCTCCCGGAACAAAAGCTAGGCACGCATTCCCAACCGGATTCGACGTCGCACAAATTCATGTTGAAGGGCCGACAGACGGGCACCATGCACCGAGGCCACTCCTGGGTCTTCCGTGCAGAGTCTCACGAGACCATGATGGCGTGGTACGAAGACATCGAAAGTCTGATCTCCAAGACGGGCGAAGCTCGCAACGCTTTTGTCCGGAGACATGTGCGAACGGTCAGCGGCAACAGCTATCGCACCAGCATCGATGGAGTTATGGATGAAGACGAAGCCGACCGAACGCCTTACTCTCCGGAATCAGCGGTTTTAAATCAGGAGCGGCCTGCGTCTCAGCCCCGTGAGCCGGGCGGCCGGTTTCCCAGTGATGTGCAGATAGACCGCCATTTGCAGGCCCCACTGTCGCCTTCAAGTGGAGAGAGCTCCGGTGAGAGAGACCTGCTAGCCGCGGCCGGATCGTTACCCGATCACTTCGACCCCAATGCCCAGCCCATGTCGAATCGGGCTTTGGATGAGAACCAACCTCGATCCATGCCGGCTGGCGCATCTCGAGGCCACCCGTTCGAACGGCATGACAGTTATTACGGTGCTTGGATGAGCCCCACCGATCCAAGCGCTCGTCAGAAGCAGCAGGAGGCCCAACAAACCTATTCTGCCTCCGAGAATCAAGGAGGTTCTCGGTTCTATGGAGGAGATAACTCTTCTCAATCACATACCTTGTTCGTTGCCGGGATGGGCTCGGGGAGCTCCCGGGACTCGTCAGTCGTACGCCAGAGAAACCGGGGCGAGAGTGCATCCACTGCGCCCACGACCACAAATGTGACCGATCACACTCATAATACCGTTCCTACGTCCATCGACGAGGGACCTGAGCCATCCATCACAGGTTCCGAGAAGCCTTCCCACGACACGCAGGAGAAAACTCTGGGTCCTGCCGCCGAAGTCACGTCCGCGAAGACCGTCCCCGTCATGTCGTCTGGAGGCATCACCCCCAACGGCGTCACTACCGAAGGGACCAAACGGCCGTCAGCTCAAAGCAAGAACAGCGTATCAACTCTTGAATTGAGAATCCCAGGGCATTACCCTCCGGCCAATGTCTCTTCCGCCTAAACTGATCACGAAAAAAGAAAAGAATGAAAGAAAGAGAAAAAAGAAAAACAAAACAAAAAGCAAAAAAGGAGGGGAAGGAAAGGAAGGGGATGTTGATGTGAGTGACATGGGAAAAGAATCAGAGCTGTCACAATCTGACATATCCTATCGTCAAACCACACTGAACCCTTCCCCCTACTACCTCCAAAAACTTTTTCCTTTGTTTTATTTCCTTTGTTCCGAGTTTCATGGTTACGGTTCTTATCATTTCTTGATTCTTATATATTCATATGTACATTATTCTCACTGTTGTCAGCTTGGATACCCGTGAAGGAGTCCGTGCTGGTTTTTATTTGGTTTATTTCCTTTGTTCGTTTCCTTTGTTTATTTCCTTGACTGTGTTTACGACTGCAACAAACTGGCGTTCTAAATGTCCTACCGGTAACAGGATAGGGCAGGATTGTTTGTTTGAATGGGTGGTTGGTTAGGACAGGTTAGGTCAATCGGGACCTACAGGATGGGGGATATGGTTCGGTCGGTATATGGGAGGCGTCTCTGGTTTGGCTTGGTTTTCGATTTATGATCCGCTTTTTCCCTTTGTCGAGCTTGCTTGGTTTGATTCTATTTCGATTCATCTGTACAATATTGAACCATTTATTCATCGATCACTTTTGATGTTAACTTCCTGAGTTGGTTTCATGTGATAGGATTTGATTTCTAGGTGTCTTCAGTCTGAGTATGTATGCATATGTACCTGCCTCTGTTGCAAAATATGATACCAATCGAGGACAGAATGTCATGTTATGTTAGGTCTATATAGTTATACAAATCGGGGTTTCTCCAGAGCCTTGAAAATTTCCCTATCTAGATCAATGAGAGACTTAGTAGTGCACTTCATACTCTATAGTTTCACCTTCCCACCACAGAACACGCATCTTTTTCTATCCAGGGAGCCCCTGTTCAAAATTCCGTAACTTATCACCTGATGCAAGTGATGGCTCGCACCAAAGAAACGCCACCGACTGAAGGAACTATCCTGATCTGGGAAGCGAAAGAAAGTCCTAATTGTGGAATGACGGGAAGATCAATGTAAGAAAGTACTTGTTGCGTTTATGAAGAAACTTAACTGCGATTATGAGGAAGCATGGAGGGTCGAGATATGCATGAAACTAGACAGGCTGCTGCACGAGCAATTGGTGGGCTAGGTACGAAGTATGTATGTATGGACATCCATCTTATGGAATTTGGGCATTGATGACGTGAACGTTGACAATGCCGGCCGGCGGAAGACAAAGACAAGAGAGGAAAAAGATACGACAAGCATCTTCTTCTACTTTCTCTCTCTCTCTCTCTCTAATATCTTTCCCCTAACGTACTGTTTGTTGTTGTTTCTGTGGAATGGAAGAGAGAATTCACTTTTCTGATAAGGGAACCTGCTTTTCCAACTCGGAGAGGTCATGGCAGTGTTTATACTTGTATGTACAAGGACAACAAGGATCTTAAATAACTTGCCACTTTATACGACAAAAAACAATGCAACTAAACGACAACGCCGAGATCGAAGTATACATTTACATATACATCCGCTTCCAGCTCTTTCATGAGGACATTGGCTTCTTCTTCTTCTTCTGTCTCTTCCTATACGGGGCGTAATCTGCACATGCACAGAACCAGTGGTCTCTTGAACGGAGTATGGGTATTGGAGGACTTCTCCAGATGACTCGTGCTCCCTCCCAATGGGCTGATATAGACATGATAGGTACGTCATATAGGGCAAGACTCATGGCCATGCTTGCTTGAATATTGAATCAATTCAATTAACTAGACAGGCTTTATATGCTCCACGGTTCAAATCAACGTGCAGCTGATTAGTTCTCGAACTTTGGTGTTTAGTCAGTACAAGGGAAAGGGCCTCAAAAATGTTCTTGTCTGCCCCCTGCTCTTCTTTCTTTTCTGAAGACCTAATGAGACCCAGTAGAATTAGCATAAATAAATGTTTTTGATAATATGCGCCTGGCCAATTTCGAATAGTATCTTGAAACATATTTTAATCATAAAAGCTAGAATATCTTGTCGGTATACAAATCAACTCATCAGTCCAGTTTCCCGTTATTGAACTTATCTTTTACATATAAGTAGAAGAAACTCTGGTGAGTCTAGAACAGTATATGATATTAAGGCTACTGAAACTATTTATCTCTCTCCTTAGCTTTTACTGGATAATTAGCTTGAAGCGCTCAGGGCGGGCTCAGATCTACTCACCAAGAAATAGCAAGAGATGAGCGCTAAATCAGAGTAGGTCTACAGTCCCTGGACAAAACCAATACATACAGTGCAATGGAGTTCTGCAAGCCGACAAGTGGATAAACAACAATTCGCAACCAAGGTCAAAACCAAGGACGAAAAGACATTCGAGATTCGATTGGTCCCGTACATAACTAGAAATCAGACCGCCGAAAGGAATCAACACGCAAGATAAAGAAGGCACACTAGGGAATCAGATGACATGACATATTCGAATCCACCCCAAGAACAGGTCGTTGGTCTTAAAACTGACATCACAAAACTTTTTCTTCCTCATGAGCCTACCTGCAGGGAGAGAAAAGAAAACTGAAACAAAAGGGAAGGACAACATGGATACAATTACATGATCTGATCCTGCGTGATTCCTCCGGTCGGGTCGCCGCTGTCCATAGCATCGCCATGGCCGGGATCGGCATTCATGTACTTGACGAAGGTGATGCCGAGAGGACGGCCACCGTACTGGTAACCGGTGAATTTGGCTAGATTGACATATATTAGCATCCAGATCGGAACTCGCTTGAGGCAAAGGGCCAAACATACCGATCGCGGTCTCTGCGGTATCAGCGCTGTCGAACTGCACCACACCCGTACCGCGCGAGCGGCCGTTGGGCTCGTACTGGATCTCAGCGCGGTCAACCTTGCCGATGGTCGAGAACAAGTCCACGAGATCTTCGTTGCAGGTCGACCAGGGCAACTATCAGGGGTCACACGTTAGTTGGGATCGTCCCTTCTCTTCATATGTCCCAAGGAGTACTCACGTTACGGACGTAGATGACAGGGCTCTTATCACCACCCGAGGTAGCATAGTCCGTGAAGGGGTTGGGGGGCACGGAAGCCACGCCCTCGAAGCCCCCGGGACCACCACCGAAGCCACCGCCAAAGCCACCACGGCCACCGAAGCCACCACCGAAGCCGCCACGTCCGGCAAAGCCACCGCGACCTCCGAATCCGCCACGACCGCCAAAGCCGCCGCCAAAACCACCGCGGCCGCCAAAACCGGGACCGGCCCCGGCAAAGCGGTCTTCGCGCACCTCCAGAGCTCGACCCTGCCAGTCGTAGCCGTTGAAGTGTTGGATGGCATTGCGAGCATCCTCGGGGGACTCAAAGGCGACGATACCGGAGCCCTTGGGACGGCCAGAAGGATCGGTGTGAACATCGGCACGGATGACGGCGCCTTGCTGAGCTAAAAGACGAAAGGAATCGGGGTTAACGCGGATGCCCGATGCCACAAAGCACAGGGGCAATTGGAGACGTCATTCGTCGCGGGAGGAGGGGTCTTACCTGCTTGGCGGAAAAGATCCTTCAAATCTTGCCAGCCAACGTTGAATGGGAGCTAAACAAGCCGAGATGGTCAATAACCTGTTGCCATATCAAGTATCCTATCCATTCGCATCTGTAGGATCGGGGGTGGGGACAACAAACATTAGCCACGTAGAGCTGACGGCCGCCGCCACCAGCACCACCGCCGGGACCACCGAAACCGCCTCCGAAACCACCGCGGCCACCGCCGCCAAAGTCACCACGGGAGGGTCCGCCGGTGAAACGGGGCTCGGGTTCACGGTCCTACAGTGAAACAATATCAATCAGCACCTCTTCCTGCTCGACAAACGATCAGGCGCGATGGAAAGTGGGTGAAAATACCTCGCGGACGTAAACAAGTCGACCCATCAGATTCTGGTTGCTAAGCGTGTTGACGGCATTTTGCGCTTGGTCTCTGGTCGCGTATTCCACAATCCTGCAGGAAAACAAGTTAGTCAGGGCGGGGTTGCGCACGCGACAGGACATGGACCAACACTCACCCGCATCCCTACAATATCCCGGACAGCCAGGGCCCAGCCCGTCAACCCAACAGTCCATCAAATCAAAGCCAAAGGGGGGAGAAGGGGAAGCCAGGAGCACAAAAAAGGCACAGGTAAAACAGAAAAGAAAACCAGCCGCAAACTACGCATTGGCGCCCACCTTCGACATTCCATTCGGAAGCAGTAAGACGTCGGCAAAGATAACTTCTCCAGCTGTAAATCACGCGGAAAGATCGTTTCCCCCTCCTGGTCAGCCACGAATTCCAAATCCAGCAAGATGCAACAGGCGATGAAGAATCAACAAAAAAAAAATAAACAAATCACACGCCCGACACGATATGACCCTGCTCACCCTGTCTCATAAAGTCTTTCAGATGATGCCATTTGACATCGTAAGATAGGTTGCCCACATAGACGCGACGGTCTTGCTGGGACGATTCGCGCACGGATTGCATCATTTGTTCTTTGGCGGAAGCGCGATCTTCGAACGATCTGGGGGGCGGCGGGTAGCTGCTGCGACCGCCGTAACCAAAACCTGATTGTCCTCCGGAGGGGCCGGGAGCAGTACTCATAGGCGAGCGAGAACGACGGTCACTGCGGCGATAGTCGTCACGGCTGCGAGAACGGCTGAGCGGCGAATACGAGCGGCGGCTAGAGCGTCGAGGGCTGCGCGAACGACGACGGGGAGAACGAGACCTTTCGCGCTGCGCGTGGTCAGTATCGGAGAAGGAGGCCGGCATCGACGAATGAGAGAAGCCTGACGGCAGAAGAAAAGAGAAAAAGAAGAAGAAAGAAAGAAAAGGAGGGAGGAAAGGGGCGGCGAGGCAGAACAGGGATCGCAAGGTTACAGCTGGGGAGTCTGGGAATGAATGGATGAATCGAATTGGAGGAACCGAAGAACGACCCGAGTCAGGTGACACGGGCTGAGCTGCCGGTGACAAAGCATGAAAGTAAGTCGCGCCGGGGACCTTTGGGCTTGGCCGTTTGGGGACCCGCGGGCAGTTCAAACCATTGGGATGGGTTTAGATAGGAGAAAAACAACGACAGCAACTCTGTACAGAAGAAGAAGAAAGAGAAAGAAAAGAAAAAAGGGACAGTAAGTAAGAAGAGACGGACATGGAGGACAGCAATGGAATAGGCCCTGGGCGTGCTCCCCATGGTCAAGTGGGGACGGGCGGACGAGAGAGCTACTGCTCCTGCTCGCCCAGACCCCCGACTCCAACTCCGCCTGGTAAGTAAACCCAGCTGTCGCAGTTGTGCAGCCACCATGAATCTAGGCATCTATTTTCATCCCACCCAAGAAAGTTGGATTTCTCAGCGAAACGAGAATCATCGAGGGGAGAGAAAAGATGGACGAGGAGAAGATGAAGACGAGAAGAAAAGCAAAGAAAAGAAACAAGGTGGACGGAGTAGAAAACAAAAAGAGGAGGGAACAATAGAGGCCGGGACGTAAAAGCCACCAGGCCCGACCACAAGCACCACGTTGAAAGCATCGAAATGGCATCAGAAAAAGAAGCATAAAATAGAATAAAATCATATAATTGCAAAACAAAACAACTTACTTGGTACGGTCGATAAACGTCAGCTGGAGATCACGCCTTAAAGGTAAGCCACAAAACCGACAGGTTGGGGAAACGTCCGCACGAGGGGGGGAAATCACAAAGGAAGAAGAAAGATGAAGGGGGAAGATGGAGAAGGGAGGAAGAAGGGGAAAACGAGGAAGAAGAAGGGGGGAGGGGAAGAAGAGGGAAAAAGGAGGGAAGGGAAGGGGAAAAAGAGATAAAGGAGGGGGACAGTCAGGTCGGCCTCTTGTCAGACACAAAAAGACTGCATGCGAAGGTGTGATTGGCGTTCCCGTGGCACTCCGGGATGCAGGATGCGATTCAGACAGCTGGGATTTCAGCCCGTCTCGGTTCCTTACAGTAGCTCAGAGGATGGACGGACTGAACGGACTGGAGAGTAGGAAATGGGGGGGGAGGATGGGGGGAATTCACTGAGTCCAGTCCAATCAGATCAGACAATCTGAAGGACCTCGCGGGTGAAAAAGACTCGGACTTGGTCTTGTAGGAGAGAGTAGGAGAGAATGGACGGGGAGAGACACGTTGTGATACTGATGGGATTCAAGCTCCAGCTCCAGCTCCAGTTCAACATGTTGGACTTCCGTGGAGATAGACAAAAACGAATAGACACTCACCCATGATGACGGTCAATAGCTCCAAGTTTCCTCCGACAGATAACTTTAAACTCCGTGGAGTTGGCGCGACGGGATGGTGGATGCTCGAGGGCGGATCAACAGAGGGATCGATAGGAAGAGGAAGTATGGATGAAGGTGGAGGAGGACGGGATGAGGATGGGGATGGAATTGGAACTGGAACTGGAATTGGGATTGGGGTTACGGAAGAAAAGGAAGAGTAAGAAGGGAGAAAAGAAGAAGAAGAGAAGGAAGAAAAAAAGAGGGAAGGGAAAGGAAGAAGGTCGCGCGGGGGAAATCAAAGAATCGATCAATTGAGCGGAGAAGGGAGGCTAAAATCCCATTAAATCCTCTGGAATTGGATCATCGTGATGCTTCTGGACAGATAAGATGTTCCTTGGATTGTCATGGAGGGATGCTATACTTCAATTCTTGAGGAATTTCTGGGATTTCTTGAGACATAATCAATTCAATTGACTTAGCTACTCAATTCTTTACTCTTTACTCTTTACTATTTACTATCTCCCATGTACTCATCAATCCGATCCACTGCTGCCATTCAGGAATCCCGCTTGGCTCCGCTCAGGCCACCGCTTAAGCCCACCCGCCAAACTTCCCTTGTTCCTTTTTTCTTTTCTTCCGACGCCGTGAACCTCCTCATTGTCCTACTACTATCACCACAACCACATCCCACCATGGCCCACCCCATGCTCCTCTCTCGCTCGCCCTCCTTCCTGGCTCCCTCGCGACGCTGCCTTCTCTCTCTTCCCACCTCTTCCGCCTCCGCCTCCGCCTCTCTCAGCGCCTCCCAATCCCGTCGCCATCTCCATCTCCTCCGCCAGTCCACGACCCTCCAGACCAACAGCTCTCCCCGCCAACAAACCCGCCTCGTCCCCTCCTTTTCGTCATCGTCAACCCGCCTCTACCACTCACAACACCACCCCGACCCCCCAGTCCACGAATACACCAACTCGCAAACCACCATCCTCTCCGCCGCCCTCCGACACATCCCGGAGCATGGCTTCACCCGCGACGCATTGATCCTGGGCGCTCGCGACGCCGGCTTCCTCGACGTCTCGGTGCAGCTGTTCCCGCGCGCCGAGTTCGACCTGATCTTGTTCTGGCTGGCGAGTCGACGGGGCTTGTTGCGCGCCAGCGTCCACGATGGCCTGTTGGAGCAATATGCGGGTGCTTCCGTGGAGCAGAAAATCAAGGTCCTGTTGATGGAACGGTTACGGATGAATGTGGATGTTAGGCATCAGTGGCAGGATGTTAGCGTTTCCCTCCCCTTTCAATCTCCGTTTTCGCTTCTGGGGATATTGTTTGATGGATTTACTATCTCCATTCAAATCAACCAAGGCATATGCTAATGATAAGACAAGGCCCTAGCCCTCATGTCCCTCCCCAGCAACGTCCCCCTCTCGCTCTCCGAACTACACGCCCTCTCGGACGATATCCTGAACCTCGCCGGCGACACCTCCGTCGACACAACATGGTACACCAAGCGGCTGTCCGTGTCCGCCATCTTCGCGTCCGCTGAAGTCGTCATGACCCGTGAAGCGCCGGGCTCGAGCCTCGCGGATACCGAGGCTTTTGTGGACCGTCGCGTCGAGGACGTCAAGGCTCTTGGGGAGAAATTGTCGGGCGTGAAGCAATGTTTGGGATTCATGGGTTCTACGGCTGTCGGGGTGGGGAGGAGTTGGGGTTTGAAGATTTAATTTGGAGGGTTGATTTTGGTTGATAGAGTTCTCTTGTGAACTGAACTTTGGGGGTGGTTGAGTAGGTTGGGTTGGATGGGAGTGTACGTTTACTGGTAGATTATTCATGTATATGTATAGTAGTATAATTACATTGGTTTTATCTTACACCACTCCTCATCTATATCGATATCTAGTTATGTATATGCGATAGTTAGTATGTACAAGAAGCCCCCCCAAACCCAGACAGACTACTTCAACCCCTTCTCCCACTTCACATCCTCCCTTTCCTCTTGCTTCTTCCACTGCATATCCTTCTCCTTCTCTTCCTTCTCCCTCTCCTCCTTCTCCTGCACTCGCATTTCCAACTTGCGAATCCAACCGTCCTCCCCAATCAAGTCCTTCACGGCCATGCGGTTCGGCGCTAGATCCCACCACGGCTCGCGGGTCTTGGGCGCATTCGGCATCCTCCGCCTCGCATGCTTCTGGATGTCCTCTTTGCGCTGGAGAACAATCGCTCTCAGCAGGGCGCACATGCGCTCGTCCGGCTCCACGCCCGTCACTTCCATCTCCTGCAGTAGGGAGATCACCGAGGGCAGATCCTGGCAGCCGCGCCAGTAGAAGTAGATCATCTCGTTGTACAGGCCCGTCGAGGCCCCGAGCACGGTCGATGTGCGTCCGTGCGACTTGACGGTCGTGCGGAACTGCCCGATCAGCGGCGACTGCGGGAAGTGGAGGTTCAGGAGTTGGAATACGGAGAGGAGCATCTTGGGGTAGAGCGCCGAGACCACCGATTCGGCGGGCATTTCGGGCGGGAGATCGAGGAGTTTCGCGAGGGTGGCGGTCTGTTCGGGAACGGCGGTCGGGTCTGAAGGAGGAGCAAAGGGGGAGGCATCACCGTCCGCCCCGGCGGTGTGGGTAGTCACGAGAAGGTCGAGCATGGAGAAGATACGTTCCTTGCAGACGTCCCAAACGGCCTGATCGCCTTTGCCTGCGTCGATGGCGGCCTGCAGAGCGGTTCCAGTCCTCGCGGATTCTCGTTCGACGATCAGAAAGACCGCCTCTTGCATCGGGATGCTTTCGAGTCTGAGCAACTCCGAGATTTCGGCGCTGCTGTGCTCTATCGTAAGTCCCCGTCTGATCAGTTTATGCTCGATGCTCCCGGCATCGAGTTCCTCGGGAATCTGCATGGCGGCCTGACCCTGCTGAGCTTCTGCTTCCTGGTTCTGGTTCTGATGTCGGTTCCGGTTCCGGTTCTGGACGTCCTTCAGCACGGAGTCGAAGATCCACGAAATCTGGTCCCGTTCGCTGCGATCCTCGTTGCTTAATCTCGGAAGCCCCGGGGGCGGGCTTTCGGGAGTCTCCTCCTTCGTGTGATCCGTCGGCGCTTGCTCTGGCTCTTGCTGGCCCCCTCCAATCTGCTGCAGCAAGTCGCTGAAGACCTGCCTCTCGCCGCGGGTCATACTCCCCGCCCGCAATGAGGTGGGAGTCATGCTCGGTTTCTTCGACGGTTTGGAAGTCAGGTTCGGCTTCCTCGATGGGTCAGAGAAATCGGGGCGAGGCCGCGCTGCCGAGACAGCGCGTCGTTGAAGGTAAGATTTCCGGGGCTTCTCCCGCCCGGCATCCGGGTCCTGCTGTGCATTGCTCTCGCCGTCCGTGGCCGGGGCCGGCTCATCTGATCGAGAGCGTTCAGACTCAGAAGAATATGATCGGAACGACGACGGAGCTCGACGATTCAGCAGCGACGCCGAGAGCGTCGGAGTTTGATATAAAAACGGAGCGAGGGAATTGCGCACCGAGAGCGCCAGCCAGTGACGAGACATGCGTGGAATCTGGCAGGTTGGGGCCGGGGGGATATGTGTTGGAATATGTTCAGGCCCGGCGAGCCGTGCTGGATAGATTTTCTGCCGATTTGGAGACGATCGGATTTCCCATTAACGCGCCCCACGTGACCACGCGGTGGTGGCCGACGCGCCGCTCTTTTCCGTCGACTCGCTGTCGCATTCATTGTGTTCCTCTGTTCGTGCCCGCCATCGTTGACGAAATTGTCCATTTTCATCATTATTATCCTTTCGCCGCAGAACTGAATCACAATGGGCAACGAGGAAATTTCCGACTTCGAAAAGCAGCGTCTAGCGAACATCGCCGAACGCGATGCGCTGCTCAAGAAACTCTCGTTAGAGGCGAAATCCGCTGGCGTCTTTGCGCCGAAAATGTCCAAGGGCTCGCCCGGCGGAGACAAAGCCAAGTCGAAGAAAAAGGCGCCGCCCAAGAAGGTCAAGCAGGAGGCAGAGCCGGTGCTGCCCCGGCGGATGTCCTCGCGGATCAGGGGCATCGCGGCGGAGAGTGAGGTTGCGAAGCGCAAGGCGGAAGAGGACCATGCGGTGTTTCAAGAGGCGGAGAGGGCGAAGCGGCTGCGCAAGTCGGACTCGTTCTCCTTCAATGAAATGTTGGTGTCTGGACAGAAGCTGAGCGGCGATGGGTTGATCGGGGTCGACGTGGTGACGAAGGGTGTGGCAATGCCGTATCAGCGGACCTTTGACGAGGAGGATATCAAGAAGACAACGGATAAGGACTTGAAGGCATTGAGAGAGGAGATGAGTGGATTGAACCTGTGGGAGGCCTGGGAGCCTACTAGTATGAGCATCCCCGTCAACTGTGATTGTTATCTATCGAATGTCCTTGCTAACACCCAGTGTTCAACAGGAATCAAGATCACCCCCGAACGAATCTACGCCATGACCCTTCATCCCTCGGAGGCGAAACCACTGGTCTTCGCCGGTGATAAGATGGGCCACCTCGGAGTTCTGGACGCCTCCCAGGAAAAGTCCACGTCCGGTGTCAAACAAGAAGACGACGACGAGGAAGACGATGACCCCGACCCCGTCCTGACCCAACTCAAACCACACACCCGCACCATCAGCGCGATGACCATCCACCCATCCAAACCCACGCACCTCTATACCGCCAGCTACGACAGCTCCATCCGAGAAATGGACCTCGAAAAGACCACCTCTGTAGAGCGCTACGCTCCGGCCTCCACATCCGAGGACGTCCCCATCTCCGGTGTCGACATGGCCGCCGACGACCCGAACTGTCTCTACTGGACGACGCTAGAAGGCGAGTTCGGACGACACGACATGCGCACCACTTCCAAGCGCAACACCTCCTCCGTCGCCACATGGCGTCTCTCCGAGAAGAAAATCGGCGGCTTCTCGCTCTGCCCGACGCAGCCGCACTATGTCGCAACCGCCAGTCTCGACCGTACCATGCGCCTGTGGGATCTCCGAAAGCTCTCGCACGACGACCCCATTCCCGTCGGAGAGCACCAGAGCCGTCTGTCCGTCTCGCATGCCGCATTCAACAGCATCGGACAGATCGCAACCTCCTCGTACGACGATACCCTCAAGATCTACGATTTCGGTGCCAAGGGCCTCCCCTCCTGGAAGCCCGGCCACACCCTCTCTGATGACCAAATGAAGCCGGATACCGTCGTGCGACATAACTGTCAGACGGGACGATGGGTGACTATGTATGTTTCCTTCCCCCTACCCATTACATTCCGCCCTCCCCCTTCTCCCCTGAAAAAGAACCTCCCAATTAACCAATAGATCCAATCAGCCTCCGCCCCCAATGGCAACAAAACCCGCAATCCGCCATCCAGCGCTTCTGCATCGGAAACATGAACCGCTTCGTAGACATCTACAGCGGCTCGGGCGACCAGCTCGCGCAGCTCGGCGGCGACGGCATCACAGCGGTACCTGCCGTGTCGGTCTTCCATCGCAGCAAGAACTGGGTTGCGGCCGGTACGGCGAGTGGAAAGCTTTGTTTGTGGATGTGAGCTAAGACAAGATACAATATGTTATTTTATGTATGTAGGTACCTAATCTGGGTTCGCTGGAAGGAGTGGGTGCGGTGTTTGGTTTCGATTTATCTTGCATGTTGTGGTTTGTGTCTATAGTAGCTTTGCCCGGTTGGTAGACTTGTATGCATCATGGATGTACTCTGTACTTTTTGGGAGGGTTTTCTTTTTCTATATATTTCTACTGACTATCACGTTGAAAATTAGTTGGAATGTTGGAAGATCATGTCTACATGTCGATCATACCATGTATATCAGCATATCATCATTGTCATTACTTTTTGCCCCAGCATATGATATGTAACTATAGGTTTCGCATGACATATCACCCCTATAGCGAATCAGTGCCTACGTGATTTTTCCTATTAAAAAGAACTGCTCGAATGCCCAGAGCAATATAAATATCAATCCATATATGAAAGGTAAAGTACCCATGTTCATATATGCCGGTATAGAAGAGGAAGATAAGACTATTTACACAAATCAATAAAACCGCTGTTTCTGCAGCCATTTCAATAAAGAAGATCCAAGATCCAACATGACCTTTCCCTCCCAATTCTAGCAGGTTGAGAGATAAAGAAAAGATCGCCTCGAGCACTGCTGGTAAAGAGGATACCTTGTGTTTCCACGCACACGTAATAAATAATTGAAATAGGAAGAAAGAAAGGTGAAAAAGAGCAGTCCGAGCAGGGTATCAACACCATGAGAAATGCTTTCCAAAAAAAAAAGTAAAGATAATAGAAGGGAAGGTGCGTTAAATCATGAGCACATGTGTAAGTAGGCAGAGGGGGGTTAGAAGGGGGACAAAATGTACATCAGAAGATGTAGGGACTTGTTCTGACAAGAACCCTATGTGTTATACAAAACGGAAAGAAGTAAGTAAACCGGAGAAGAGGAGTGAAATGAAAAAAGCCACCTGCCAATTTTATAAAACCAACCGGGCTGCCAGTTCTTTCTTTTGTTTTTGATTTTTTCTTTTCTTCTCTCTTTTCTTTTTATGCTCCAAACCAAAAAAAGATCAACGTTAATGCGATGTTAGTTGAATCTGTAATATAGTGCAAAGCGGGAGGCAAAATCACAAAGTCTTCGCTCTATATTTACTTAGAATTCATTTCGAAGTTCCTCGCGAGATTGTTGTTGAGCGTTGTCTCGGTCCTTTGCTTTTCGCCGAGATGGCGCCGGGACAAAGTCGAAAAAGCGGTACTTGCTCGTGGTCTCTCGAGTGATGCTGGATCGACGTGCTGACTTGGATGTTTCCGCGGTATATTCGAGAGAGTAAGTGGAAGAATTCTTGGAACTGCTGGTGCTATCTCGAGGGTCGGGCCACCGCGGTATCGAAAAAGGCACACGACTTTGGTCCCAGGTGGCGGAGGAGGAACTTGGAGGCGTTTCATCGTCAGCCTCAGCGGCATAGTCTGTGGACCGACGGGGAAGGGACGGCCGCGACGCGAAGTACCCAATGGAGTTTCGGTGACTGCCAGTGACAGATGCGGATCCTACCACTGCAGTCTCTGTGGCCGGAGTCGTAGGCTTGGAACTGTCGTCGTAGAAAGTGGCCGATCGTTCCATCGAATCAACTAATTCTTCCCATTTGATTTCGAGATTTCCGCTCGGACGCTCGGCTGACTCGGCCTTTTGCAGGCATTCCCGCGTACGCTGTTGCAGGCTAAGTGCCACCTCATGAAATTTCCTGATAGATGGATCAATCTCTTCAAGGTCTCCAAGTCTCTCAGGTGCCACGTCAAGCCAGATTCTGATTAAATTGGCAAAGCTCCGGGCGTGATCGATCAAGAACGGAAGACTGGGAAACCCCTCGCGTGAGGTGTGCGGTAAACGGCCCAAGATTTGGATGGGCGTGGCATAGGAGGGCGTGACAATCGGAGCCGGCCGGTCTGCGGGTATAGCGCAGATGGAATCGACAAATTGCTTGAACTCTGAGCGATTGCCGACCAAGAACTTGTTCATCGGCTCCATCCAAGGTTCCTTGCTACCGAAGGTGGTCATGTTGGCCAGGCCTTGCAGTGCTTTGGCAATCAGGGTCAAAGTACGTTGAGCACGTGGACGGGGGTGGTCTGCTTTTCATTAGAGAGAGTAAAAGACAAGAATCGACGAGAAAGAAAATGAAGTGAAAACTGATTAGAAGAACGAAGCAGAGAAGAAAAGGAAACATACCTTTTAGCAATCCAAAAAGTTTTGGGTTCAGGATTGCTGGGCAGAAGAATCGCAAGAACAAGAAGCCCGAGACACTGCTGTAGGTTACCGTCCGGAGGAAGTCGCCGTAGCGATCTTCTGCACAAGCCCGGATGTGCCTGAAGATGAGTCTTAGCTCTGCGGGACATCGGGAAGCTGAACTGGCAATAGATTTCCAGACACCCGTGGTGAGAGCAACCAGGTTCCTCCAGTTCCGTTCAAGGTCGTCCGAACGGTTCAAACGAGACGGGTCGATCTCGCACTCCGGGTCACCATTGTCGATTTCGCGTAGTCGATCTCCAATGGTTTCCTCAAGGTATTCTTTTCCAAGTCGGCGCATGTGGAAGTCAAGGGCCTTGGTGAGCAGAGAGTTTCCCCGAAAGAGTAAGTTCGCCTCCACGGTGGCAGTGCGCCCCATATCTCTTACCAGAACTTCCCGATCGTGTCCCGATTCTCTCGAGTCATTGGAATGGATCCTGGTGGTATAACGGAGCCTGTTTGCCGTGGATTCCTTATGCACACCATCTATCTCGTCCTCAACTAAGGCGGAGATCCACTCGACAGTGCTGCCCGAAACTTGGTAAATGTTCAGCAGAGCCTCAGACAGCTGGTTGAGTTCTGAAGACATGACATGCGCCATATTGATGGTTAGGCCGTTGGTGAAGGAGTGGAGAAGTTCGGACATGGGCGCGTATTCGTGGGACATGAGAACGACCGTCTCCTCCATCCGAGCCCTCATCAGCATCTCGCCTACAGGCTGATCTCGGTTATCGAGGATCGGCCACCATTTCTCAATCTCCACGCCGGGTTCTAGGTCGTCCAGTCGCAGGTCTACCCTCCCATGCGTGGCATCGTGAGAGGAGAGCTCAACATCGTCCAGCGCACGTGTCGGGTTCGTGTCATGGTATGAGCCATGTGAGATGAGCGTCCAGTCTTTCTGTGTAGGGTTGAGAGTTTTGACGAGTATCGATGCCTGCGACAAGACTGGCGGGAGGTCGTGGAATTCAAAGTCCTCCCGCCAGAAAGGATTTGCGATACGGTACTTGACGGCGGTCTTGGCTCGTATCTCGCCATCGAGAAGAATTTCCGTGTAATAATCGTTGATAGCCGACGTCGGAACCGAGTTGCTGTGGGACCGCGACTGCTTCCGGCTTCGAGGAGTCTCTTCTGCTTTGTTGCGATATAGCTTCGCCTCCGTTATTCGTATGCTCAGGTTTCTCTCGATCCTAAACATGTCCGCCATTGACGGGGTACTCGTTTCGGTAGGCGCCGACGTTTTCGTGGGATCATCTTCGATTGACGACTCCGGTCCATAGAGCTCCGGGATGGTGAAGGCGCGCAAGAGTACAAACCACACTTCAAACAAGACCCGACTTTCGAGAGCGAGATATACAGGGCGTGTTAATCCAGACACCGCATGCGCAGCATACTGCGGGTAGATGGCAATGCAGAATTCGTCCTCAAGAACGGAAGAGTTCAATTGCTGCACCGCACACCGGGAAAGTTGCGACAACTGAATGCAAGCCACCAAGGTGATGTCGGTCTCGGTGAACAGCTTGAACACCCCGTTCTCCTGCAGAGTGCAGCTAACTTGCAGCCACGAAGAAGAAGCCAGAGCGCGCTGTTGGCGATAGGTCGAAACGCGCCGACTAGAGGATGGCCTGGCCCCCGACGCACTGGGCTTATTCCAGAGCACCATTTTGCCCACCTTGATTATAGCGGCGTCTTTCTGCACCGTGCTCTCGGAATTTCTTCGCCGGTCAGCAACACGCCGGTCGCCGATTGCGACTGATTGGGGTTTGGTCATCTTGTTCTGAACACCCTTCGGCCTGATGGGTTGCCAACAAAGCAGGGCGGCGAGCCAGGAATCGAAGGTCTCGCTTACATGAGGGCGTAACTCGACGCCGAGACCGGAGGTGAAGGTTGAAACGCTGAGATAATTTGTCCGAAGTTCCGGGTCGACGAGCGAGCGTACCTGGCAGCCACGAAGGTCGGGGATTAGAGTTTTGGCCAATGCAGGCTCGCCCTTTGCCTGGTAGATCAAGCTCCCCGTGGCGACGTTGATGGCACAGTAGCCCGACGTCCAGGCGGTTGTGGAAGCCGTTCGGAAGGAAAGAATGCCGTGCATCCGTCCGCAGGTGGTCTTCATTAGCTGCAGGATTTTGGTAGCATCCGTACTCGACAGGGGCGACGATGTTTGACTGGTGTTCAGGCTCGCCAGGAGGGTGGAGCTCAGCGGCGTTTTGCTTGTTCGTTGGCGACCGAGGGACTGGCTGAAATAGGTGGGCGATTGGATGGAGGGAAATCCGATGGAGGAGGATGACTGCTCGTCGGGCGACTTCACCTGCGAGGCTGTGGTGTTAATGGAGCCCAGACGATTCCGAGTCCGGGTGAGGAACAAGTTGGGGGAGATTTCGCTGCGCTGGTCATCCAAGGTCGTCGTTCGGGATCGCGCCCGCTGGCTCCTCGATTCCACCTGAGCCTCATCTTCATCCCCCGCCGAGTAGTAAGGGTGAAAGTCGCGGCGCGATTCCACGTCGGACGCTCTCGTTCGGGCGGTGACACGAGGGGAGGGAGCTGCGCTCGACGAGGGATACTCCGTCTCCGACAAGGGTGAATGGTTGGCTGCCTCCTGGGTGGAGTCCGGCGTCACCGTCCGGATGCCGGTGTCCCTGAAGCTGTCGGGATAGACCATCCCATGGCGATCTTTGGAGGATGATTTCTTGCTGGGGCGACGTTCCACCGGACGACTGTATGATCCTTGGTTGACCGAGTTCCTCTTGAACCCATTCGACGATTCCGACTCCATCTTTTCCCGCAACGCACGACGAAATCGGGTGGCAGCGGCACTCGCAGGAGGTCGCTACAAAACACGCAAGATGACGAGAGACGCACACTTAAGAATAATAAAATTTCTCGAGACACAAACACAGTATCTGCTCGGTTCAGATGTTATCGTGCAGCACGTTGGGATCCAACGTACGCTGCGCAACCGTCCTCGAACAATTGAGGGCCTTTGTCGTCCAATGGGTCGCTAGCTGAACGCATGGAGTCCGGGAAGGTGGAGGGCGATAAAGTCGCACATTCGGTCGAGGCCGGCGCGTTGCTATACGGGGGGACGATGGTTGATGGCGGAGGGAAAGGACAGCGACACGAGCGTTCGAATTGGTTTCAGGGGGGGGGGGGGGAGGAAGGAAGAAGAAGTGGGAGGGGAAGAAGGAACGAGGAAAAAGAAGAGAGCGACGGGAGAGTCTGGAGAAGAGTAGAGAACCCCAAAAAAATAAAAGCCAAAAAAAAAAAAAAAAGATCAGAAATCAAATCAAATGGAAGAGACGAAGAAGAGGAGGGGAAATAAGAAGAAACAGAATCCAATCCAATTCAATTCTAGAAAGAAAAAAAGAAAAAGAAAGGAAAAGAAACAGAAAAAGAAATAAAAGAAAAATAAAAGAATAAAAAAGTGTCCAATGGGTGCTCCGTAAGTGCGGTGAATCTAGTTCGGCCTCTCCAGCATAAAAGAGAGAGAGAGGGAAAGAGAGAAAAGAGTCGGTTATGTTCGCCCCGGAGCGATGGAAGGAAAGAAGAATCGTCGCCTGCTTCCTCCAACCACGGCCGATCATCCTTCTGTCTTCCTTAGCCTCGTCTTTTGACTTTGTTTCTACTTCTACTACGCCTTCTGTCTTGACTTCTGTCTTCTCTTTCTTTCAATCCTTACACTTGTTTGACTCAATTCCACCTTTTCCCCTATATCCAAATGGAGTAGGGATCGTATATTTGTGATTGACAGATTGATTGATGCTGTCGTTGGTGTACCCTGACGGCGTGCGTTTGAACGCTGCAGATTGCTTGTTTTGTACGACGTCAGCCCGGCCGTCCAAGTGGGGACGCAGCGACTGAGTAAGGGAGAGAAGCCGGTCAGACCGACTAGTTGTCCATCGTAGGAGTGAGATGGAAGGATAGAATAAGAGAGATACGGAGTAAACAGCCGAGAAAACGGGTGGTGGATGGCTGAAGGATCGGATCGTGAAATGCTGGAATTATTATTAACTACAGAGGATACTCTGTAGGATAATAATATCAATCTCTTTGTAGCCAGTCCTGAACACTACGAATACTGCATGAAAATCATCATTCCATATCAATAATTACGTCTACGAGTAGAATCCTCGGCTCGAGACGATCAAATATCCGAGCTTCTTCCGAGAAAAAGTACGACTCGTTAGTCTCCTCCGTCTGATAAACTATCGAGTGCACAGCCATTTCTCCGACAAGCCCATGTCCCTGACGACAGCTGAGTACTACTAGCTAACAGACCGCAGAGACTACATCATTCCTCCCCGAGGTCTCGTCGTTGGCATCATCACTGACTTCATCGTTTGGTTCGCCTTCCAAATATCCATGGTCCCGTCGCAATGCTTCTGGCAACTTCAAGGGGACGTTTCCCCTCCTCTTTTGCATCAGAGATTTTCTTTGGCAAGGGAGTCTCAAGTTACTCAATCAGCTCAACCGAATTGTTGGGCGCGGGTCTGTTTAGATCCACCGTGATCCGGGCCAGTATATTGGATGATGGGACATTATTGCCCGGAATTCAGGATGTTTCCTACCCAAAGTGATCGCTCACGCCCTGGGATTGGTTAAGTTTTCTGTCTACTCACTGATCAGTAGCCAGCCCCTCTATCGAAAGAGAAATGGGCGAATACTTTGTCCCTGTCGAGGGACCATTACCGTTATGGCGACGAATCCACTTGGAAGAGACTCCAGGATGGCACAATCTAAGCCAGACTACTCCGTAGTAATGTTCTTTTATTTCTTTTCCCCCTTCCCACGACTCGTACCATCATGTTTGATTTTCTCCCAATCCGACTTGGATCTTCTATCCGACGTGCCTCGCCTCGCCTTCCCCCTAATTATCTCCGAGGGCCTGGAATGCGCCAATAAAGTCAAAAAAACCCGTCGAAGAACGGACGACGCACGGCTACTTCAGCTGACAGGAAGTTAAAATTAATCTGGAATGTAGTCAATCGACGCAGGGATTCGTGCCTTAGTCTAATGTGCCCAGGTTGTCCGTATCTCGTCCATGTTTCTTCGAACGCAAGCCGGGTGTCAATCAGTTGCGAGCCAGGTCATCACACCATGAGTGGACAAGTCGAGCAAATCCTCCCCCCAAACGGGACACGGTTGTGGCCCTCACGCTGCAAGCCATTTGCGCTACGGGGTTTGGGGCTCAAGATAGTTGGCGCTAGATGCACTAGAGCTGTGTAGCTCCTGCCATTCTCGTCCATGCTTCGAATAACCTCCGAATGCACGTACGCCGACTCCGTACGCTTGTCGCCGCTGCCAGAGAAAGTAGACGGTCTAGAACGGATGTCTCTTCCATCTCCTTATCCCTCCCTTGGAGGCAAGACGAGAGAGGCCATGGATCCTCATTCCAGGTGCCAGGAAAGAACGTTGTGTTCTTTGAGAACAGAGTAGTGCATCGTATGCGTCCCTCACCGGCTGTGGGTCCCTCTTGCGAATAATCAATAATAATGAGTGAGCTGATGGGAAACTTTTTTTTTTCTGTTGGGTCCCTTGGGGTCAACAGCGCGACTAGACCAATAAGACACTAGCACGGTAGATACCCATGAGATGATATGATCATTATTGAACAAAGAAAAGAAAACGAACGCCACTCCTCCCCGGAGCAGGAGTACGAAGAGAGGGGGCGAGTGCCTGACGAGTCGACGAAAAGACCAGCCCAGCCTCTAACACCAAGGCGTGCCACAGATCATTTTCGAGAAAAGTCAAGACCCCAAGAGTCAAGAGTCAAGACTCGAGAGTCCCATCCGCCTCCCCCCCGCACGAACCAGAGATCCCGTGAGCAACTGACTCGTGTCGTCACCGACTTCGACTCCACCCCGTCTCCTGGTCCCGTGACTCGGTGTTCTGTCCGCCGCTCAGAGTAGTAATCGCATCACATGATCTTTGCTATTATTGCCTGAGGCAGCAGCCAGTCATGCGCCTTGACCGCCTGCATCATCGTTGCTTATCACGAGGGCGGTCATCAACCACCGCCGGTGCTTTGGCATGCAAGAACACTGGTAACAAACCGGTCTTTCGCTCGGGAAACAAGTGGCCGTCTTCGAATGTGGATAGACTCAACCTTCTCCTTGCTTGATCTTGTTTGGCTTCTAGTTGCTCTTTCCCTCGCTCCTAGTGCCTTCTTATACTCGGTTCTTGAGCTCGGCCCTGTCGTCGTCCTGTCGTCGTCCCCGGTCCAAGCTGAACCACTCGGGACCACTTCTACTACTACATGACGCCTCTGAATGGCCCTTTAACTGACCGCAAAGTTTCCCGGCTTCCGGGTCGCTGCGATGCACTGACACCCTCGACAGTCGAAGTTCTTCCATAGTTCATCGTTACCGAAAACACTCTAGCACCATTCAAGATGATGGCATCAAATGTCCTGTCCCGCATCCTCCCTCACAACGGCTCCCCGTCGGTATACGAGACGATTCGACAACATGACGCGGGTTCGGACGACTCAGACGTGGAGGAACGTGCAGGCCTGATGCTAGGAAATAACCAGGATGAAGATTATAGTAATCGAGAGCTGGAGGAAGCCATGATCGAGGCTGGGAGGGATGAGATGTCGAGTCCGACTCCAAGTGAACCGTTCCTGACTCATCGCAGCCCCCAAAGGGTGGTCGAGGGTGGAGATCAAGGTGCAGCTGGGTCTCGTCGTCGCAGGCTTAGTCGTCCTCGTTGGATGCAGACATCGTCGCCGCATCATGACCCGGACGATAGAGACGACGATGTGCCTGCCTCTCTCTACGTGGAGGGTCGGCAGGACGACGATGACTTAAAGCAGCGTCTCCCTCCTCCTCCCCCTTCCCATCATCGCTCAAGCCAGGAGCCCCCGGTACCTGGGCCTTCCTCTGGAGGCGATCGGGCTCGGTGGGAAAGTACCAGAGAACGTTTGCCCTTACACACGAACCACCAGAGGCAACGGCCGGGGTTGATATGGTCCTTGGGGCATCCGAGCTTAGCCACGGTAGATCCAAAAGAAAAGGCCTTGTGGATGTGGGCAAATGTGGAGAACCTGGATAATTTTCTGAAGGACGTTTATACGTATTTTCTAGGTAATGGGATCTGGTCTATATTGCTGGACCGGTTCCTCAGTCTCCTGTACGCCTACCTTACCCCTTCGATTTGCCTTTGCTATAGCGGCGTATGGGGGACACGGTGCTAATGTTGGTTGTAGGACATTTGCATTTGTGGTCGGCTTCAGTACGTTTCTTATGAACTGCATTGACTACCGCAGTGTACGCGGAAGCAAGACCTTGGATGATATACTCATCCCGAAATGTACCAAGAAGATGTCTATGTCTTCGACCCTCTTGCTCTGGCTGCTTACCTTTTTCTGGATCGGGAAGGCCTTTCAATACGCTCTGGACATCAGAAGACTCAAGCACATGCATGATTTTTACCATTACCTACTTAATGTGTCTGACGCCGAGATCCAGACGATCTCCTGGCAAGAGATTGTCAGCCGGTTGATGACGCTGAGAGACTCTAACCCCGCGACGGCCGGAGCGGTTTCTGCAACGCACCGCAAGTTTATGGGCAGTCAATCCAAGCAGCGAATGGATGCCCACGACATTGCCAATCGACTGATGCGTAAAGAGAACTACCTCATTGCCCTGGTGAACAAAGACATTTTAGATCTGACGCTCCCTATACCATTCCTCCGAAACCGACAGCTATTTTCTCAGACCCTGGAGTGGAACATCAATCTTTGCATTATGGACTACGTTTTTAACGAGCAGGGCCAGGTGCGGACACTATTCCTGAGAGACACACATCGGAAAGCGCTGAGTGAGGGCCTGCGGCGGCGTTTCATGTTCGCAGGCATCATGAACATTTTTGTGGCCCCTTTTATCGTGGTCTATTTCCTGATGCACTACTTTTTCCGTTACTTCAACGAGTTCAAGAAGAACCCGTCTCAGATTGGGTCTCGGCAATACACCCCTCTAGCCGAGTGGAAATTCCGGGAGTTCAATGAGCTTTGGCATCTCTTTGAGCGTAGGCTGAATATGTCGTACCCTTTTGCCAGCCGATACATTGATCAATTCCCCAAAGACAAGGCCGTCCAGCTGGCTGGCTTCGTGGCATTTGTCTCCGGTGCCCTGGCCTCCGTCCTTGCCCTGGCATCGATCGTGGATCCCGAACTGTTCTTGGGCTTTGAAATCACGCCTGACCGCACCGTTCTGTTCTATCTTGGCGTCTTTGGATCTATCTGGGCCTTTGCTCGAGGAGTGGTTCCCGAGGAAACTAATGTGTTCGATCCTGAATACGCCCTGCTCGAGGTGATCAATTTCACACACTACTTCCCAAATCACTGGAAAGGCCGACTGCATAGCGACGACGTACGGCGAGACTTCGCCACGCAATACCAGGTCAAGATTGTGATTTTCTTGGAAGAGATTCTCAGCATGATATTCACCCCCTTTATCCTTTGGTTTAGTCTGCCCAAGTGCAGTGACCGGCTGATTGATTTCTTTCGAGAGTTCACGGTGCACGTGGACGGAATGGGCTATCTTTGCTCGTTTGCCGTCTTTGACTTCAAGAAAGGCACCAACGAGATCACGCAGGGAGATGCCGGCCGACGAAACCCTGCGAGGCAGGACCTCCGGGCGGACTACTTTTCGACCAAGGATGGCAAGATGCTCGCATCCTATTACGGATTTTTGGATCACTATGGAGGCAACCGGCCTGCTCATCCGGCTGGGAAGCGTCCGTTCCATCCCCCACCCACATTCCCGCCATTGGGATCGCCCTCGATGATCGAGCCGGGCAATATCGGCGACCGACAGTCTACCGTAGGAGTTCCTCGGTTTGTTAACCCGGGCCTAGGAGACTCGATACTTTTGGACCCCCATCACCAGCCATCTGCGTCGGGATTCCGGACCAGCAATCGCAACCCGGCCTATTCCCGCTATCGGTCGTCGCGTCCTTCGCGACCGGCCTCGGACCCCATCGAGGACGATGAATCGCCAACCGCAGAGACGCGGAGTCCGGCCGTAAAGAAATCGCCGCACAGCGGAGCCATCGGTGGCAGTGACAGCAACCTCGGCGACTCGTGGCGAGTCAACTTAATGGGGGATATCGAGGAAGATGACGGCGAGGAAGAGGGGGAAAATGTGGATGCCATTGCCGGGGGTGCAGGCGTGTTGGGCCTCATTCAGCAATTCCAGAAAGTCAACAAGGACAACCGCGGCCGGAACACCGTAGGGATTTGACCTCCGTCTGCACTGGCGTTTCTTCATAGATAACCTTGTATACCATCATGTGGTTATACCAGCCAACCGACTTAGGAGTTCAGTGGCCATCGTTTCGGAGTTGAAACTTGACGTGGTTTTAATCTTCTTTTTTCTTTTTCTTTTTCTTTTTCTTATTCTTTTTTCTCCTCTGCTGTACTCCGTACTACAGTACGTCGGGGAGCCCTATACTATGCACTATTTTTGACACATGGAAATTACGGTTGAATTGATGAAAACCATCCCTGTCACAGATAAATGGAGCGAAGTCGCCCAGACTGGAGCACGGCAAGCCCCTTGCGGTGAATTTTCATGGTGGAATTGATAGCCGGGCGGGATTATCCCCCCTGGTCAGGTTGCAGAGTTATAAATAGAAACACTGCAGGGACCGATGGATTCAGGTTTTTTCATATTCATCCTTGCGAGATCATATTGACACTCATTCGTGGATCCTGCAGGTCCCAGCCAAGAACGACATGGACATCGCTGACAGGAAGGGGACTTCTTAGGGGAAGAATGCTGGATGTCATCTTCGATCCCACTGGAATGTGTCTGTCGGTCTGTCCTCTCTCTCTAGTCTAGAACCTCGGATCTTCTCATTGCTGATCCGGGGCATTTTTCCATGTGCTTATCGGACGCAATGCAGTCGATACGCATCCTACTTGAAGCCGATGCACGTCGGACGGAATCTGTGTAGTCGTAGACTGCTACTCCGTAAGTGTTAATGGGATAGATTAAAACCAGAGGGGGTCAATTGTCAGGACGAAAGTACTCAGAAGTACTCCTGATCACTGGACCCAAAAAATGGCACACGAGAGAAGGTCTCGGCCTCTTGGCTCTGCGGGTGCAACCGTGTCGGGTCGAGTTGATTGTCGTCTCTCTGCTTCTTCTTCTTCTTCTTCTTCTCTCCTGTCATCCATTTCTTTTCATTCATTCAGGCAAAATCTCAACTTCCATCATGGGGTGCGTTTGATTTCCACCATTCATCGTCCCTCGTTTCGCTCGCTTCGTCTGTTCGTTTTCTGTGATTTGCAGCCGCCACGGATCAGTATGACCTGAATGGAATCCTCCTGAAGCTGAATTAATGGTTTTGATTGGGTTGGATTGACTTTGACTGGCCTGGACTTGAATCAATTTGGATTTTTTGGATTGTTCGCGAGAATAGAAAGAGTCTCGTGATTGCTCTTCCCCCCTGTCACTCTTTATTTTTTTCTATTTTTCTATTTTCTCTCTTCCTCTTCTTCTCGTCGGCCTTTTCTCTGTTTTCTCAATCTCCTTCCTTTTCTCTTTTCCTTTAGCCAATTTGGCTTGGGTTTATTGTTCCTTTTCTCTTTCTTTGTTTTTTCCCCCTCTTTAGATTAGATCGGTGTGTGGATTTTGTCTCACCTGTCCCCCCTTAGGGTGAGGCCTATCAACCTTCATGTTCCGAGCCCGTCGATACCGAGGCCTGCTGGCGTTCGCTGCCATTTTTGTCTTGGCCGTCATTCATTTTACTTCCTCTCGAGAAACTTCAACCGTCTCTCTTGACATTCCTCCGCCGCACGTGGACCAACCCGACCCGGTCTCGCCGATTCCGCCCGCCGATAAACAACAGGAACCCGCTGGTTCCTCACCACCCCCGTCGCAAGAGGTTCTCCCCGATTCTCCTGCCTCTCAGAAGTCCACAGACTCGAATGCCTCCGAATCCGATTCCAAATCCGATGCTTCCTCCCACGATCAGTCTTCGGGCGAGGGCTCGCCTCAAGCCCCCGAACGCCCGCAGCCGTCCAGCGATGCGCATAAACTCAAAGGCGGGCCTCTTCTCTTCCCGGGTTCCCAAGGCCAGGATGCTCTGAAGGTAGAGCCCGCAGCAAACCCGAGACCTCACTGGCAAAGAGTCCCCGAGAATTTCCCCATCGCGCCTGAAGATATGATCAAGCTGCCGGCCGGCAGGTCCAAGACGCTTCCGACCCTACAGGCGAAATTCCGGGACGAGACCTCTGCCGAAAAGATGAAACGTATAGATAGGCTATCAACTATCCGATCCGCCTTTGAACATGCGTGGAGTGGGTACAAGGCATCGGCAATGGGCCACGACGAACTCAAACCCCTGCGGGGTGGGTTCCGTGACACGTTCAATGGCTGGGGAGCGACGCTGGTTGATACATTGGACACGCTCTGGATCATGGACCTGAAGGAGGAATTCTCGATTGCCGTCGATCAGGTGAAGAAGATTGATTTCACCACCACCAAATCCGACGACATCCCGATCTTCGAGGTGGCTATTCGGTACATGGGCGGCTTGCTCGGCGCATACGATATCTCCGAACATAAATACGAGGTCCTTCTTGAGAAGGCCATCGAGCTGGGAGAGATCTTGATTGGCGCTTTTGATACGCCTAACCGGATGCCAATCCTCTATTACAACTGGGCGCCGTAGGTTGCACCGCATGCCGGGGGACCATTGGATATGCTGACTGACATCATGCTTCACAGAGACTACGCAGCTCAACCGCACCACGCCGATGCGAAGGCAGTTCTTGCCGAACTGGGCTCTCTCTCCGTGGAACTGACCCGTCTAGCTCAACTGACGAAGGACAACAAGTACTACGATGCCATTGCGCGCATTACGAACGAACTTGAGCAGTACCAGAGTAAGACAAGCTTGCCCGGCCTATGGCCTCTCCACGTCGATGCCTCCGGATGCAGAAAGGCCAACAACCCGCCCCATCCTGCCAATAGGCGCGTGGATGTTCCAACTCCCGTTCAAAAGCCGGATTTGGGTCCGACGGACGCTGAGAGCTATAAGAACCTTTTCGAGGAGCATGAAAAGCATGACAAGCTCCAGGCGAGAGGGCTCCCCGATAACGCAGAACCCGCCGTTTATAATAACCCCGTGAAAGAATCGAGCCCTAAGCCGAATGGAAAGGCCAAGCCGGTGGCTGTAACGGAATGCACCGAGGGTATCACAAGCCCAACGTCCGCTATCGATAAATATGGACTCGGCGGTCAAGCTGACTCGACGTACGAATATCTTCCTAAGGAGTATATGCTTCTGGGTGGCCTCAATGAGCAATATCGTACCATGTACGAGAACGCCATGAACGCAGCTCGCGAGCACATTATCTACCAGCCGATGATCAAGGACGTTCGCAACATCCGGTTCACGGCTACCGTTGGCATTCCTAAGCCCGGACTGGCGGGTAAGGTTTCCCATTCCTATGAAGCAACCCATTTGGCTTGTTTCATGGGTGGCATGGTCGGCATTGGGGCCAAGCTATTTGGGATTGAGGGCGACATGGACCTCGCCGCCAAACTTACCGACGGCTGCGTGTGGGCGTACGAGTCTACCAAGACTGGCATTATGCCCGAGCACTTCCTTGTGGTTCCCTGCACGAACGACGGGCCATGTGTGTGGAACGAGACTGCGTACTGGTCAACATTGGATCCGTACGCCGAAAAGCGGGCGAATGCTGCGTTAGCTGCAGCGAGCAAAAAACAGGAATTCGCCCGTGACAGCCAGGATTTAACTCCTGACAGCGAAACGTCTGCATCTGCGTCGGCATCTGCTACATCAGTCGCCGGCTCTTCCAGGTATCACGGCAAACGATCTCCCGAACGAGGCAATTGGCATGTCATTGCATCACCTACGTCTGCACCTAAACTCAAGTCGGCCGATGCCGATCTAGCAGACCGGGACACCAAGAAGATGAGCATGGCTTCCCATGAAGAATTCGTCAGCGCCCGGATTGAGAACGAGCGCCTGTTCCCAGGCGCTGTCAGTATTCCCCGTCGCGAGTACCTTCTCCGACCGGAGGCGATCGAGTCTGTCTTTGTCATGTATCGTCTCACGGGCAATAACTACTGGCGTGAGAAGGGCTGGAAGATGTTCCAGGCAGTTGCCAAATACACTCGCACGGAACTGGCCCATAGTGCCATCAACGATGTCACGGTGGAAGGCCCGCGGACGCAAGATCGCATGCAATCCTTCTGGCTTGCCGAAACACTCAAGTACTTTTACTTGCTCTTCAGCGACCCCAGTGTGGTCAGCCTTGATGAATATGTATTGTAAGTTATTCGGCCCACTTGGTTCAATTCTGAGAAGACATACTAACCGACCTTCTCTTATAGAAACAGCGAAGCTCACCCGTTGAAGCGACCTGAATACTAGATCTTCAATCAATTGTATATTGAAGGGATTGAGGAGCTGAACATATCACACATTCACTTTTGTTGTTTGCATTGTAAAAGCACTGATACCATGTTTTATTTGTTTCCCAAGCACAGTGTATATGAGCATTATGGACCGGCCCAACGGGAGTCTTGACGATACTTTTTTTTCTTGTTCTGCTTCAATGTGACTTAATTCTTTGGCCCCTTTTTTGCTATTACTATTTTTTCTTCTCTCTTTTCGAGGGCCGGTGTGGACAGCAGGAATTCTGTATTGTTATTGGAATTGTTTATTGTTATATAGAGAGGATAACCGATAAACGCAGATGGATAGGACAGACAAGACAGCCTTGTGGACCAGGCCCATTCCGGGTACTTTATTTTTAGTAGGCGCTGCTAACAGACCGGCGGTACTGGCAGTGGCAGTTCCCCGCCCGCCTTTTCTGGACGGCGCCAACTTGCGTCCGCTTCCATCGTCATCATCGTCATCCCACGTTTCTCTCTCCGTCCTTCTTCCCAGCCAACTCGCTAACGGGCGCAAGACGGGATGAGTGCAGTGTCTCGACACGCCCGACCACGACGATCGAGCTGTGGGAAATGGAGTCTGAGGCCTCATTGGACAACGAGCAGCAGTTCTGGGACGGTAAGATCCCGCTGTTTTTTTTTCTTGCCCTTCCTATCTTACCCTGTCTCTCTACCCGCTCGTTCGCACCGATCGCTCGGTCTCATGAACCCATTGAGGGATTGGTGAACTAACGTTTTATCGAGTGCAGAACTCCAAGAGATTGTTTCCACCCCTTGCTCCTCCGAGGACCACATCGACGACGCACTCCGGTCATATCTAAGTTTAACCACCAAGTACAAAGGTCAATAAACGGTCGAGATCTCCAAAAGCAAAATATCTACTTGCGCATGGGCTGATGAGAGAGGGTCTCCGACGACTTTTCCAGATGAATACCTACACTCCGAGCTGGCTGTCTCGCGCTGCTCGTACAAGCTGCTCGCCTCTAGCATCTTTGCCGATCATGGCGACTACGTGCGACGGCAGATGGTCTACGGACTATTGCAGGATGACGACCCGGATACCCTCCACCTGATTGTCTCGTTTCTACTCTTCGACGGGCGACAGAATGAGACCCCCTTTCGGATGATGGACGAGGAGGGCTCGTTCCCGCGCATGCTGGAGCTATTACAGGCGCAAAATCGACATGTGGACGAGGACACTGGAGCTCGTCTCCATCGACTGTTGATGGAGCTGCTCTACGAGATGTCGAGGATACAGAGAATTAAGATTCAAGACTTAGGTGGGTGATTTTCTCACAAGCGAGCGACTGGCGGTCAGGCGGCTTGCTGATTGGTGTGTACAATGGCAGTTCTCGTGGACGATGAATTCATCAAGAGCCTTTTCAATATCATTGAAAACCTCTCGTATGATGCCAACGATCCATACCATTACTCGGTCATTCGTATTCTGGTGAGTGACTGTCCAGGTTCTAGGGTTAAGACAAGATGCTCATGACACGACAGTTGGTCTTGAACGAGCAATTCATGATCTCAGCACACGATCCCGTGGGTGAGCGATCGTCGTCGGCTCCTCTGACGAATCGAGTGATCAAGGTGCTATCTATGCACGGAAATTATTACAAGACGTTCGGCGAGAATATTATTCTTCTAATCAACCGAGAAGGTAACAACTCACCTGATCCTCTTAGCTGCTGGCTCAATCATCTAACCGAAATGCAGCCGAAACTTCTCTTCAGCTTCTCACTCTCAAACTTCTATACCTCATCTTCACAACGCCTAGCACGTACGAATACTTCTATACGAACGACCTCCACGTCCTTGTCGACATTCTAATCCGAAATCTTCTTGACCTGCCCGAAGAAGCCTCCGCTCTGCGCCACACCTATTTGCGAGTTTTGTACCCGCTGTTAGCACATACGCAGTTGAAGGCGCCGCCGCATTACAAGCGCGATGAGTTGAGGCGAATGCTCAGCATCCTTGTCCGCGGTCAGCTTTTCAGCGGTGAACTCGACCGCGAGAAGATCATGCATTTCGAAGAGGTTGACGAGACGACTAGACGACTAGTCAGCCGCTGCATCGCAGTCGAATGGCTACAAGATTGGGACACTACTCGAGACGACAAAGCTTCGCCGGACAAAGAAACGGAGCCTTCCTCGGCCACGGATGTCTTTCCTGTCGACGTTGATATTGGAGCTCCGCTGGAGCCCTCGCGTACACTATCGCCCACTAGTACCAACACCAGCACGGTAGCCAGCTCACCGGAGACAGCATCTCCTACGAGACTAGATGGTGTGCACAGCAGTAAACCTAACCACATCCAAAGGCTGGGAATGCATCTCGAGCCCGCATCTTCCTCGTCGCTGAGCGTCCAAGAAGTTGCTTCCCAGCACGAAAAGCCAGGCATCATCACCCCCAGTCGACATGACAACAGCAATACCGACTCCCTGCATGCCAAACCCAAGATCAAGCCTCTCCCACCGAATCCCCGACGCTGGCGCGGGCGAAGAAGAACTCTCACCTCGGAAGATGAAAACAACCCTCTCAACATCACCCACACCCGCAGCAGCACCAGTAGCAGCTATGACAAAATCCCTGAGGACGCCGTGCCGGATGCTGCAATCACTGCCAGCCCCATCGCCGCCTCTCCCACCCTATCCCCGGTCACAACCGCCGCCCACCAGCCCGGCGACCGAAGAAACTCAACCACAACGTCGGGACTGGCTCCCCCTCCTGTCCCCGGGCATTCTCGTCGCTCCGCGTCGAACCCGCCCCCGGCCGTGCCGCCTCCTCGTCGATCCACCCACCCTGCCGTCCAAGCGCATGCCTCCAGCCACTGCACGCCCGTCACTAGTCCTTCGCGACTACAAGCGCAGACATCGGCACCGCCTCAGCTCCCGCAACCCCTCAGCAGCAAACACGGGCAGAAACCCGAGCCCCCGCGGACTCGCCGCTGGGGTCGTGGTAAAGCGCATGCGCCGTCTGATACCTCGGAACGATTCCATTCAGATACAGAGCCGGGTCAGCCCCACTCCTCTGTGCCTTCCAACGAGAACGAAAAACGCAACTCCGGACCAACGGTCAGTGTAGAGGAGGCGGTACAGAACGTCACCCTTGAATAGAAGAGGTCGGGCTGGGCCTGTGGCCTGGAAGTGTGTGTGAGAGAGATGATAGATGCGATACTGATCTAATCAATCAATAAGATTTCATTTCTATTTGGAATATTCAATCTTCGTCTATCTCTTCCTCATATGAACAAACCAGAAAAAACAAGTAAGAAACCCCAGATTATAATCAATTCTCATCATCTTGATTCCTTTCTTTTTTGTTTTCTCCTCCAACCAGCAATAATAGACGACACGGCATGGAACATAGGCTAAGCAAGCAAGGTATGGTATAGTATAGTATAGAATAGTATAGCATAGCGGTGTGCATCTGATTGATTGATCTCTTGTTAGGAATCGTCCTGTCTGTCTGGTACAGTTATCTGCCGTAGGTTCGGTAGCATAACATAACATAGTATACCATAGGGTAGTTATTGGATCAGTTAGGGTTGTACGTATGTACACCTTACCTATAGAATCGACCTTCTATCTAGATGAATCGACCTAGTCTACCTAGTCTACCTACCTACCTACCTACCATCTAGCTGAATCGACCTAGTCTACCTAGTCTACCTAGTCTACCTACCTACCTACCTACCATCTAGCTGAATCGACCTAGTCTACCTAGTCTACCTAGTCTACCTACCTACCTACCATCTCGACCATTACCCGATTACCCTGTTCGTCATCGGACATTCCTCACTTTACTCTCCTTCCGTCTTACCTTTCTTCTGCTTCTTACCTCTGAGGAGATAGACAGGTTCCTTCCTAAACAATGTATACATAGCTCGAAGGAACTGAAACTGAAACTGAAATTGTTGATTCCCTTTCCGTTTCTCTTTACACACAAAGGAGAAGAAGTAAAAGCAAGCCGAAACTGAAGAATAGTCTGTAGATAAAATTCGTTCGTTTGTTCATTCCTCAATAAACGGAACGAGGCTGGGCCAGCTATGCAAAAGACCCCTGCAGGATTGCTATGTACATAACATACAAGCATAGATAGATGATGAAGTAAAGACATGAAGGGAAAAGAATAAAGTAGAGAGATAGAAGTTAACAATGAAGACTGATGTCAGGAAGAATAGACCAAGTGTTCAGTCAACCATGGATCCAAATAAGAAGAGAAAAAAGGGTAAGAAAAGTCGGACCGGTAGACCAAAGCCAAAACCATAATCATAACCATAACCGCAATCACATGCAGACTGTTTCTTCCTCATGATGAGAAGAACTAAAGCGGCCAGCGCAATAGGGAACATCTCTCACTCGGTTTTAGATTCCAGGATGTAAGATTGGCAGGATAAGAATAGGTAAGGTCAAGAGGGGCTTCACGTTGAAGGAAAACCAAAGGACAAGAAACACTAACGCATTTCAAGACCCCAATATTTCTCAGCCCCAAACGAATCCGGAGTATCCTGTTTCCACAGATCATCGAACGCAGAATGGAAGATCAGATCGTCATAACGACGATTGAAACTCTGCGACAGCGTGATGATGGCCGTGCCCTGGTTCTCGCGCGAAGGGACCGCCCGTCCATTAGCTTGGCCGTGATGCGGCCACCCCGATTCCGTGATGACGGTGCGCTTGCCCCCAGCGGCCGCGGAGATCCTGCGGGCCTGTTCAAGGGCATACGCGCCTGCGCGGTCGGGAGTCATATTGGCATCGAAGAAGGCATGGCAGTTGGCGGCGCAGTAGTCCGAGGCCTGGCAGAGTTCTGGGTGCTTGAGGAGCACGGAGAAGGTGTCGACGGTTACCACGGGCCCTTGGTAGCCGGCGCTGCGGAGCTTGTGACGCGCGGCATTGACGGCGTTGACGACGTCGGGGACGGAGTTCTGGCCCTTGTTGACGAGCTCGTTGCCGACGTTGATGGTGTGGAAGGTGGACCAGTCGCCGGCGGCGACGCGGATGATCTCGTCGATACCGGCTGGAAATTCGTGGAGGTCGAAGATGCCGGCGAAGACGCGGATATGGCGCTCTCGGGCAGCCTGGACGACTTTTCGAGTCTGGTCGCATGCCACGCCGTAGATGCGCACGAAGCTGTAGAGGCGAGCGATTTTGTCCATGTCTTGGTTGACCTGGGCCTGGGTTTTGCAGGTGCTATCGTCGTTGAATGGCGCATAGGTCACACCAAACCGCTCTTGAGCTTCGGGACTGACGAGGACATCGGGTGAAGGCACGTTTGTCTCGGAAGCTGGCTGCGAGGGCAGGGCATCCGTGGGAGGCTGCAGCACATGGGATTAGCCACCAATGATCGATCTTACGAGTATTGAGCTCGTATGGCTACTTACATTAACCGGGGCTGTGGCAGTAGGAATGAGGGTTTCGACGCTCAGGGTCTGCCCCATCTCATTCACATAGACGATCACACTCGGCTGCTCGTTCTCCTGGTTAACATTACGCTGTTCAAGCTCATGCATAGCCCCTAAGTCAGGCTGTTAGTAACGGATGCGTAGGCTGTGCCATCGAGAAAGAGGTATACCAGAGGGGAGTGCAGCGACATGGAAGCTGAGCAACAGCACAGCGACGAAACGAAGTAACCAGTTCATCGTTAATTAAATCCCAATCAACGATCTTCCCTAGAATGAAAAAAGTTTTGTCGAAAAAGGCAAGGATTCCAATCTCGATGCAGGATTCAAAGGGTGTATCGTAGGATGAAGCGTGGTAGAGATAAAAAGGTCAAGAAATTAAGCTGCAATGGAAAGAACGCCATTCATCTCTAGAAGAGTACAAGCTGGCTGGGGAGGCGAAGCCACCCCTCATACCAGCTATTCACCGATTCCGCCAAAGAACCGAGGATGGCTAGTCACAGAGGAATCTCGGCCATTCACCTGTAAGTCAGAAGATTCCCAGATTGGCTGTGGTCCAATCGCAGGGAAGAATGCAGTGAATACTTACTTGCATCCTCCGGGAATGTCCATTTCATATTTGCGGGGGATTCCCTCCATCGTCAGGAATGTATATACCACATTCCAGGAATCCGCATGGCCGAATGGTGGACGACTGGTTCCCTGGATTATGCCTTCTGAATTGCCCCTGATATCCCTTTCTTCGGTGTGTACCTGCATGGATGAGAGCAAAAATGACATAGAAAAGAATAGTATTAAAACAAAATAACAGGTCTAATAATCCGGATCGGCCAATCCAACAAACAAGGCCGCAATGACTAAAAGAAATGTAGAAAGATGAATAATCTTCAACAGAATATTAATAAATGATACAAGGGGCGAAACAAGTATTTCTGCCTTTTAGCAGCCAATGCCGATAAATCAGTCTTGGATATGCACATTGGGGATCGAACATAGAATCAGTCAAGAGATCCACCAAGAAATTTTGCTGTACAAATAAAGAACGCAGAGAAGGGGCGTCGCAAGGGCGCGAAGAAGGTAATTAGGATGGTGGGAACAAGTCATGGATGCATCAATATTCATAGGCAAAGTCCTTCTACGGAAAGGTTCGGGACGGAGGGATGAATGCAGGGGTTTACTTTCTTTTGCTCAGAACCTTCGTGATCGCATGGCGGATCGTGGTTCCGGCTTTTTCGATTTCTTTCCTCGTCAAGCCGATTGTGACGCAAACCTTCAACCCCGGCGAAACAATTTGCTTCGGTTCAAAATTGTCCTGAAGAGTCTTGAGGCGAGTAATGAGGACACCATTCGCAAGGCACTGTATCAAAGACAACGTTAGCTTGTCAGGTAAATTCGCATATGATCGACCATCGCAACTTACCTCATCAACCACGTCCTGCAGCAAGAATTGCTGATCCTCAGCCGACAGTCGCTTGGCCGAAACCACCTCGGGCTTGATGACCAAGATCATAATCGGGTTCTCTGGCGCACTAATGCAATACACCCACTCACTGCGGGGGTCCAGCTGAGCCCACATGGCCTTGGTATGCTCCCGCAATTGCGAAACTGTTTCAGGGTTGGTCTGAAGAAGATTGATCGTGGCGCTGGCAGTTGTGGACAACAGGGCGGGCAGTGCGGCAGAGAAAGTGTACGCGGCGGCCGAGATTCGCTGATGGTGGACGATCTCTTCGGAGCCTGCGCAAAAGCCACCTCCTGCGACCAATGGGCCGGCCAGCGAGCCCACAATCATATCAACTTCGGCCGCGTCGACATTCTGGTGTTCGGTAATACCACGGCCGGTCCTTCCAAGGACACCGAATGACCACGACTCGTCCAGGATAAGACGGAATTTGTACTTGAGTTTCAATTCAATCTATGATTTGAATTAGCCAGTCTGTCCAATCTTCATCGAAAAGAAAGGAATTCGGTTGGGGGCGTACGATCTTAGGCAAATTAGTCATGTCGCCATACGATTCGAAGAGGCCTTCCGTGATGATAAATCGTCTCGTAAGCGGTTTCCGGGCTTGTTCCTTGGTCACCTTGGCCAGGACTCGTTCCAAATCTTCCATGTCGTTGTGTTCGTACCAGCGGACCATGCTACGCGAGATCTGGATACCCTTCCGAATGGCGAAGCTGACCCCCTTATCGGCAACAATGATATCTCCACGCTTCGAAAACGCCGGGATGACACTCGAGATGGTCGAGAAGGCCTGCGCGTAAATGATGCAAGACGCAGTGCCAAGGAACGACGCGACGTCCGCCTCAGTCTTCATGTGGACATCCTGAGTTCCGTAGAAACCGCGAGGGCCGCAGGGACCGACACCGTAGTTGCGGAGAGTCTGGATGGCTTTTTCTTTGAGAGACTCGTTCGTGTTGAAGTTGTAGAAATTGTAGGAGGCGAGGTTTGCAACGGTTCGGCCATTGCTCAATTTCGATTTGGGGCCAACGGGGCTGTCAGGGGGCACAAGAGGTTAGCTAACATCACGACAGAGTACAAGTCCAGGCAACCGGATTTCAAAATATTACCCAACAATCACAGTTCTCTTATCCACCTCCATCTGCTCCAGGGCAGTCGGCTTTGCGACAAGTGGCTCTGGGGTCCATTCATCCACGAGGTCATCGATTTCGTCCTCCGACAGCTGGACCACGCCGGGCTTGGTTGAGTACTTCGGGGCAAGCAGATATCGGACCGCGAACAAGAAGAGGAACAATTCGACGGCAGATCGGATAGGGTCATCTTGATAACTAGACTTTACATATCGCAAGAAGATTGCCGAGCCGGGCACCCGGTGAAACAAGTTTGCGAGCTCATGGAGGTACTCCGAAAGGAGCCGCTGGGTCTCCTGGATATCCATGATGGTAGGGGCGGGGATGAACGCGCTCGAGGCGCAGTAGGAAATCGCAGGCTCAGAGTGTAGAGAGGGTCAGGTAGCGTATCCAAGTATTGAGCATCTGTTGTCGTGCTGTCAAGGCCACGAAATGTGTTTCTCGAATCCAGGGAAAAAGTTAAGGGAGTCTCGACCGTCGCGGCCGCTGAGCCTCGCATTTCCCGCCCGTGATCGCGGCCCGCACGTGACCCATGGATACTCGTCAGGCAACCGTCTTTGTGCCTGCAGACCTTCGGCTTACAGAGAATCGGCTTCCTACGCAAGGCTACAGGCGATCATCCCGGTGAAATTGAAGTGAAATTCATTAAAATGATAAAAAGAGAGACGGCACAGTGGTGGCAGCATAAGGCACAAAGATGGAAATACAAGTCTAATGATCACATGGAAAGGACCGAATTGAAAGAAAGACACTCCCAAGAATACAGGTCACGGTTTATAAGTATTGAATCCATTATTTGAGGGCGACAGAAAAAGAAAGTAAAGAATCAAAGATCGTACGCGCAAAGTCAAAAGAAAGCAAGGCAAAGTAAATGTATGAGACGCCGCAACAGCAACTTCAAGGCGCTGGATACTTTATACAGCTCATGTCCATGATTCCATACCGAAAACAACCAAACAAAAATAGAAAACGAGGCGTTGCGCAGATGCCACGGTTGACCAGCATCTATGAGGTTGCAGAAGCAGAAGGAGGGATCCACGCACTTTTTCCGTTGGGCAAGCCGCTACCAGTGTAGAGACTGGTAGTGTCGTTCTTGGCTTGACCAGCGTCCAAAGGTTGTAGTAGTTGTTCCGGGAAGTCCTTCATCATCTTCTGTGAAATGATGCCCATGTTGCGAACGACAAGCGGCGCAATAAGAAGAACAAGGAACAGGACGAGCATGGCGAAGTACATGATGGCGAAGCGAACCACTCTTCTCTTGCGGAGCTTGGACTGCTTCAGGGAGTAGATAGGCGGGCGAATTTGACGACTGACGAAAAGGTTAGTATATGTTCAAACTAGTGGGGACGTGCCGCATGTTTTCTTACCTAGGGCGCAGCCAGAAGAGAATGATCGAGTGGAACTTGTCAACATAGGGGATGCAGAGGGCGGGCAACATGATGAACAGGATCAGATGGCCGAGGACGAAGTCACCGGCGAAATAACCCAGTTCTGTGATCTTACACAGGAATTCACGACCAGGCTGGGTCATCGAGTGCCAACCCATGTTGTACCATTTTCCGGTCCACCAAGCGATGTTGGACTGATCGTGCTTGAACTCACGGGTCAAGGTCAGGGCGATGATAAGCTTGTAGATGAAACGCTGAATGGCGGCCATGGCAATCATGCCCATGATGCACCGGGGCCACGACCAGTGCTCCAGGAAGAACATGACCTCGAAGATGATGAGCAGCACAATGACCGCAATGGCGTGCGCGATTGCAGCAAGAACAGCACCAAACTTCTTACAGCACATGCTGAAGATCGGACCCATACAACAGGCCATACCGAAGAATGCACCGGCAACACCAGCATTGACACCGATGGGTCCCAGGGCAACGATTCCAATACGGATAAGGGCGTTGTATGCTTGCTTGTTGTCGTCGGTGACACCCGTTCTGGAGTTGATGTAGAGGAAAGGAACAAGGGTGACCGCAACGTGGACCAGAGGCGCCACGATCTCGCTGAAGAAGATGTTGGTGATGCGGGCTCTGGGAACATCACCGGAACCCTTCTCTGAGGGGACACCGAGGAGCTTGCGCTTGTAACCCGTGATGCGAGTACGAGACAGACGACAGAAGGCAATCCACGAAGAAGCGTGGGAGCGCGAGTTACCACGGGAGAGCCAGCGGAGATAGTCACGGTAGTCAATGAAGAAGTCGTTCCAGGCAAACTGGTGAGGGTTGAACAGGAAGGGCGAGATACACAGGGCAAGTAGCGACACCCAGAACCAAATCAGAGCTGCCGACCACACGGTCGAGGTTGAGAACAGCAGCATGAGCAGAGACCGGGCGCCGGCATAGATCGACGGACCGGCGAAACGCGAGTACAGCACACCAAACGGAATACGGGCAGTGGCGAAACCACGTCCGGTACCGATGTAGCGGGCACCTCCAAAAGACAAGTTCTGGTGGACAGCGTTGGCGTAGATCTGGCAGACAAACACCTCGAACATGAAGGAGAAAGATCCAAAGTGCTTAGCCAAACGCATGGCCATACGCCACACACCTCTCTCCGTCAATTCCTGGACAGCCAAGGGAACGAACGAGATAAAGAACACGATGAAGATAGAAATGACGCAACGGTTGACCCAGTCCATGATAGGAGTAAGGTTGGCACAGAAGGTGGGACGCAGAGGATCCGTGATCGGGACGTCGGGGTTGTAGTTGCAAGTTATGGTCTCGTGTTTCAGGGCACCAAGGTTGACCAGGACAATCATGAACATCTGCACAGACAGCATGATGAACATGTTGTTAAGATGGAAACCAGGGTGAGCATAGTAGAAGGACAAGAACCGATCGAGGGGAAGTTGAGTGCCGAGGTAATAGTACTCTCTCGACAACATCTGCTCACCCATACCAGTACCAATCTTCGTGGTGAAGTTCAGAATCGAGCCAAAACCAAGATCACGACCCTTACCACACTGGAAGTACTCGCAGTGCTTGATACGTCCACCACGGGTCAGGGCCATCATACCGGCGTAGATATCTTCGTTCAGGTGAAGACCTTTCTGGGCCTTGGAGATACCACCACGGGTACACATGAAAATACCGTTCAGGAAATCAGGGTGACCATAGTGCAGTTTTCCACCAATCTGGGCAAGAGTACGGGCGAACAGAGTACCGAATGTTTGTTCCTTACTGGCAGCGACGTCACCAAGAACACCAACGCTCTCGGAGAAAATGTATTCACGGGCACCGAGGATGGCAACCGGGTTGGTGTTCACCGAGGGGATGCCGGGGGTGTAAGGCGAGACGTTGTCCGTGGTCAGTTCCTCAAACTCAGCAAGAACGCTACGAATCTTCAGGCATTCTTCGAGGTAGTTGTCCTGGTTAGCGTCAATGACCTGAATGTATTCACCACGGTAGAAGATGATCGAGTGGTTCTGGTTGTCCGATTTGCCGTCTCCAAGAATGGGGTTTCCAGAAAGCTGAATCCTGAACTTGGGCTTGCGCATTCCGTTGTCAAGAAGCTCGCAGTGACCATCAATCAAGGCCGAGTACAGGCGAGGCTCCTCGCCCTCGTTGACAGGAGGCTCTTCGTCGAGGTAGGCAATCTGCAGGTCGGGGTAGGCGCGGAGGAGGAATTCAGTGTTTTCACGCTCCTCTTTGTTGAACTTGGCATAACGCTGCATAGAAACACAGATCTTGAACTTGCGGCGAGCCATTCTTTCCAGTTCCCGTTCAAGCTTCTCGGAGTTGCCACCGAACATCTGAACAACCTCGGGGTTCTCGACACGGTACAAAAGCTTGATCGCGCGGCTGTAGTTCATGAAGCCAGAAACGGTTCGGTACAGAGTCTGCGAGCGCAGAGACGACCAGATTCGGGTACGCAGGGTATACTCAGGGGCAGCCGATTTGAAACCAATGCAGTAGAAGGGCAAGTCATCAATCTTGCTCTTGGCAACGTCCTTCTCGCTCTTTTCGTTTTCTCCGTTGAATTGGGAAGTCTCGTCAGCAAGAATCTTGGTGTCCTTGACAAAGCAGTCCCACTCGTGAGGGTGAAGCTGTTTCAGGTATTCCAGAAGCGTGACACGGGAATAAGGTTCATCCTCACGGATAATCTCACGAAGCGACAAAAGGATCTTCTCGCTGTAGTGGGGGATCAGCACGGTGAACGCCGGCATGTTGTCGACCGGAAGAGGCTCAGGCATGGGGGTCGAGAGAGACTGCGCGAAGAAGGAGATACGTCGCTCGGCTTCACTACCACGGGGGAAAAACTCGGTCTTGAACGACTGATCTTCCTGGGAAACGAAGAAGGTCGGCGCACGCAGGGTACGCTTGCCCTCCTGCTCGGATGGAACCTGGTGGTATAGCAACTTCTGGACATGGTCGATGGCGAGCAGATGCTCTCGGTACATGGAGATGATAATGGCATTCCACACCTGAGAGATCAGCACCTTGGGCTTGTACTTGATTTCCATATCCGTAGTCGCGAGGACCTTGGAGTAGATACGCTTCGGGAGACGCGAGAAGATGTTTCTCCAGGGGGACCAAATAGACACACCCAGGTAGAACGATCTAGCCACGGAGAACACGGTGTTACAGATAATGTACCACAAATAACTATCCAGGAAGAACAAGGTCAAATCCATGAAGAACATGAGACCAAGCAGGATCTGAGGCTGGGCGTGGCACAGGTCGTTGGGGATGTACTTGACACCCGCACACTGTCTGAGTTTCATCGGGGACAGAATGCGAATGGGATCCTTGAAAGACAGCGTCAAGAAGAAGTACGATTCCGCGAGCTTGGCTCCGAAAACGCAAACCCAGAGACCGTAGGACATCCACATATCGTTTCCGGTCAAACGCGGGAAACTCGCCGTGAAAGTCTGACTGGCAACGTATTGGCGGCCGTGTTTCTTCAGGTAGCTACCAAACAGACCACCGAGCGGCATGACGGCAAAGAAGAAGAACGTAGCGAGCGCGATGAAGAAGTGAACAATACCAATCACGAGAGGGATGGTCTTGTTGTCCACGTTCTTGGAAAATCCGAAGACGAACACACCAGGAGCCAGGTTGATGATGAAAACCAGGAGCAAGAACATCAAACGCTTGGTTAGATGCTGAGCACCGGCCCATAGTCGAGGAACGTACATCCACTCCATGATGGTAGCGAAAATCTGAATGAACGCACACAGCGCACCACCAAAACCAACCGAAGACCAGTAGTAGGCACCGGGAGGCTTGTTGTTCAGCTGCTGCTGGTAGTTGTGGGTGTAGAGAGTGGGGGCGTTGTAGGCAGTGAAAAACCAGAAGGAACCCAAATGGATGACCCAGATACGGTTGAAGTTGGTGACCATATGGAACCAGGAACGGGTTTCCTTGTACGTCTTGAAAAAGGCCTTCTTCCAGTTGACATCCTTCAGCTTGAGCCATCTCTCGGCGGGCGGGACATCGACCAGTCGCGTCTTGTCCTCAAAGCCAATACGCTCAATACCCTCGGGGTACCAGAAGAGCTGGTTCATGTCATCGTATCCGATGATCTGGTTGTGGTCACGTTCACGCTTGACATACTTGCCATCGACAATTTCGTATCCCTGGTCACGGCAGTACTGGTAGAGGGGCGTGATGATGTCGTTCAGGTAGGTGCCCTCTTCGACGGGTTCGACTCGGTTCTGGCACTCGGGGGAGGTGTAGTAGTCGTCGGCGCACTTGAAGATGAAGCAGAGACACTCGGGCAGGTAGCGGACTTGGTTGGCCTCGCCCCAGCAGCACAAGTACAAGGCAAGCTGACGCACTCGGTCATGCTGAGACATCCGGTTCATTCTCGTCTTCCATCTGTACTCAGCAGCCTCGAGACTGTTATCACCCTGCAGTGCTTCCAGGGTCTCGTCAACGTTTTCGGGGTTCTGTTCCGCCGCCTTTTGGGCTGCTTTGCGGGCTTTCCGGGTCTTCCGGTCGCCCTTTCCCAGCTTCATGTTCGCAAACCCTACGGCATCGTCGAGATCCAGATGGGCCGCAAAGTACCAACGACGATAGTTGGCGTTATCGCCACCGATGTAGTCCGCGTGGAGCGAGAGGAGGGCTTGGTTGGGCGTCATACGGGAAGCACGCGAATCCAGCTGGGTCATGAGGTGGTCGTACATGTTGCGCATGCTGTCCCTCTGGAAACCGAACTTGTTGACCAAGTCAATGAAGATATCTTCGATTTCCTCCTTGGAAACGGGGATTTGAGCGTCCGAGGCCCAGGCGGGATAGGGCTCGCGCGACCGCTGACCGGCAGGCAAAGCGTTCCCGTAGTCCATTCCGTATACCGGGGTCGAGGCTCCGGACGATCGATTACCGCCATAGGAGATTTGGGACGAGGGGGGGCGATAGCCGCCATAGCCACGACCGTACTGGCTGTCGGCATAACTGTTGTAGCGTTCGTCACCACGGCCATAGTAGTCCATGTCTGCCGCACGCGCGGTCTCCGACCTCATGGTGAAGTCGCTGAAGGTTTCCGAGTCCTCCTCCGAATCACCTCTCTGTCGCCCTCTAGCCCCTTGGCCGGCGTTGTCGTAGTACTGGTCTCCGTAGTAGTCGTCGTGGTGACCAGCATCGTAGTATCCGCCTTCTTGATGGTACGCACCGGAATCCGCACCGTAGTAACCACTGTCCATCGTCAATCACACGATTCGCCTTGCACATTCACCCGAGATAACACATACCCTCTATCATAGTAGCCGTCACCGTAGTCATTATGGTCATAATAAGCCTGGCCATGCTCGTCCTGATAGTACGAGTCGCCATGGCCCTGATGGCCGTAGCCATCATCATAGTGGCCTCCTCCTGGATGGCCCGACATGTTTGCGAGCCGATATTACCGAAGCGATTAAGGGTCTCTAAGAAGGGTCGGTCGGTCGAGGTTAGCGTTCGTGGATATGACCAGGCATTCCAGGAAAGGAGGGTGCATCGCAAGGTTGCCACATACAAGAATAACAACCCATGAAAGAAAAAATCGAATGAACGAGCTTACAAGCTAATGACACATAAACCGGAAACAGGCCTGATGCAGTGGTCGGATGGAACAAAGTTTCAAGATCGACGCGTCGTAAACCACCTCAAGCCAGCCTTTTTCGAGCGGGACCAGTTCCAGACTGTTAAAGGGTGTGTAGACGTTGGAGTCGACCGGGATGATCGGTTTCGAGGGTTCGAATCGGTGACAAACACCGAAGCGGTTGATTTCTTTCAGAAACGAATGGAAGGGGGGGAAAGCCGAAGCGATGCGGCACAAGAGAATGATAAATGCAAGTATGGAAAAGAGAACCACCCGGCTGTCTCAGCCAAGAGCGACCTGCCTCTTCTTTCCTCAAACGAAAGCAAGAAAGAAGGAAAGGAGATCGACCAAAGGTGACAGGAACAGCTTCCCTTGGGGTGGAAGGAAGGGAAAAACAATAAAAAGAGTGAACGGGGACCCAAAAGTCAGGTCAAAAGGAAGTGAAGCCGAACAGAAAAGACAAAAAAAAAAGGAAAAAAGACAAACGATGGGCGTAGTAGGGGGAGGAGGAGAAGATGGCTTGAGTTGGACTGGCCACTATCCGTGAAAAAGGAATCGATTGTCCACCCAGCAGGGAAAATACTGGCCACTACCGGGGGGGGGAGGGTGGGATGGGGGGGGCTGTGGTTATTTTGGGATCTGGATCTGCTAATTTACTGCGCGACTGTGGTAAGCCGGTGGTTATGGTGCAGGTATGGTAAACAATTATCCTACCCTAGCGTTACCCGCCACTGAGACAATCGAGGTTCCGTGGATGACAGAGGATCTGTACACTGTATGTACATACGTGTACACTACTGTAAAGTACTGAGGCAGCCACCCCTTATTCTACTGCGGGTGCCCTGAATCCCACCTTTGCGATTGGGCCATAAGTGAAAGTGGCTTGGGGCGACAACCCGTACGGAGTTAGTAGGTACCTACCGAGTCTTACGAATGGACATGCGTAAATGCGCTGTTCGCAGCCCCTCAGTTTTCTGCCAACCAGAAAACAGGTTGATATCCTGTTATCTGCCTACACTACGGAGTACTCTGTGTAGGACTGTAGGTACTGTCTACTCCGCCAGGAGATTAACTCTCCAATCCACTCAATTGCGTACTGCATACACCGTCGAAACTGCTTGCTGCAGGTGTCCTTCGGGAAAAGGTCACATAAATTGTCTTGCTTTCCACTGTCTGTCAGCCTGAAATCTTAGGCTGCGTGTTGGTTCTCGGCTGGCCATGGAACTCCAGAACGGCCCCTGAAACCAGACCCACCTCCAGCCTCTTGAGCATCAAATTACGGGTACGGTACGTGGACCACAGGTATCGCTGGGTACCGCCGCCCGTAACTTACCGCTGAATAAGGTGCGTTGTTTACATTATTGTTTTGGCCTGGTATGCAGGGATGGTGTCTTCATACCAGGCCTACGATCTTCGGGATTTCCCCCTCCGTATGTTCTACTGAGTGGTGGCGACTTTACGAATGCGTTGCTATGCCGTCGTCGACCATCGGGGAGATTGTTTATTGTGAGTGTTATTCTCTGGCTCAGCGGTCGGTTCCTGAGCGAGCCAGCATGTTCGAAGGAATGGGTCAGAGTACTCGGTGTACTGTGTAGGTTAGGTAGATGGATTCTGATCCCCTCCCGATTAAACTTTTACACTCGATATGTATTATTCAAGGGAATCCGATAGAAAGAAGAGAGAGAGAGAAAAAAAAAATTACTATCAACGTTCAGGCCTCTGCCAGTACAACTGTGGAACCGACTTTAAATAACTGCACTTTGCCACCGCGAGACTTGAGATTCATACAGCTCGGTGGAGGGAACCACGGAACGACGTGATTTGCAGTCTTGGCTGCCAATCACGCTGCGTCCTTTGTTGCTCTTTGCATGCGGCAGATTTAGTTAAAGCAATCCAGGAACAAGCTCTCAAGTCCACAGTCATGCTGAAGCGGTAGGATGGCGCAGGCAATGAGATGCATTGTACGGAGTACTTCGTATAGAACTGTACTTGACCTTTTCTTGATATAAATAGTCAGTTGATATCAAACTGGCCTGCTTGTGCACGCTGCGCGCTCCTGGGCCTTGCACAACATCTAGGCTATTTGAGTCGTTAACTATCAGGACTCGAGGTCTGCCGGGGCGTAGCTCTCTGCAGGACATGGAGTCATGTACACAGTAGTATGTACTCCGGTGTACTCGACCTTCGAACATACTGAACAAAAGATCTTCTTCTACCCTGCATGAATTACACAGCATAGAACAACAGAGCAGGTGTTGCTTTTGTCGTTCTCTGTACGTCATCGGCCTCAGTACCAATCCACGATGCAGCCATCTCCAACCAGATCCAGATGCCATCTAGTCTTCCTGCACTGCCTATACGGTTTTAAAGTTGACGGCAGGGAGATACACATCCAACGGCTGCACCGAACTAGCGTTGCACAAAAACATCATGATTTCCACGAAAGTTTTGTCCAACCTACAGATAGTGATACTGATACCTAGAGTAACCCACCAAAGGTACCTGTACACTTACAGTAATTATCGTCATCAGACCATTAAGGCTTAAGGGAAGTGACACCCCACCGTCATCGACTTTCGGCCTTGGTTAAGGCTTTTTTACATTATTATTGTCTAACTCTTACGGCCCGGCCGTCCTCCGTCCTCCTAGTTCCCTTCTCCCGCCAGCATTCTATGATTCTAGTCGGTTTCAACGTGACGATCGTCAAGAAAGGTATGCCGCATCGAGGCAAGTTCGAATCTGGCACCCTTGGCTCGATAAGCAAAGCTGGGTCAAATTAATTCACAATTCACCACAGTAAGACCTGTGGCGTAGGGAGGTACTAGTACTACTCCCTCCGTAAAGGAAGACTAAAGCATCGGCGTAAGAATGAATACTTGGTTGGCGTTCTGGCGGTACCGTTTCGTCCCCACATCGTCTGGGTCGATTACGCGACCCATTTATTAGTTAGTTACCTACACCGTAGTACCTACCCAGTCTTACGGAGAATCGAGCATAGGCCCAGAGATACGTGCCTTGAGAAGATTCCAGAGTAAGGATATTTAAAGTATGGACAGACTCCGTAAAAAGTCCGGAGGCCTGACTATTGAATCGCGAAAATGCACTATACAATCCCGATTTCTAAGTTAAGCCTCGCAGTCTCGCCAGGGGAAGGACAGACTACAGACTACAGAATAATACCCCTTCGTGGTTTCCAAAAATAAATAACCAGATCGCGAGAATCGCTGCTTAGAAAGCATGGAGTTGACCATCCATGGAACTTGTAACCCACCGCACCAGACCTGGGCGATCAAGAGTCTTTCTTTGTTTTCCGGTGTCTTTGTCTAGGAACGAGGATATCACGTCAACAAACCTGTTCATACTGTGTACACCAGGTACGGAGTATGACGGCCGATGACAGTTGGCCCTCGGACTGGGCGGGATGGCTAGGGAGAGGTGATAATTGATAATGCACGGTAGTGGATGGGGGAGGGCGCGGAGATGGCGGATTTTCGAAACGCCTCTTTTGCCCTTGCAGCTCTCCCGACTATTTCACCAATAAATGGACTGGAGATGATAACCTTTGTTCCGGGCGTATTACTGATGCATGGACTGTTTTGTTGGTCGCACTGGGTCCTTGTAAAAAAAAAAAAAAGAAGAAAGAAGAAGAAAAAGTCAACGGTGAAAAGTCAGAAAGTAAGCATAAAATTACCACAGAGGATAGAGTAACAGCACCACACCATCAGATCGTAATACATTGAATTAATGAATTGATTAGCCAGTTTCACCTCCCAAAGATGGACCAATCCGTAAACAGATGGTATCCTGCAGTGGGCCCCTGCTAATGTGCCTGCTGCCCAATCGGAAGTGTGCAGGCAGGGAGAGCCAACGGGTGGCAAGTCCATTGTTGCCAGTGGTTGAGTGAAATGACAAGGTCCAGCCTGGTCCAAAAAAGGTTCAGGGGGGTTTCAGGTTTCATCTTCCCTGCAGGCTGGCTGACCCCCTTCAGATTTTACAATTGAAATAATTAAATTGATCGGTAATCATATAATTTTATTATAAATCCGGCTACCAGTGGACGGGGGACAGTGTACTCCGTCCAGTCTCAGGGATGGAAGCCGGGGCGGAAGTGCAATTTCCATCCACGAGGAAAGACACCGGAGTAGACTCAGGCCTCAGGCACTCACTGTGTCCACAGTCTGCATAAGTAGCATATCACATTAATTATGTCCATACCGAGTGATCACATGCATGGTCGACTCCCTACTCAGTGTACACAACTCCGTGTGGCCTCCTATTTTTGGCCGGCATTCTCTCAACTGAGACCTCTCACTTCTGTTATGCTGGAATTTGATCAAGACGCCTAACTCTGACGGCGTGTCGTGAGTGCAACATGGCTGTCCCAAGGGTTTCGTCATGTCGAACCGTGGTCCACTGACGCATCTGGAAAGATCGTCATGTTGGACGATGTTTTAGCGATCAACCCCATTCACAAAATTGAAAACGCTGTGTACGTCGTACGTACTCAGTACTTCGCCACAGCCACCGACGTTGATATGCACATGTTGCAGAAGCTTGAGATCGACATTCTTCGGGAAGACAATCTGGGATGCAGGCTTCATAATCATTGCACAGACACCTGCTGCATGCAGCGACCGACTGCTCCTGCACCCGAGCGCCTCAGTCGGGCTTATCTCATGAGCGAAGCCTGATACGCAGGTACATCCACATGTGTACGACGCATCGTACTTCGAGTCTTCGAACCTCGAGTTCGATCAAGGTTGACAAAGAACCGGCTCAATTCTGTATTCGGCGAGTGGTCCACTCGATTTACTCGAACGAGTAATGAGGCACGGAATCCCTGATCCCCGATCGCATGATAACAGCAATGATGTTCCAGAGCTTCACCCCGACTCGGTTGGCTCAGGATTGACAAGTCCTGACTACACTACGACGATGATGTGATCGGGGCCACGGACAAAGCATGACTAGACTTCGCTTCAGGTTTCCTGTCTATATATATCACCAGTTAAGCTTTTCTGATCGTTAAGCTCAAGGGCCTCTCCTGGCTTATTTTCCGTGTGGACCTGGATTGCGCGTTCCTGAGACTTCTGATATCAGCGTGTCCCTTCGTGGGACGTCTCGCGGCTCAGTAGCAAATGACAGCCGGGGAAAACGAACATCGTTGAATATCATCGGCGATCAAATCACGGGAGGCAGTCGATGACCGTGGGGATCATCCCGCTCAGGTCCTCTCCGGGGCCCAACAGGACGGCTGAGCATGGCCTCTGCCCGCATTTCCATCAATCCCTGGACCCTGACCAGCCGCTTCTCACCGACTGAGTATGGGGGAGGACGAAGATTAAAATCCTGGTGATTGGACCTTTTGTTCGAGGGCACTTCCTGTCACTTTTGCTGTTCTTTCTGCCTCTCACTTTTTCCAGGCTATCAGCCGTAGTCATTCATTCATTCATTTGCTATAATTTCACTCCTTTTTGGTATCATTCTAGTCATTCATTGTTTCTTTTCGAGTTTTATTCAATCGCACATTCATTTCCCCTGAACGGGCAGGCTCGTAATACGGCTGTGGATTGATATCCCCAATCTATCGGTTGACTGCATCAACTCTATACTTATATTCACCATGAGGCTTTCCAGCATCGTCGCGGGTGCCGCATTCTTCGCCAGCAGCGTTCTGGCTAGTGATCTGGACCCGATCATTATCAAGGTACCTCGTGCTCATTACCCAACCCAAGAGTGCCTTCTTGCTGACACTGCTGGCTCCCAGGGTTCTAAATTCTTCTACAAGAGCAATGACACTCAATTGTAAGTGGAGTCTGGCTCGACCGTCTACGTCGAGTGTTGTGCTAATGGATTCATAGTTACATTCGTGGTGTCGCCTATCAGCGTATGTTGCAGCTCGTTCAGTATCATGACGAAGATGACATGAACTAACCCCTCATAGAGGAATACTCTGGCCCCAAGTCTTCCAGCAACAACTTCAAGGACCCGTTGGCCGACGTCGACAGCTGCAAGCGCGACATCCCTTATATCTCGAAACTCAATGCCAACACCATCCGTGTCTACGCCATCGACCCCAAGTCCGACCACTCTGAGTGCATGAACCTCCTCAGCGAACATGGCATCTATGTCATTGCGGATCTCTCCTCGCCTAGTGAATCTATCGTCCGCAATGAACCCAAATGGGACAACGATCTGTACAACCGATATGTCAGCGTTGTTGACGAGTTGTCTCAGTACAGCAACGTTATCGGGTTCTTCGCCGGAAACGAGGTTTCTAACACCAAGAAGACCACAGATGCCAGTGCCTATGTGAAGGCTGCTGTCCGTGACATCAAGCAATATATCAAGGCCAAGAAGTACCGTCCCATGGGTGTCGGATATGCCACGAATGATGACTCAGGTATCCGTGAGGACATGGCCAACTACTTTAACTGCGCTGAGTCGGACGAGAGCATCGACTTCTGGGGCTACAACGTCTACTCCTGGTGTGGAGACTCGAACTACGAGAAGTCCGGATACAAGAGCAGGACCGAGGAGTTCAAGGACTACTCGGTCCCTGTGTTCTTCGCTGAATACGGCTGTAACGACGTGACGCCTCGCAAGTTCACCGAGGTCGAGGCTCTGTATGGCGACAAGATGGCCGATGTCTGGTCCGGCGGAATCGTGTACATGTACTTCCAGGAAGAGAACAACTATGGTAAGTCACTTGCCAACCACTACCCCCTGCCTCCTCTCCGTCCCTCTCTAACATGGTCATACAGGTCTGGTTTCCGTCGACGGCGACAAGGTCAAGACTCGCGCCGACTACAGCTACCTCTCCAAGCAGCTCGCCAGCGCCACTCCCACCGGCACCAAGAAGAATGACTACTCGCCATCCAACACAGCTCTCCAATCATGCCCCACGGTCGGCGACTCCTGGCTCGCCAAATCCAGCCCTCTCCCGCCTTCCCCGAACCAGAACCTCTGCTCCTGCATGGAGGAGAGCCTCACCTGCAAGCTAAAGGACGACGTGTCCGGCAAGCAGCTGGACAAGCTCTTCGGCACGGTCTGCGGCTACAAGGTGTGCGACGGCGTGCAGGGCAACGCGACGACTGGCAAATTCGGCGCCTACAGCGTCTGCACCCCCGAGCAGCAGCTCTCCTACGCCATGGACCTCTACTACCAGCAGCAGTCGAAGAAGGGCAACGAGCAGAACGCCTGCGACTTTGACGGCGCCGCCACGACTCAGACTTCCAGCAGCCCTAGCGGCACTTGCTCCGCGCTGATCGACCAGGCTGGTACGGCGGGTACGGGCTCGGTCACTTCCTCGCCGACTGGTACTGCTGACGCCATGGCTGCAAGTGACTCGGCTGGGGCGTCTGGTTCTGAGGGCGCTGCGTTCGTGGTTGCTCCTGGAAGCGTGAAGGTTGGCTTTGTCCATGTGGGTGCTTATGTGGTGACGGCTATGGTGGCCGGAGCTGGTATGATTCTTTTGTAGAGTGAACTTCTCTTTACTTGGATCGTGCTGTTTCTTGGACTAGTCACTAGGCCCGAGTCTTTCACTGTTATCTTGACATGTCATCTATGTATGGGTTTCTTGTATTTTCTATTTTCTTTTCCGAGTGGGTATATACCTGCGTAATATATTATATTCATGTCTATAGACAGTATATATCTATATCTATATCTATATCTATATCTATATCTATATCTATATCTATATCTATATAAAGATATGCTCATGTAATGTATTAAATCTGACCCGTAGGAATGCCTGGAATCTTGGATGCCTAAGGTTGCCACATGCAACAACCGATGGATGAATAGTGAGTACCTAGTTCTGACTTCTCAAACAACCATCTATATACCCAATTCCATTTCCCATGGATGGAAGCCATTCCATTGAACCATCTCTACAGCATCCTTCCATTTGTACATCACTAGACTATAACTCTCTCATAAGTTACAACTGCAACCTCAAAGTAAAAAATATATATACTGTTGCTGGTTGAAAACGGATCTATACTTTGGTGAACCTTGGGAGGGAAATGGAGTCAGGTGACTCCAGTTGGCAGGTCTCGCTCATCATTACCCTGACCCAAACAACCCCCACCTTTGCTTCGAACGCATGAATCTTCCCTCTTTGCTCCCTACCAAGCAAGTATGGCCGGTACAACTGTAAGTGACTATTGCCTGTTCTTAGATCCATGCCATCTAGATCTAACCAGAAAACCCATCCCGTTTAGATCCCTGAAGAAGAACAAGTCCCTGAGGGATGGACCACGGACCCCAAGCTCCTAGAGCAGAACCTGGAAGGAGAGGAGGGACTGTGGGTAAATCGCTGCGGTCTTGAAAACCCCGTCACGCTCTTGCACAGCACGCCCGAATCGGGAAATGTCGAGGCGTTGATCACGGCTGGAGGCCGGTATTACTTCATGGAGTATTTGGGATACTCGATTTTCGAGATCCTCAGACCGAAATCACTACATGGGATTCTGCGAACAATGCGTGATGGTAGGGAGAGGTTCATGTCTCTCAGGAAAGTGGAGGAGGTAGAGCCGGTGGAAACTGAGGAAGAACTGAGAGAGAATCAAGAGAGATGTAAGGAATCTTTGGCTGAGGAGGAAAGGCTAGTGGCCCGATTAAAGGCTGGGTTTTGGGACTGGGAGCCCCATGAGCCGGATTAGCTGAAGGGAAGTGAAGTCCCAGAAGGGTGAAAGTAGCTCGTGGGTGTTGGGAAGAATGGAAACCGTGGCACGATGCTTAGAAAGTCTTAAATTAATATCTATCAGGCAGCGGATGCACTGGGTTTTATCGTCCTAGACTTTACTCGACCCGTGCCATCGGTGTTATCTAGGCAGTCAGTGAATCTGTAGCTCACTACTTCGTCTGCGGTGGCACGTCCACAATGCGATAATCTACCTCAACGTTTCTGCTGAGTATGGTGTGGGAGGTGGAAGAAACAAATTGATTGAACCCGAAATCCATAGAGGGGAAGGCCTATCTACATGCTATAGTAAACAGGGAAGGAATGTAACTCCACTCCAGCCCAGTGGTAGAGAATAAGATAAAAATAGCCAGAGAGAGATATGAGAAACATAAACCGCGTGAGATGTCTCCGATTGATTGCATCAAATTCGTACCCAACATCCAAAATCCCAAATGAGTGAAAAGAGACAGGCATATCGCTTAAGCGCAGTCGCATCATCAAAAGAACGCTCAAAATGTCGGCTAGATAGGCCAATAGTTAGATAAATACACAGGGACCAAAATTCCCCAACTCGGTTCGTCTATGAAGTTCACCAAGAACCGAGCCGTCGTCTCCTTCTCTTGTCCAATTCAATGAAGCACGTTGACTTCCTGCAGAACCATCGTCACATTATCCACAGGTGCTCTGGAAAATCCCATTCCACTTTGGGGCGCCGGTTGCTTCTTGGGCGACACATTTCTTGGCTTGGGCTTGATCTGCTGCAGAAGTCCCTTGCACTTGCCACAGGTCGATTTGGCCGGGTCGATGCTCTTCGAATGCCGCCCGTAACTCTGCCCGCAATCCACGCAGCACCATACATACTTGTAGTCGATCTTGTAGCTGTGTTTGGTCGTGACCTCAACCCGGCCGCCGTAGACAGGGTGGTCCTTCAGCGCCTCCTTGCACTTTTGGCCCCATAGCTTAAAGCTCGTTCCGTGGGGGTTGTTGGTGACGTGGGAGATCATGTAGTTGGCCAGATGGCAGTACTCGTGAGCCAGAGTATTGATCAGACGGTCCTCGTTGTCGATGATCCGTGCTGCCAACTCAATACCAGCGAACTGCTTCTGTGACGCGACAGACTGACCCTCCCGAGGAGGCGACATCGACCTTTCTCGTCTCCAGCTAGCCCGACCAGCGGTGGTCTGAAGAGTCTTATTCCATGTGATCCGGACACCTCCTGTCTCTGCAGCCATCTGTTGAATCTTGCCACCAGTGACAACGTCATCCAGAGTTTTGAAGAATTCTTCCGCGACATCAGCTTTCTTGTTGTCAAAGGATCTCCTGCGCGCTATGGCGGCCTTCTTCTGCTCCGTCTCCGCTTTCTTCAAGGCTGTCTTGCTGGGAGTCTTAGGCACTACCTTGATCGCCCCGCGACGTCGGAGCATGCTGTCCGGATCGATCTCGTTGTCTGATTCCTCGAACTCCTGTAGCAACCGGTCTACCTTTTTGTGAGGGGAGGGTTTGTCGAACCAGTCATTGGTGACCTCCGGGTCCCACAAAGCGTCAACGCTCTCTCGGTATGGGGTTGGCGGGATGAAGTTCTTTCCCTTTCTTGGTGATCGAAGGAGATTCTTGGTAGCGGTTCTAGGCGGCGATAGAGAAATAACTTCGGGTTCTGGTGTTGACGAAAATGCTCCAGAATCCTCCACGAAGCTAGCACGGCGTTAGTTCCCATATAAATCCTAATTGGAAGAAGAAAACGGAGAGTTTATGGCTGAGACCTACCCAAATAGCTCCTGCTGAAGCTGTGCAGAAGGGTCATTGTCCTCTAAACTCAGATGGTGCATCTTTTCAGAGAAATTCACGTCGTTCTGAGACAGCTCTTCAAGCTCTTCACCTTCCCGTTGCGACTGTCTTTCCAGTTTCCATTCACTCTTGCGTTCGGGTGACGGTGGTAATGTGATTGCGGCTGGTAGAGATGGTTCCAAGCGAAGATCGTCTGTGTGTTGAAGGGCCTTCAGAAGCTCAGCTTCTGGGTTAGGTCGTCTACCTCTCATCAGTTTCCGCTTAGGTTTATAAGAGGGAACCTCTTGGACACGCTCCTCCGCCGTCTCGTTGTCGGATGTTTCATGGTAGCTGGGCTCTTCGTTGTCGCTAACAATGAACTCATCCAAGGAATCAGAATCATTGTCTTCATTATCGTCGTCCTCAGATCGACGTTCAGGCTGGCGATACTGGGAGAATAGCCGATTATTGCTATTCCGAGCCGGTGTCTGTCGCGCGTTTCTCACGGGGGACCGCCTGGTTGATGCGTCGGACGGGTTCCTGGAAATGGTAGATGGCGTATTAGAGTCTTCCTCCGCCAGCTCCACTTCCACGGGATCATTTTCCTTGTCATAGTTATAGAGTTCCGACTTCCGAGACGTCCTGTGCCGCGACTGCTGGGACGGCCTGCGCAGCAACGAATTGACTCGTGCCAGGTCCAATGCACCATCCTTGTTCGCCTTGTTCACGCCGGAAGAGCTCCTAGACGCATCGTCATCCCGATCACTAGCGCCATCGGCGTCGGAGAAGATATCAAAGATACCGCTGGAGACTGTTCCCGTTCTTTGATGACGCCCCATTCGTTGTGTCTGGCCCTCCGTGGTTCTAGAAAACTTGCTCTTGGACCTCCATTGTGTATCTTCGCGGTCCTCAGAGTCTGACGTGTGCACCGTGTCTCGGAATTTGCTTTGAAGAACGCCCCGTTGTCCTAAGTGCCGGACGGGCTTTTTGTTCGGTCGAGTGTCGTCGCCGCCTTTGGGTTTCGTTGTGTTGAGTCTTGCCATGGCAGGTTCTTCCTGAGTAGGTCTTTGTCTGCTGCAGTTCGTGCGGCTAGTCTTTGCTGCGCCTTTCTTGCCTCACGCAAGGAGAAAGCGGTGATTCTTCGCCGTAAGAGGTTATTCGATCGTTGGATGTATGCTGTCAATAGAATCTGCGATAAACATGTACAAAAATCACCGATTCCAGGGCGTCGAGCCGGTAGTGTTGATGGGGTACGGGGACGAAGAGACGTTGGCCGGGCAACGCTGGTCGGCTAGGGCGCTAAGCATACTTTGTTGGGGAAGTGTCAAAAACATAAAGAATAATGGTGTTAATGCTTGCTTAGATGAAGATGATGAAAGATAAGCAACCCAAAGCAATCCAGATAATTGCCACATTGCTTGGTTGATTAGCCTGTCTGAGGTTGTTGTTCGTTGCGCATCACTTTGTATGTCAGTGAGTCAGAAAGATGAAGGGAAAGAAAGAACCAAAGAGGAAAAAGGAAATACATAGAAGGCCCCTGCCGACTTTGTGGCCTGTGGCTCCTTCCTTGTAGGCACGACTTACTTCCTGATCGCTATGTGATGAGTGCGGTGATTGATCATGTCTGTAGGAAGGAGACATCAGGGCGGATATCCCTAAATATACTTTGTATTTCACCCCACAAGTGGTCAATCATACTGAACACGAACTTTCGTTGAGCTCACATTTCGACCGTGATACTCATATCATCAACATCGGAACATTACCACTTCGTGGTGGTATGCCTCCATCTACACTGAGAAGTATGTGAGCACAACAATAACCCTTTCATGGCTGGTCGATGATGAGCCACGCAATTTCTCAAACTGAGCACCTGCAATGTCAGTAGCAATCAGCACTGGCGATAGTTGAGAAGTGATGGCTGGGTAGAGCTTCTATCTACACCTACCTATGACTGACATGCATATATCCATCCATCCACATCCATTCATGCGCTTATATGATCTTTCATTTCCCATATTCCCAATCCATTTATAGACGACCCTATACTCCCCATACCTAAACAGATACCCCCAAAAAGATACAGATCAAGCAAACAAATCCCAATCCACGATCCTCAACCTCCCCACTAACTCATCCACCAGTCCCCCAGCCAACTTCTCCTCCTCAGCCAACCCTCTCGTATCACCCGCGGCCTCAAACTCCTCGCGCGGCACATTCACAAATACCAGAACATCCGTTTCCTGCTCTTCCAGCCTCACCAACAGATAATAACAACTCGTCGTGCTCGTCAACGACCCCTCCGCACTCGACCCCGCCACCGCACCACCCGCACTTCCGGGATTCTGACCCCCTCGGCGCTGCGTCCGCGGCGATGTCAGCGTCGCAACGCCCTTGTATGCGCGCGCTTGGGGCAGGTTCGGCAGCGCCACGGACTGCGGCGGAGTCGTGACATTCAAGGTGTCGGACTCGTCGCACAGGTCGTGCAGATGGTACAGGACGGCGGCTTTGTCGGTGTCGTCGGCGGTGGGGTGCGTGGAGGAGGGAGCGGATGGGGAGGGGGTGTGGAAGGTAAGAGCGTCTTCAGTATCGACGCGTTGGTTGATTTCGATGATCTGCGACGTGAGGGTTTTCGGGGAGAGGAAGATTTCTTGGTGGTCGGGGACTTCGCGGAGGGTGCTGTTGTTTGATTTTGAATGGTTAGTTTGGTGGAAGACAGAGGAAGAAAATGCTCGGGTAGGATTAATAATGAGTCTTGTGTGTAGATCTATCGATCTATACCAGGATTCTAGATCCAGGCTCATGCGCGTGAAAGACATGCGATTAAAATCGATCGCGGTCGGACTCACCTTGAATCGATCCAGCCCTGGGGGATGACACCCTCAATGGCGGATCCGTAGAAGCCCTGCGTCACGTATGTAGCCATGTTCTACTAGCCAGATGAATCTGCAGTGCGAGAGTTGCAGGGGGGAAGAAAGAAAAGATGCGGCAGAATGACGTCCCGCAGTTCGGATGGCGGGGGTTTTGCGGCCGGGAGTTGATGCCCCTCATAGATGGCCCTAAGGTGTCGAGGTGTCAAGGGGTTAATCAGCCACAGATGAATCACCCACCATTAATGATCTACGTTAATTGTATCTACTGGGAATGAGAAGTATGACACACGGTTACATAAGAGAAGTTATATAGAGCCGGACTAGGCGTGGAGCTATTTCGGGAATGAATGATAGAAGACAGCTCAGCCTGACACTGACAGGAAGTTAAGGAAAGACCGCGGCATCAACTATGTGCATGCCATCAACTCCTCGATGTAACCATCCAACGCGATCAGCTTGAATCGATCGCCCCATTTGGCTCGAAATTCCTTCTTGCGATAGGCGTAGCTGGTCACTTGCGAAAAGCTCACCAGTTCCACATTCCACCCGCGCTGCAGCGCCCGCTCGACCATTCGCATGAACCCGCCCGAGTATTCGGCTTCCGCCGCATCTCCCGTCGCGAGCACGATGGTCGCCGGTTCATCGGTGTCCAACAGGCTTTCCAGGATCTTCAGGTGCAGAATTTCGTCCACAGCCTGCTCGACCCATCGCCCGGGAGGCACGTCGTTCGTTTCAGAACCACTGCCATCCTGAGCGCCCCGAGTATTCTTCCGGAACCGCAACTGACGGCGAGTTGGCTGTTTCACCTTCTGCACTCGGTCGAGGATATTCGCCTCGTAGCCAAGCTTCTCGCCCTCGTCAATCGCCGCGAACCGATCGGATCCCACCAGTACTCGTTTGGAAGCCGGCCTACCTCGCTCCAGTATCAGAGAAAAGTTCTGAAACGAGAGAGGCACTCGTCGGATGCGTGTCGTCACTGGTATGTTTCGTGATACTTTTACAGAATCATGAAATCCTACCATGATCTGCATCAGAGAAGACGGGGTCAGTCTAGAAATTATTTGATTGTGCTGAAGAACGCAACTTACATTGGACATGTCAATAAAGACATGGATAGGACGGGAGGCCTGTGCAGTGCGGCTTGGATTCGCAGAGCGACCAAGCTGTGCAACAGTCTCCGCGTACTCAGGGAAGTTGTGTAAAAGTTTGGTTAAAAGGCCAACCCTCCTTTCGGAGGATAATTTGTATGCAAGAGGCTGGACACGGATAGAGCCGCAGCTGGGAACATTCTTGATGCCCCTGGGAGTCAAGTCTTCATCACGTTCGTCATAAGATGATGGTGGTGTTTCGCAAGGCTTTTTGATAATAGGTGGTGCGTCCACCTGCGGAGGGACCAAAGACAGAACGCCCTTCCCTCCTGAGAAAGTCGGATCGAAGATACTGACATCAGAGTCTGCTTCCGCGCTGCTTCCCGGGGAGCTAGACTCGAAGGAATACGTATTCTGGGATGGTTGTTTGGATTTGCTGCTTCTAGCAGTAGATTTACCGGATTTGGCGGTGCCGGAACCAGGGATGGGCTTAGGAGGAGTCCGGGGAAGCTCATCACTGAAGCTTCCAACGTCCCTTGTCTGTGCCGGTCGTTTTAAAATTTCAATTCGTGGTGATCGCTGATATTGCTGCTCAGCAGCAACCTTCGGGGCCGGATGTTCTCCGTACGCCCCAGCCTCTGTCTTGACAGGGGTGGAGGTAGGACCCAAAGCATTCCAGAGAGTGCTGAAATCGCCGAGTTTAGGGGAGCTATCGGGTTGAGAAGCCACATCGTTGGTTTGAAGGCTCGGGTGCTTCACGATGTTCTTAGGCGTAGAAGATCCCGAGGTGGATGGACTCCGGCGAGACTCATGGTGGCGAGAGAGGCCGGTCTGGTAACCATCGCCGTAGGTGGGCGAACGTAGTAGGTTAATCACCGGAGTGAAGTCCCAGTTCGAAGACGACGTAGACGATGATTGCATTGACAAATCGCAAAAACAGACTGTACTGTTATGGAATCAAAATCAAGGGATTCGCCGGGTGGCAACACTGCGGGGTGAAGTAATAGCAGGGAAAGATAAATCAATCAAACGAAAACGCGATATTATGTAGAAAAATACGAAGACGAATTTGCCGTAGAGCAGGTCAACATGATGGTCGTCAAGACCTAACAATAAGAGAGGGATGAAGCATTGAAAGAAGGATGCGTTGTAAGGTATGCAGAGTTGGCCGGGTCGGGCATAAGACGGGCAACAACGAAATGACTCCTGTGGCGGTGACTCAGATCTGCCCACTTCAACCGCCTTCTGCTTGGGGATAGTCACGCCACGCGCAGTACGCTAGTCCCGATGAAGAAAGGACGTCTTCGGCTTTCGCATGAACAGATAGTCCAGCAGATCACATGCTTTCATGTGACCTGGATGGTTACTCTAACCGTATTGAGTTAGATCGCGGTCATGACGACGTCATGGTCCAGGCTTGGCCTCGGCCGGCGCCATTCTTCACAGATCCCTGGTTGCAGTCAACTTCAGTCAGCTTCTCCGCCAACAGTGCTCGTAATGATGACGTGCATTGTCTGGGGGAGGTCGCCCATACTTACTGGATAGAGATGGGCAGTGCACTTCCAGAGTCGGATGGCGCAACGGCCTTGGTCTATCACTCAAGCCTGACGACGTCATGCATTCTAGGTCTGTGAATGGAAACGGTGATGGATCAGATATATAAACCCCCATCTCTCTGGCTTCAAACTACTTTTTCCCATCACTCTCATCATCCACACTCATCTTCAAACAAGCATTCAATCTACAATCTTCAAACCACTTCAAATCAATATCCACCACAATGTCTGACGCCGGTCGCAAGGATTTCTCTACCAGTACGTTATCCCGAGGTCAAAGCAGTACAGTACCTTGAACAGTTACTCATATATACATCCAGAGGCCAAGGAGGAATTGACTCCTGACTCCACCAAGTCCACTCAGGACAAGATCAAGGAGGGTGTCACCGATACCACCGACCGCCTTGCCCGCGGTGGTCAGACCGACGAGAGCAAGTCTACCACCCAGGAGGCTTTTGACAAGACCCAGCGTTCTCACGACAACCATGCCCACGGCGGCGCCACCTCTTCTGTGTAAGTCAGATGAAATACACAAGTCGAGATGTCATTGGCACTAACAAGCAATTGTAGTGGCGACAAGATCAAGAATGCTGTCGGTCTCGGCGGTAACTAGGTCAGGAGCCGCTGATACTGGCACACTTCGGGATATTTAATGGCGTTTATCATGGTCTTTCATGAATGATGATACCAGCTCTTTCCGGTGCACTTTAGGAATGATATTAACGAGACATTGATCTTCATCTCATATATTCTGTTTTCTCTGTAAAAGGCTTGGGTCTGATGTTCAGTTCAATTGTGGCCCACTAAGTTCTCGAACATGGAGTCCCGTCGCTGAGTGAGCTTGTCAAGCTCTCGCTCTAATTCCTTGTATTTTGCTCTTGCCCCCTGTATATCCTTCGGTAGATCATGAAACGCCAGGACTTTCGCCTCGAGTGCCTGAACCGTTTGCATGAGCTTCGTCACATCCCTCTCCTCGTCGGCCACTTCGTCCAACGTAGGCCCCTTGTTCCTGGTTCTTTCCAAGGAACCAATTTTATCACTGTACTCGGCAACCTTCGCGTTGAGCATCTTTGTGCTTCTCGACCACTCCGCTGTCAGGGCCGGAAGGTCGGGAGGTATCTCGTATGCTTTGTTAGATTTCAGCTCCTCGAGTTGTTCACGCAGGGTTTCCAACTCTCTCTCCAGATAGTTATGCAGTGTTTCAACCTTTGACAGCTGTTCCTGGATACCGAATTCTTCCCTGGTAAGCTGGATGATCGATTGGCCCAGGTCTCTGGTTTCAGTGCTCAGAGTCCCCAGCGCAACGGCGGACTCGGCCAAATCATTTAAGCTCTGGGCGCCGTGGTCGTCGAGGGACAGCTCCACTTCATCCAGAATTTCTCTTTTCTGTTTATCCTCCGCGTCTTCTCGGCGCTTGAAGCCCTGGACGGTCTGTTCGCGCGCATGGTGGATCAATGCTGCTTCTTCATCGGCTGTATCGTTGGCGGCGGCTAACGCAAGTAGAGTTCGTAGAGTATCTTCGTTTCGCTCGAAACTGGGGACCGGATTTGGGGCGTATTGGCGACTCAGCCAGGAGTTCACGTAGGCCCAGTCCTTAGCCTGGATGGCGGCTTGCCGTGCTTTGGCGGGAGAGACGAGGGGGCTATCCATTGATGCGGTGTGTACTCGACGAAGAGGAAAGCAAATATTTGAGATTCCCGATCGATGATTGAAAATATACAGATTGGAAAGCCAACCCCGAAAAGCCTCCTAACGGCCTTGTGCTGTAACCTTGTGGTGCCCCAGTGCAACGTACAAAGGAGAGGGTGGGAAAAGGCGGCGGGGAGATTCTCCGACTTCCTTTCCGCCCTCCGCCTTTATTGACCACATTTCGCATCCATCAGCTTCCGATACGCAACCGTCCCTCCCATGGCGAGCTATTTCCCTCCCGGAGCTACCTCCGGCCATGCATCAGCTCGCACGCCTTCTCCGGCCGGCACTCCGCTCTCGCCCCCGAACCAGCGTTCCAATGCCTTGTCTAATCGCCTGACAAGTGTACTCTCGGCCTCGTATGCGGACTCCGATATCCGCGACGCGCTGGAGACCCTCAGTCTCCGAGGGGTACATAATACCGCGGAAGTGAGGAGACAGCTACGGTTGGATGTGCAGAAGGAGGTGGTTGATAGCAATGCGACGATTGTGCGGGATTTTGGGAAAGTCGCGGAGGTAAGATCTGTCGCGGAAAATAACCGAGGACGAGGACGTCCACTGATATTGAGACTACCTGGCAGCAATTGAAACGAATTGGAACTGTGATCTCGAGCCTGAATCAGACATGCGACGAAATGCGCAAGCACATTGTCCTGGCGAGACAGGACACGACGCCCGTTCTGGAGGAAGCGTCGGCGTTGATGAACCAGAAGAAGGAAGCGGAGACAAAGCAGCAACTGCTCGATGCATTCGCCAAGCACTTTATCGTGTCGGATGAGGAGTTGATGATCTTGACTTCGGCGGAGGAGCCTATCGACGACCAATTCTTTGACGTGCTCGGGCGCGTGAAACAGGTGCACCGAGACTGTGAGGTTCTGCTGGGCGGAGAGAACCAGAGATTAGGCCTGGAGCTGATGGAGAAAAGCTCGAGGAACCTCAATTCCGCTTATCAGAAACTCTACAAGTGGATTCAGAAGGAATTTGGGTCTTTGAACCTCGAGGATCCCCGCATCAGTAGTTCAATCCGACGAGCTCTCCGGGTGCTGGCGGAGCGACCCAGTCTGTTCCACAGCTGTTTGGATTTCTTCGCGGAGGCGCGCGATTACGTTCTGTCCGATGCCTTCCACTATGCCCTTACCGATGCTGTGGCAGGCACCGCAGGCGACCAAAACGTGAAGCCCATCGAGTTCTCAGCGCACGACCCTCTGAGGTACATCGGGGACATGCTGGCCTGGGTGCATTCCACAACCGTGTCGGAGCGAGAAGCCTTGGAGGCCCTCTTCGTGGCGGATGGCGAGGAGCTCGCCCGGGGTATCCAGGCTGGACTGAGCAGTGAGCCATGGTCTCGTATCGACGAAAACGAGGAAGTCACATTCGACGGACACAAGGCTCTCAGCGATCTCGTCAACCGGGACCTCATTGGCGTTTCACGGTCCTTGCGGCAGCGCGTCGAGCTGGTTATTCAAGGCCACGACGACCCCGTCACTTGCTACAAGGTCGTGAACCTGCTGTCCTTCTACCGGGCGACATTCTCAAAGCTCCTAGGCCCCAACTCCAACCTGGCAGAGCTGCTCGAGACTCTGGAAAAGTTCACACTCAGCCACTTCGAGCATCTCATGCACGAGGGAGTCAACCAACTCTCAACCGACCACACTGCGCTGGCACCTCCGGATGATCTCTCCACACCTCAATTCCTTCTGGACGCCCTTGAGGCCCTGACCTCCCTCATGAAAACCCACGAAGCCTCGATCGGCGCCGCCGACGACAATTCTACCTCGCCCTCTGACAATCGCTTCACCCCCGTCCTCCGCGCCGCTCTCGACCCATTCCTCGACCTGGCCAAATCATCCGCCAACGACCTCCCAGACCCTACCAGCCGCGCCATCTACCTAACCAACATCCATCTGACCACCCGCTCCACCATCTCCGAATACCCATTCGCCAGCCCCACGCACCTCACCCCCCTCTCCGCAACCCTCTCCACCCTCCGCATGGATCTCCTCGAAATCCAACACCGCTACCTCCTGCACACCTCAGGTCTCCAAGTCCTATTGAACGCCCTGGAGCCATTCTCGCCCTCTTCTTCATCTGCTACTGCTTCCGCACCAACCACGAAATCCGAACACCCAGATCCACCTCCCAACATCGCCGACATCGCATCCCTCCCTGCCTTCCAGCCCGAAGCCCTCGTCGCTATCAGCCAGCAACTCGACGATTTCTTGCCGTCCGCGCTCATGGACGCGACCGATCACCTGAAGTATGTGCGCAGCGCGACGTTCGTGAAGAGCGTCACCGAGGAAGCGGTGGAGGCGTTCTGTCGGGATTTTGAGTTCGTAGAGGGCATGATCATCGGGGCGGATGAGGCTGTTGGGAAGATTGATGTTGTGAGAGCTGATGGTGGTGGTGAAAAGCAAGAGGATGATGGGAAGGAGGGTGTGGATGGGGAGAAGAAGGATACTGAGGAGGGGGATGATGAGATTGAGGAAGAAGGCGGGTTGAGGAGACTTTTCCCCAGGACGACGGGGGAGATAAGGGTTTTGTTGAGTTGAGAATTCATCTTCATCTTGATTGTAGTATGGAGGGAATGGTGGTTGCTTATGTTGTTTGGTTGTTGGCTTTTGGTATTTGGGATTCTGCCTGTACAGTGTACATAGTGTGGTTTATTTTCAGTTTATCTATGCTTTTTCCGCTTTCCACAATTGACGATAGATGATAGATGATCCTCAAGACATGAACTCAAACATGTCGAATCATAATCCCATACGGATCCCGATCACGCTCACTCACATCCACAAAACTCTCCGCATCCCCATACGCCTTCTGCAACGCGCCCACCACCCCCGTACTATCACCCTCCTGATCACCCAGGGCCCTGAGTCCCTCAGACCGAGTAACCTCCCACTCCTTCTGCACGGCATCGGCCAGCTTCTCGCGCATCACGGCATGCAAGTACCCGCGCTCAGTGTTCGAGTGCGCCAGCGCCACAACCACCGAGCCGCGCTCGATCGCCGCCAACGCTTCATGGTGGCTCAGCTCGCCGGTGAACAACAGGTCAGGGATCCCGCCGGGCGCCTTAAGCAGGACGCTAGATCCGGAACCCGGGCAGACGCCCACCGTGCGGATCTTCATGGTCTCCACGGACGCGGACTGCGGGATCGCAATGGGGATGCCGCCGGGGTGGCCGGTCCCTTGGGCGATGCGGTCCACGATGGCCGTGAGGGGCTGCGGCGCGTCGAAGGTGACGAGGCGGCCCATGCCGGCGGATTCCATGCCCTCGGGGACGGGCGCCGGGGAGGGGTGGATGGTGGTTCGGACGTGGGGTTGCGCGGAGGCGGGGCGGACGGTGCCCGGTTGGGGGAAGACGGGCTGGGAGTATTGGGTTGAGGAGGATTTTTGGGTAGAGGGTTTGGAGTCGGTGGAGGGGGCGATGGCGCCCGTGACGATGTCGCAGAGCCAGTCGGCCATGCCGCCGGGGGTGGCGTCGACGGCGGTGTGCGGGGAGTAGACGCTGATGCCTGCTTGGGCGAGTCGGAGGAGCGATTGTTGCTGGGAGTCGTTCAGGGTGAGGGATTTGAGTCCGCGGAAGATGATCGGGTCTGAGAAGGAAGAGGTCGTTGGTCAGTCGGCCTGGTAAGTGTATGTGTTGATATTGGTGGGGGGAGGGTGCATACGATATGCGACTACTACCGAGTCCTTGCGTGCGATGGCCTCGTCGGCAACAGCCTTGGTTAGGTCAATGGCTAGAAGGACGGAGTTTCTCTGTCTTCGTTCATGGTTGAAGGGCGCTTCGAGGAGAACTAGAGAGAAAGAATTGGTACGTCATCGACAGGGCAGACAGTAAGTAAAGACGCTCACATACGGCCTGTGTTGTCGAAGCTCTTTTCTGCGAGAGATTCGGGGTACCTTGTCAAGGTCAGTATTATATCACTGCAACGGTGCATGCGCCGTAAAGGCAATCATGCAGGCCGAGGAGAGCATACAGCTTCCGCATGGAGCTCACCACAGCCCGCGTATACGGAGACGAGGAAGCGGGGAACGAAGCGGCCATTGTCGAGTAGAGACGGGGAAGGTGACTGAAAAAGCGGTTCATAGAAGGTCGTAGGAGATGGAAAATATGGTCCAATTCCTTGAGGATAAATATCAAACTGTTGTTGGAGACGTTGAGGACGAACACCCCCACCCGATAGAATTAAGCAACCGGAGCTGACGCCACAGTTTCCCGCCACAGACGGCAGGTGACCAAATCACAGCCACGGCATTGTCAGCCTCAGGCCCTCCGCCGGTAACCGCCAGTTTACCGTACCGTAAAGTCAACCCGCAAGGCCGGATGATTAATTAATCATTATTCATTAATCAATCAATTGGTTTATCGAAGTCTCCCGCGCAAAAGACCGCAAACCAAACCTTCAACTCAACCCTGCACCACACGGCTGAAGATCTTCCGGTGTCATTCAATCCCAGAATATATAATCGCAACGACACCCTCTACCTACAACCACTTCCACTCACCCCTCGTTTCAAAAACCACGCTTAATGTACTTCCGCACCACCACCTTGTTGAGCAGAAGCTGCCGATACCTTCTCCGCACTCCCGTCCACCAGAACTCGTCGCCTTTTTCTATCTCTGCGCGCTCCTCCTCCGCCGTGAACGCTGCCATGGCGGATGCTACCTCCGGCGTTACTGCCGATTCGTTGAAGGGCAAATTGATCGAACAGTTGCAGGCACAGCATGTTGAGATTGAGGACCTGTCGGGTATGACATACGATCATGTTTTTTCCCTGTTCTTTACCTTGGGGACGGAGAATTCGGGGATACCCATGGAATTATATCATAGGATGAGAGAGCTAACGAAGCGGACATTATACAGGTGGCTGTGGCCAAGCCTTCCAAGCAATTATCGTTTCGCCCCAATTCGAAAAGAAGACCATGCTTGCTCGCCATCGTCTGGTGAACGCCGCCCTGAAGGCCGAGATCGCTGCCATCCATGCCTGGACGCCGAAGTGCTACACCCCGGAGCAGTGGCAGGCTCTGCAGCAGGGAAGTACCTAGATTTATTTCTATCTCTGGAAGGGATTGGGGAGGAAAATTAATATCATTTTTTTTTCTTTAATAATGCGGCTCGTTATAACATCAGAGTTGGATATGCGTGCTATTCAGTGGCATGCTCAGGCGTTTGGAAAAGGTTCCTCAGATGTATATGGCCTTGCGCATCTGACCATGGCATTTAATGATGCTGGAGGATGGTTGATGGATATAGAAATATAAAAGATTCTCGTGTCATTCATACTTTTTATCAGGTCGACGGTTCTGCTGAAGCGCTCAGTCCTCATGAATACTTCCATTTCTACTATAAAAGTTTCAAGCTTTGGATGTTTGATGGGTTACGGATGTACCAGGCTATTTATAGTGGAGCCCGCAGTCATAAAGCAGACATATCTGAGAATCCATTTTACATTACTGTGGTATCTTAATCGGCTCTGATCCCGCTTAACCCAGCACCTTCTCGGCAGCGGAGACTATAAATTTCCGGTTAGTCAGTTTCACAACAGTTCTTTCAGGAGTCTCAGGTCCATACCGTTAAGTCCGGCGTTGTCGGGCTCGACGAAAGCCTCCTTGACCTTTCCGTCCTCGACAAGCAAAGCGTACCGCTTGCTGCGCTGGTTACCGAAGATGGAGGCGCTGTCGAAGAGCACGTCGAGGGCCTCGGAGAACTTGGCGGTAGGGTCACCCAGGAAGCGGATCTGATGCGACCTTGTCAGTATGCAAAGATCACCTTGCGTTGCATTCCAGGGGACCGGTCACTTACACCACTCTTGCCGGTGGGGTCAAGGGCCGTGGCCCAGGCCTTGGTCCTGTTGACAGAGTCAGCCTATCTGGAATCTGGGTCTGACAGGGTAGACTGGAAACAAAGAAACTGCCCATCTCAGACTTACACAAACGGGTCATTGACTGCGACGACAAACACCTGGCCAGCTTCCTTCAGCTTGGGGTGGTTGATGTATCCCGGAACATGGCTGGCAGAGCACGCGGGGCCTGAAGAGGAGAAGATTGACGGTCAGCTGCTCGTCCGTCCAGAATTGATTTCTTTTTTCATTGTCGATTTTCTTTTCTCTCGCACGAGAATTGAACGGGTGATTACGCACTGAATGCGGCGGGAACGCCCACGATGACACCCTTTCCTTGCAGCTCCTTGGCCAGGTTGACCTTGTTGCCGGGGGAGTTCTCGACCAAGACGTCGAGATCGGGGATGGCGTCTCCCTTTTGAACGAAAGCCGGCGCGGTGCTGTGGAACAGCGATCTCTGCGACAGGGCGCGGGGGACGGCGGCGAAACGGCGAGCAGCGAACATGGTGGGACGGGAGTGAGGTAGGCTTTGGTGGTAAATGCGAGACAAAGCGGATAGATCCAATGAGCGATGCAGTAGGATGGAAGAAAGCTGAGCTTCGGTGACGGAGAGAGAGAGAGCGAAGAGAGGGTCGCACAGGTACCTGGTGGCTGGTGGAACTGCTGGCGCCGGTCGCTGTGGTTGGCGAGCGCCCGGAGCAGCTTCGGAGGATTATGTCGTCATCGTCCTTCTCGGCTGCAGCTCGCGCACGTCAATTTGCAGAACGTGAGCCCTTGGAGAGGGTCTGTGGACTGTGGACGGGTGGAATTGGAATGTGGATAGGATGCCACCTCAAACCTGAGTTGTCTTTGCTTATTTATTCATCGTTCTATTTTTTTTGTGATGTTTTTCCACATGGCCCAAGACAAGGTGAAGTACCGCCGGTTGTCCACATGGAACCTTGACCTAGCTTTGTGACATCTCTCGTCCCATGGGATGGGAGGGAGCTCAACCCGGCAGCTTGGGAATTAGCTCGAGTCATGATTCTCTGTGTCGGTGCCACGACCGTTGCCCCAAAGTAAACAGTTGAAATCTTGAAACAACCCAAATCCTTCTCCGTAGTTCGGAGGGGATGGCTTTTCGGCAGTTGTACCGGGGATGGATGAGAAGAGAAAGGATTGACATCGCAGTTGCAGTTGGCTTGCTCCACCCTTTACTAAATAATAGTGAACGGTTATCATAATAGTAAATAAAATTAATATTTGGTTACAGAATCTTAACTCTGACTCTAATTCTCTGACAACGAAATTTGCATGACCCTTCATAAACCGATCTCAAATAATAATAGTAACCCCCCTGCCCTTAGCGGAGGAAGGCAGTCCATGCCCTACGGAGTATGGCAATTATAGGGCGGTCCCCGAGATGTGGCGCGTCCATCCTTCCCCCTACTAAAATTAATCCAACCCATAAAATCTGAATCTGAAATCCAAAGCAGATGCCCGAATAGGAGAACAGAAAAAACAAAAACTGGCTAGATGGCAGATGATGAAAGGTGTACGGAGTCTTGGGCCAATCTATCTGCATCAGACTGAGTGTTCACTTGTTCAGTGTTCCTTCTGCGAAAGATTTGTAGGTGCATTTAATTAATATTAGTAACCGCAGTGAGTAGGATGTACCGTACCGACGTAGCGTCCCCAGCGTATCCATCCGGAGTAGTTAGTTCGTCCATAGTCCATAATCCATAGTCCATAGCATAGCCATACGGAGTGCAAGCCATTCGGTCAGACAGTAAGATGAACCCAAAGACTGAGATTCATGGAGACTCCAACTCTAACTCAGTCCGTAACTCAGTAACTGCCAGGTAGTTAACTGTACTCTGTAGAGTGGTACCTCCTGACTAAAACCCTGGGAGAAGCTTCGTGCCGGCCCAAACAGACCAAGTCTAGGAAACAGTCTAGCTGATCTGGCTCTCCACGATGATCACGAAGTACTAGTTAGCATCGTCAAAGGTAGAAAAGGTGGTCGCACTGCCCCTCCTCCCAGACCGAAGCAGCCTATCCCCATCCCTCTCTTTCCCCTCCATCGCCAGGCTTTTCCTGCATTGCATCTGCGCCGTCGAACGCACTGACATTCCCGAGTCCCGTAAAGTCTCGGTCGTGGGCATTGTTCTTTCTCTTGAAGAGTGTGAGCCTTTTCCATCGAGGTCTGAGGTCTCTTGTCTCTAGTCTCTCTATCCTTCAACTCTCCTCCTGTTTTCGGAATTTGCCTCAATCACCCTCAACCGCTCTCCTTACGTGGAAAAGTCAAACTGAACGGAGTTAATTTAAGCAACAAAGAAGTAGAGGCAGAGAAAGAAAGAAACAGAAACCCCGACGAGACGAGACGAGATCAAACACGCTCAACAAAGGTGCCAGAGGCGGTTGTTCGATAGATAAGAAAAGACCGACCAGGGAAAAAAGACCGTTTGTGGCTGGATGCGAAGAGGGTCGACCCGCGGAAGAACGCAGCGCCTTCGAACCACTCGGGGACCGAACCATTAATTATTCATGATTTTGAAGCCTTCAAGGCCATTCATTCCTATCCTCACCGTCTGCCCAGAAATTCCCATTACCCAACTGAATCCAATTTGACCGTCTCCATCTTACGACCGTTAGTTACCTTTTTTGCCTTCAGTCCTTCACCCTCCCTCCCTCTCTTCTCTTTTCCCTTTTTTCCAAATCTTCCCACCTTTAGGGCAGGTTACCCATCCATCCTTTTTTTTTTTTTTTTTTTTAATTCTTTGCTTTTTTCTAATTTTATTTTTTTTTTGGTAAACCTTTTTCCCCATCCGCTTTCTCTCCCTCTCTCTTTTTTGTTACCTCATCCCCTCCCCAATTTTTCCTCTTCCTACTATCTTACTATCAATTTTTTTCTTTCTTTCTTTGTGTTCCTATAAAACCTACGATCTTTATTACTCTAATTTTCTTTTGAGCATTATTATTTCTACTCGGTCTTCCCATCCACCTCGATCGATAGATTCCCTGGAACTTTGATCTCCCCCGACTCTGCCGCATTCGGGGGTTCTCGAAGTTCTGCGACGTGAGCCTGTTGCTTGTTCGATCGGTCGCGACCCATCTAGCCCACGATGGACGGTGGCCAGACCTCGACCAGCGCCGCCCCCGCGGGCAACTCCAGTGATTTTGTACGTGCTGCCCTCGAGGTTCTTGTGTCCGTCGGATGACGATCGTTTATTATTTTGTCGCCTTTCCTGGTGTTTCATTCTATTGTCACTATTCTTGTGTGACCTTCTTCGTCATTTAGCTAACATGTCGTGCTCTTGTCTAGGTGCGAAAGCTTTACAAGTGAGCCCTCCTCTTCTCTTGTCTCTCTCTCTCTCTCTCTCTCTATTCCACTCCCTCCTTTCCCTCTCCTTCTTCCCCCTCCCAGTTTTCCCACTCGACAATCCTGGCTTGCCACCATCCCCCTCAACCGGTCGCTTGCTCTCGTTTGATTTACTGCGTGACCTCGTGCGCCCCCTGGACCAATAGTGACTGACTTCGTTTCGCGTCAAGAATGCTGGAGGACCCCTCATACGCCGAAATCGTGCGCTGGGGCGATGAAGGGGATAGTTTTGTGGTCTTGGAGGTAATGCGCCCGCCCCGCGCCCTGGAATTCGCCGTCGCCATCCCTCCCTCGGCTAACCCGTCCGACCGCAGTGCGAGAAATTCACCAAGACCATCCTTCCCAAACATTTCAAGCACAGCAATTTCGCCAGTTTCGTGCGACAGTTGAATAAGTACGATTTTCACAAAGTGAGACAGAATAACGAGGAGAACGGGCAATCGCCGTACGGGCAGAATGTAAGGCTAAGGTCGCGTGGAATCGGGGAGAAGGCTTCTTCTAACCAGGAATCTAGGCGTGGGAGTTCAAACACCCCGAGTTTCGGGCCAACAGCAAGGAATCGCTCGACAACATTCGACGGAAGGCGCCAGCCCCTCGCAAACAGGCCCAAAGCAACGACGACGGGGTGCCGACGCAGCAGGTCGATCTCCTGAACCAACAAATTGTGGCGCAACAAACACAGATCCAGCATCTTTCCGATCGCCATGCGCAGTTGTCGGTGGACCACCAGTTGATAATGCAGGAGTTGATGAGAGTGCAGAAGACAGTATTGAACCATGAACATGTGATCCACCAGGTTATGACCTACCTTCTCTCGGTGGATGCCCGCCAAAGGCGCGACAGCAAAGCGTCCGCACCGTTCCCGGCCCAGGGCCAGGGCGGCTCGACCATGAGCCCTTCCCAAGTGGCGTCGATGGATGACGAGCCTTCGTCCCCCTTGCAGCATGCCTCGAAGCTCCTGAGCGATATGAATGCCGAAATCCAATTCAATACCAACGGTCTCGATTCCGCGGTCGAGCCGCCCAAAACCGCTCCGGTCGTAACCACCCCTTCCCTCGAAAACGCCCCGCGAAACGGCGTGGTGCGTCCGCCCACCGCGGCGGGCGCTAACCCCGCCTTGGTATATCCCAAGATGAACGGCGAAATCGAACCCGTGGTCTATCCCGTCGGCGCGACAAACGGAATCGATCCCATGTACAGCGACCATGTGAACAACGTCCCCTACCCGATGCCCCCCAAGCAGGAAGTCGACGAAAGCCGACGGCAATTCCCCGATAACCGAAAAAAGAGTACGAATGTCGACCCCGGCTGGATGCGGCCGCCGCAGATCTTGCTTGTGGAGGATGATGCTACATGCCGCCAAATTGGTGGGAAATTCCTATACTCATTCCATTGTGTTATTGATACCGCGGTAGGTTACACTTGCTCAAGAGAGACCGGATCTCTTTGTCCACTAACGATAGCATAGTTTGATGGGCTCGAGGCCGTAAACAAAATTCAGGACGGCTCCAAATACGATCTGATCCTGATGGATATTATCATGCCAAACTTGGACGGCGTCTCCGCATGCCATCTAATCCGCCAGTTTGACCGAACTCCCATCATTGCCATGACTTCCAACATCCGAAGTGATGACATTCAGCTATATTTCCAACACGGTATGGGCTCATTTGTACTGCTCGAATTGAGCGTCAGGATATCCTTAGCTAACGGCAATTGCGATTAGGAATGGACGACGTACTGCCTAAACCCTTCACACGAAAAAGCCTCCTCGACATGCTAGAGAAGCACCTAGTTCACTTGAAGACCATGCCGCAGGGCATCGAGGCTCCGCAACCCGCTCCGGCAGCGGTCACTATGGCCGCTCAAAGTTCGGCGGGCCCATCAATCAAGGAGGACAGCTCCCCGGGCCAGTCCCCCGCCGCGTCGATGAGCAACTGGCAATCACCTGGTCAGTTCCAGGGCATGACTGCGGTTCACCCGAATCTCCAGCAGGTTCCTGGCCAATATGTTCCTGCGACTCCCGCCCCTACTGCATACACCGTGGACCAAACCGGAGTCCAGTATCCTACTGCAGCCCCCGTCGCGATCCCTGCAGCGGCGGCTGCAGCACCGCCACCACGACCCCAACCGCGACGGCCGGTCTCGGAGATGGCTAGTGTCGCCGAGAGTCCCAATATGACCAAACGTCCGCGTGTTTACGCACACCCACCCCAGCCAATGGTCAACCCCGTGCAGGCGACGCGGACTGGCTAAAGCGCGCTATATATTCCCACTGTATATTTTTCATATCAGAGGCCGGTCTCTGCCTCGTTCGTCTGCTGCATTGTAACCTCATTGCCATCTTGTCTCCCTATTTGACGAATCTCATATATTCCTAATGAAACTTGAGTCGTATGATGTTCTCGTTATCTTGTTGGTCGGGGCGGTGGCTGTTTTTCGACATACATTGGCGTTTGTGGACACTTCTAGCTGCGTGCATTTCATGGTTACAATTTCTTCGGTCTGCTTTCTTGCTGCGAATACTCCTTCTGTCGGGTTATCTGGTCGTGTTATATCTATATTCGAGGGTTGCATCGAAAACGGTGGTTTCTATAGTGAAACTGTTTCTTATGTGTACACCCTTACTGTCAAGGGTTCTTTCAACTATATTTACAGGTCATTCGGTCATCTGCTCTTTTTCTGCTGGCATTCTTGCGCAATCTGGAATTTACAGACCATGGCTACAATTTGATGTTCCTTGCCGAGTTTACTTGTGGCAATTCTATTCCGAAAGACTGTATGTATGAATGCAACTCAAAATCAATATGGAATCAATTTCCGCCTGCACCATGCCGGGACCACGCAATAAGGACCACAATTTCCTGGAAAGAGGTCTACCGTAGGGCACTCCGTAGTGGACACCGACAGACAAACACGCACACACCCTAACGGCATACCGGCGCAGTTCGTCCTCCGTCAATCTCACGACCAAAGCTTTTCCCGACGGTCCATTCCCCCGAGATGCCTGAATCAGAATGCCAGGGTCGAGGAGTTCCTCCAGGGCTGACCCGGTCCTCGTCAGCGTTCTAGACCGGCCGTGCCTGGACAAGGGATATGATGCCAAATGTTCCAGGAGGGCCCAGGCCTTGCGCCATGTTCTGGACTCTTTGCGGCTGGAACACCTGGGACAAGGTGTGGCTTTGCTTCGCGGACAAGTCACGTGCTGTCACGTGCGAGGGGAGCCTCTCCCGGCCCCCCCGTGGCGCGGGGCTCAAACTGAGCAAACAGCGCAAACAGACAAAATCAATCGCCCGCGGCGGTGGGATGTATGACTCCGTTCGGAACGATCGATAAGGCTTGGCGGAGTTTTTTTTCCCCTTGTGCCCTTTTTGAGACAAAGTCGGGGATTTTGGAGGCTTTTGTACGACACGGTTTATTCTGCGCATCTCTGGATCTAGCTTTTACAACAGTGTTGGTTTCACCCCTTTGAATTGTCTCCCAGTCTTTAAGCTGTGCAGTGCGGGGCGCATAGGTTTGTGTCAAACCCGATGTGAGTCGCGAGTTTCGTTTTCTTTGTTTCCTCCTGGGAATATATGGCTGACAACGTGCTTGGTTTTCTTCTGTCTACAGCCAATGGGTCCGAAAAAGGGAGGCAGCGCCTCGAAGCAGAGAGGGAATGCCACGGAGGAGGTAGAGGAAACTCTGCAGGCTGTTGTACGTTCATCGCGTCCTTGGTGGAAAGAGGAGGGGTTGATGTCATGGATTGTCGCGTGGCAGGGGGGTATGCGAAACTGTGATGGTTAACCTTTGATATGCTTAGGTCCTTGCGGATACCTTCGAGACGAGATTCGAACCGTTCACCCTTGATACACCTCGGGTACGTATTGCTGTGGTGGAATAATCGCCTTAAGGAAAATGGCGGGGAACCGAGGACAAGGTGCTATGGTGAATCCGAAGGCTGACACTTGGCGATCAATAGTGTCTCTTGCCTCTGGCAAACACCCCTTTGATTGAATATACGCTCGAGTTTCTGGCCAATGCGGGAGTAGAGGATGTCTTCCTCTACGGCGGAGCTCACTCCGGTCAGCTAGAGAAGTACATCAAGTATGTGGAGTTCTCTTGGCTTCTTGCGCTGCATGATACCAGTTGGGTCGTGCGACTAACGCGGATATTCTCAGTGCGTCGAAATGGCGATCGCTCTCCTCGCCCTTCAAACAGTTGAACTTCCTGAAATCCACCTCTACGTCCGTCGGAGATGTCATGCGTGATCTTGACGGGAAACACCTTATCACCGGTGACTTTATCGTCGTCAGCGGCGACGTGATCAGCAACATGCCCATCGAGGGCGCCCTGGCCAAGCACCGTGCCCGTCGCGAGAAAGACAAGAACGCCATCATGACCATGATCCTGCGGGAAGCCGGCCGAAACCACCGCACGAAGTCCTCTTCGGTGTCGCCCGTGTTCGTCGTGGACCCGACGAAGGACCGCTGTCTGCATTACGAGGAAATCGACCACCATTCGTCGGAGTCGTCGCGTTTAAACATCGACTCGGAAATCATCCTGACGCACCGGGAGCTTGATATCCGCCAAGATCTCATCGACTGCAACATCGACATTTGTACTCCCGACGTGCTGAGTCTGTGGTCTGATAGTTTCGATTATCAGACCCCCCGGAAGCAGTTCTTGTTCGGTGTTCTGAAGGATTACGAGCTGAATGGAAAGACGATCCACACGCATATCATCAAGGACCACTACGCCGCGCGGGTGAGGAACCTGAAGGCCTACGATGCTGTGAGCAAAGATGTCATCTCGCGATGGGCCTACCCTCTCTGCCCCGACACGAATTTGCTGGCCGGGCATACCTACGATCTGCGGAAGGGATACCTGTACCAGGAGCAGGGCGTGACATTAGCTCGCTCGTGCGTTATTGGTCGACGGACGGTCATCGGACAAGGCACGAGCATAGGCGACAAGACGACTGTCAAGAACACGGTTCTTGGACGGAATTGCAAGATAGGCAAGAATGTCACTCTGGACGGTGCTTACATCTGGGATGGAGCGGTGATCGGGGATGGCACGACTGTTCGCCAGGCTGTCATCGCTGACAATGCGACTTTGGGCAAGGACTGCACGGTCGAGTCCGGCGTCCTTCTCTCATACGGGGTGAAGATCTCCGACGGAACCACCATCAGCGAGGGCAAGCGCATTACGAAGGCACCCAGGGAAGAAGACGGAGTCGTGCCGGCCAGCGACCCAGCAGTGGTTGGCACCGACGGAGAGGGTTACGAGTTTGTTCCTTACGAAGATGAGGACGAATCCGATGACGAAAGCAACGCCTCGTCTGGCCTGGGTATGTTTCTCCCAAAACACCACCCTTCCATTCTATCCAAGCGTCCACTAACCTCCCACCCCACAGTCTACAACATGGCAAACCTCTCCCTCTCCACAGAGTCCATCTCCACCCTATCATCCGAGATCTCCGACTACGGCGGCTCCCGCTCAGGAGGGTACAGCGACTCGGACTCCGACAACGAAGACGAGGACCACTTCGTCCACGACGCCGCCGTCAGCGTCTACGACAGTCTGCGCGAAGGCATCACCTCCGACGTGGTGCAGCTCGAGCTCGTCAGTCTCCGCATGACCGCCAACGCCTCCGACAACCAAGTCCGCCGCGCCGTGGTGTCCGCGTTCATGAAACGCATCCCCCAGCTGATGGAAAGCGGCCGCAGCCCCAACGACGCCATCCAGGACATCTTCGGCACGTATCAGGAAATCGTGGAGCGCGCGTTGTTCGATCGCGACACGGACAAGAAACCCGATCAGGTGGACCTCCTCCTCCTGCTGCAGCAGGATGTGGTGAGTCGGCCGCCGCCCGGGGATACGTTCTTTGTGGTTCTGTGCAGCGCCTTGTACCAGTTGGAGATTCTGGAGGAGGAGGCGTTCGAGCAGTGGTGGGCTGATGAGCGGTCCAGTAGCAGCGAGGAGATGAAGTCGGTTAAGAACCAGGCGAAGAAGTTCATTGAGTGGTTGGCTACTGCGGATGAGGAGGAGAGTGACAGTGAGGAGGAGAGCGATGATGAGTGAGCGCTTTTTGGTCTGTTTAGTGTTGCATATATCAATCAAGAGCCTGTTGATGAAAGATTCGTTTCTGGTCCGAGTTTATTATGTAGGTATGGTTAGATTCGACTATCAGGAGGGCCAATGGGGTGACCAATGCAATACATATGATTATTGGGGTGTCTGCAACCTACGACAAGTATCCAACACGTCGGTAGTATCGATGAATGTACCACCAAGGAGTACAAACCTGGTCATAGTATGATGTGCAACATGACCATATTCAAATTGGATATACCAGTAACACCACGCCCTCCACAATTCCACAGTCAACATAATTCCCCTCATAATTCCCCTGCTTGAGTAGGTATCTACACAAACATATAGATAAAGCCACATACTAGACATCCCCAACGCAGAGAAATCACTGAGCGCGAAATCATAAGACAACGGCTCCAATAATCCCAACGCACTGGGCTCATAGGGTCAAAATTGTTGCAGCACAACATCAACCGGGCAAGATGGCCGAGCGGTCTAAGGCGCTAGGGTCAGGTATCTGACCTCCCATATTCATACGAATATTCCTAGTCTCGAAAGGGGCGTGGGTTCGAATCCCACTCTTGTCATTGCTTTTTTGGTTATATTTTTGGGGGAGTCTGGGGTGGGTACTACTAACTACGGAGCAGGAGCACAACCCTAATAAAGGCCTGCTGCCTGTGTTGTTTTGTTCGTTCGTTTTCCTTTACTGTAAGATGATTATTCTATGGCTCTATCTGTCATGCTCAGCTACCATGTACAGGGATATCATTTTTGTTTTTACATATGAGTTGACTGACTTTAATCACATCCCTCTCTTACTTATGACGGACCAGCCCTTTGTATACAGCTACCTCTTCATGACGCTAGCCATTCACCAGCTATAGCGATTATATTGACATATCGAGACTTTGCATTCCGAATAGTCGTTAATAAGAAACAAAACAACCAACATTAGCCAATGTATACACCGCGCCAATGATACCATGCCTATAATTAATCAGTCCACCTAACATCCTCAACCAAATCACGCAACAATACCCCCGAGCAAATCCATACCAGGAACAGCCTCCTTCAGCAAGGCAACAGTCTCCTCCCAGAGCTTTACCTGGGCTTTTTCACCTTCCTCTGACAGGACGAATGAAGACGGTCTATGATGATCGAGTAGTTAGCATATATCCCATGCAAGATCATCCAGAGATCAAGGCCTAACAAGACCCCAAGAGGCCAATAACCAAGAGAAAGGGAACACAACATACCTCTTAACAACCTGCTCACTAACATAAGCCCCCCTCTCCTCCTTATGCAACACCACCGCATCAACCAAACAATGACCCCCCTGCGCCGGCGACCACGCAACAACCCCATTAAACACCTTCTTCCCCGGCGTAGAATCCGACCGATGCAGCTCGCTCGCACAAAGGCCCGGATTGACCCCGTTGACGACGACGTCTGGGCCCGCGCGTTTCGAGAGCTCGCGCAGCCACAGCACGTTGAGTAGTTTGCTGGTGTTGTAGCGGTCCATGCCGGGTTTGAAGGAGTCGGGGTCGTCGAGGCGGGATAGCGTGTTGGGGGAGTCTTTTTCGGGGAACTTGGACCAGAAATGCATTTCTGATGTGACGATTGTGAGGCGGGATGGGGTGCCTTGTGTTGAGGCTGTTTTTTGTAAGACGGGAAGGAGGAGGAGGGAGAGGAGGGAGGTTCCGAGGTGGTTTATCTGGTTGGGGAGGTGGTTAGTCTTTGGTGGTTACTACTAGGTATGTGTGCTGTTTCCGTTGATTCGATGTATAACCGGCAAAGTATAGATAGGCAGAGACAGGGAGAAAGAGGAGAGAAAGCCAACCTGAACGTTCATCTCATGACCCGTCTTAGCCTTCTTATACTCCAACAGCTTCACGCCCGCCGAAAGAATAACAAGGTCCAACCTCTGCAGAGCCTGCGCGCGCTCCCCGAACGCCCGCACACTATCAAACGACTCCTGGTCAAGCTCCCAGACCTCGATCGTGCAGGTCGAGGAGGGATTGTCACGAAGGATCTCCTCCTTCGCGGCCTCGCCCTTGGACACGGTGCGGACGGCCAGAATGAGATGGCTCAGGCCTCGCGCACTCAATTGTTTAGCGGCTTCGAGGCCGAGACCGACATTACTGCCTGTGATGATGGCGGCTTGGCCCTGGAGATTCACAGAGGTAGGTAGGGGCTTGGGGCAGAAGGTGAGTTGGCGGTATAGGAATCCTGGGATTGAGCCACCCATGGTGATAGATCTTTAGTTGTTCAGTGGTAGTAGAAGAGGAGGAGAATGATGATCAGAAAACGACAAGAAGTAGAAGGCAAGATATAAAAGGAGCTCAATGACGACTGGGACAGATCACATTATCTCCGTATAACTACATCTAGGCATGACTGGAGATAGGCATCGGAGATAAGACACGCAGTCCGCGTATTTACGCCCGCCGAGCTTAATTTGGGGCCCCGCGACAGGGAAACATGGCTCAGCCTCAGAGTGCATGGGACGAGCCAATCAGTTTGGGGATCTATCGATAGTATGGTTGATGATTTGGAATTGAAGTTGTTGCCATCGACACGCCTCTGCCTGAGGTGCAGCCAGATTGGTCCGAATCTGGACTAGAGCGAACCTTGCTATGAAGGAGCTCTTTACCTGAGGTGGACAATCCGAAACCATCGAATGCCATTATGCCATCAGAAATTGCATCTCATCAGAGTCCTGCCCATCTGTTACGAGATCGTCTTCCACCAGAATAGTCCATGCACCAGGAAACCATATCCGAGAATACTGACTGACGGTGCTGGCTGTCACGAGAACCTTGAAGACAAAACCCCCGCCAGATGCTTGCACATCAGCAACCAAATTGTTAAGAAACCTCATCACAAACTCCATTTCCGCGGATCGACTGTCTGTCTCATACCACGATGTCTCGTCAATCAGACACACTACCACGCCGGTTCCAACGCTCTCCAGTAGGCGTTGAAAACATATGCATAATGTGGCCAAGTCTCGGCCCTGGATCTGCTGAAGTATTTGGAAGTTGAGAAAGGACAAGTTGAGGGAGTCTCCATATTGTTGTAGAACTTGGTATACCAAGCTTCTCATGATGCCATTACCACCTTCCAGATTATCTCCAGGAGACGCATGCAGGCCGCAATAGAATGTCAGGGCAGCACAGGAGGGCAGCCGACGCAGGGTACGCCCGAGAAGCACACATACGCAGCTCAAAGGCGTTATTGCTTCGTTCTCTTGAATGTCATCAGTCATGCTATTGATAACCAGAACTTGGGACTGAGCCTGTCGTAACCAAGCCTGGAAAAGCTCATTTGCCATCACCCATGGGATACACTTCCTGCGTTGCGACTCAATACTGTCACCGAATTCGCGAACAAGATCGTCATCTGGATATGCGGAATTGGCATTCAAAATCTGTCGCAGCTGGTCGGCCGTGACGAATTGCGGCGGCAGAGAGGGCATGGAAGGCATAACGAAGGCGCTAATGAAGATTGGATGTTGTGCTTGTTGCAGTTGAGACACTTGCTCTTCTAGTCGGTGTTCTCGTTCCTGGTGCTCTTTTTCGCTTTTTCTGCGTTCCTCTTCGGCATTTTCCAGCTTTACATGTGTCCCTGCCATTGCAAATGAAAGTAAGCTCTGAGCATCGCAAAGTGTGACTTGACACACTGACATTCGGCCTCCTTGGCAATTCCCATGAGCAGATCTTCCAGTCGCTCCATTGCGAGCTCCTGCTTCTCGGGCTTTGCCTCGACGCTCGCTTTGATGGAAAGAACATTGGCACTTAAATGGCTAACGGATTTTGTCAGGAGCTTGACATCTTTTCCCATAGCTGTGACGCCTATGTCAATGCCCCTAATTCTGGTGTGTAGACAAGCCCGGACTCGGTCGTCAAAAGCCGTTGCTTTTTCCTGGATATTGGTGGTTATCTTCCCTTCTAGTTGGCTTCCGTATGCATCCTGTTGGAAAAAGGACTTGAATGCTTCCACTTTACGATCGTTAGTCAACAATCAACCAGTGATTATAGCGGTCAATAACGCACGCCCTGGATTCCGCTTTATCCAACCAGTGATTGCCTCAACCGCTTCAAGGATCGCGATGAAAAGTGCCTCTGATTTGGTGCGCAGCTCGCTATCCTCACTATAAATCCGGATGTACGATTTCGAGCACTCGATCGTCTCCGATAGGCTGTCGAAGACGCCAAAGACCGTCTCTCGCAGAGACTTGAATCGCTTTGCTGCCTAGATCTTATATATAAGCAGACAGTCCCTGGGAGGAAACGAGAACAGACATTGTAAACCAAATTAAAACATCCCGTCAAGAGGGATGTATACTCGCCATTGGGAAGCAACTGGAGCAAAAAGTCCATCCGGTACGCTGAATCACTGAAGACCCGCCCTGCTGAGCGAAAAGGATGTCGCCAGGATCGACCTTTCTCTTTGTACAAAGCAAGGGCCTCACTTGCCTCTTTCTGAACATCCGTCCAACTGTGCTTGCCATAAAAGGCCTCTTGGGAAGTCTTGTCGTTGGACTCTTTGAGGGTCTTGTTCATGAATGTTTTAAAACTGCTTGTTCGCCTTTGCAGTCTGTATACTTCTCGTCAGCATGGAACAGTTGGGATATTCACCCTGGAGCCTTGGGGATTCTCACTCTTGCGATGCAGGAGCCGCACGATACTTGTCAATTGTCTGGCCCCAGTCCCATCCCTCGTCGACATCGCCAGCTCCATGTTGCAAGAACGGGGGCACAAGTTCCATGGCGGGATATTCTTGGTCGAATGCACTACCTTGACCTCGAAGAAACGCTTAGCTACTGGGTGTGTTCCAATGCCAACTTCAATACTCATACATCAGCGATGTATGCCCGTGCTGTAATGAGTCAAGAAATCACATAGGTGGAGTCTTGCATTGACATACAGCCGCGGACTGTTATGTCTCAGGTCTCACTACAGGCATCAGATAAGACTTGCAAGCACTAAGGAAGGCGGGGTAATAATGTTTGCCATAAGAACCGCTGAGGCTGAGCTGAAACTGTATACTCCGTACGGCTCACACCGGAGGCGCTTGGCTGCCACTCAGCAAATGGAAAATCTCCTTCGGAGACGCCGATGCAATATACCATCCTCGTCACAGCGGGGACATTTATCTCCCAGCACACAGACAGGTAAGCTGGAATGCATCATACATGCTCCCCAACCGCCTGGTGGGTTGATGGCCTATGAGGTTCATTCCAACCTGTCCGAATAACTACGACAACCCGTTCATGCAGTCAAAGCACCGTTTAGCGAGGTCTAGCCACGCCACAGTGTGAGCTTCCACTTCCCAGCAATTCGACAGGTAGGCCGAGGATGCATCATCCACGTTCCCTAATAAGAACCTGGTGGGGTGATGGCCTATGAGATGGACTCCAGCCGGTCCAAATACGGCGAACCCGTTCATGCAATTTTCTTCTTGAATTGGACATAAATATCGATATCTATCGGGATGAGACACCATTCAGTTTCTTTTATGCATCGCAACCCTACCTTTAGTAACCGAAATCTACTGCGCGCAGATACGGGAAATGGAACAACCTGGCCAGCTTCAGTTCGAGTCTCCTCGGCGTAGTTCAATTACCGACGAAGAGAATGTCGAATCAGCCTCAATTGTGGACAAAGCCGAGCGGGATGCACAGGAAGAGCTTGCAGCACTGTCACAAGAATTCGAGCGAGTAAGGGCATTCCGAGCAGAGCTTGACCAGTTAGGCTGGCGTCTAAGTCACGAAATGGAGCGCCTCTCGGCAAGATTGAAAGTTGAAGAAGATACAGACTCCCACAAAGATACAGACTCAACTTCCACCGAAGAGAGCGAGCGCATTTGCTTTGCAGAATTAAATTATGTGCCACCCAGCAAAATGAGAAAGGAACGGGAAGTGCCTGAGAAGTATTATGCCATCGACATTGTTTCCGACAACGCGATTTCATACCAGCCCAAACATGGACAAGGAAAGCAACTAGAAAAGGCATACGCTGTACTAGATGAAGAGCCTGTTCATCCTGATGCCACAGACAAAACCCACTGGATCCCCGACCGCGTCGTACTCAATTCAGAACGGCTAAAGGTTCGGGTCGACTTTGATCTCTGGGACGGATCTCTTTCTTGGAGCAGCTGGGAGGCCTATCACATTTTAAGCCCCTTCAAAATCCTGGTATATCTGGATCAACCCATCAGAGAACGTCTGCGAGAGTTCGAGCGTCTGTTTGCTACCATGCAGCCCCCCTCGAACGGTGTCAAGATGGAAACACTCCAACAAGATCGATGGCTGGAGAAAAGGCGACAGGATGCAAAAGACATGAGTTACATCGACCTTCTCAGTTGCATCAACGATTTCCGTTGCCTAGTGCAGTTCATGGATGAACACATCGAGCCAGTGAAGACTCGGCTTCAAAGTGACAACCCCGGACCAGTACGCTTCACAGACCTGTGGTATGCCTTCCCCCCAGGCACCCTGGTATACGTCAAGGATAAAAACATCCCCCAAAAGGTGTGGAAAGTTGTTCAGCGAACAGGCGGGCGCAGGTACCTGACCCGGCCAGACCACATCCCCAATGGCGAGTTTCGTAATTTATACTCGCAGTTTGTGCTGGACTGCTTCTACCTCGATTATGACGGAATACGCTACGTGCCCATCTTCCGTCAGTTCAAGCTTAATGACTTTGAGGGTAGCCAAGCCATTACATCTCTCCCTGTTTATCCCTTCCAAACATCGGAGACAGCTAAGAGCAAGTCGGATCTTCTCGACCGGGCTCATCAATTCATCCAGTGCACTAGGATGACCCACCGTTACTATTCGGGGCGCACACATTCCCGGACACCTGATGGCGAGAAGCTCGCAGATGTTCCACTTGGGAAACCCAGAAGCGTGTCAGTATATTCTGAGATGGTCGACAGTGCCGTGGTGGTAGATTTCGAGCGTGCCTTTCAAGAGGTCCCCGCGTGGCGTCCAGGAGGAAATGAGCCAGAGCTCTATCAAATGTCTTCAGCCGAACTGGACTCCTATATGTACGCTATGGATCGCGACAGTATATGGGATGCGCGCTCCTCAGAGGACTTCCTGGCGTCGGAGGGCCGAAAGTGGTTTCGCTGGGGAAAGACGGGCGAGCCGCCACGAGACGAAGATGATCTGCTCATTTTGCCAGATCGGGTGTTTGCGTACGTTCTTCGGACTCGCAAGTGGGGTAAGATTGCTTCTTTCTCTCGCTATAGAAATCACGGGCTTACCTTATCTAGCATGTCTACAGCTGGGACACAACGCCGCTGGACAAGAGCAGCTCCGCGTTGTTCCACCGCGTCAAGAGCCCTGGAATCATCTCGAGCTTCCGGAGGGCCATAAAGACATTGTACAGTCGCTTATCGACGCCCATTTCGGAGTAGATAGCTCGCGGAATATCCATTTCGACCTTGTCCGTGAGAAAGGTATGTTGTCTTCAGAGTATGCGGCGGTGGTTGATCTAATCATGATGCAGGGAAAGGTGTTATTATCCTCTTACACGGTGTTCCTGGGGTGGGCAAAACGTCCACAGCTGGTGAGGCTGTTCCTTTCCCGGTCATGGATGAATGATATTGACACGGGTTATAGAATGCGCAGCTGAAAGCAATGGCCGGCCTCTGCTACCTATCACTTGCGGTAGGGATTTGTCCTCTGAAACCTGGTTTCGTTTCTGACTGCTTTCAGGCGACCTTGGCTTGTCCGCAGAGGAAGTGGAAGACAAACTAATGGAGGCATTTCAGCTCGCTCAGGCATGGGGGTGTGTGATGCTTCTAGATGAAGCAGACGTGTTCCTGGCTCGACGAGAACCGGCTGACACACAGAGGAATGCTCTTGTCTCCGTCTTTCTTCGTGTCCTCGAGTATTATGAAGGGATCCTCTTCCTCACCACCAATCGAGTCGGCACTTTCGACGAGGCGTTCAAATCCCGCATCAATGTCTCACTTTACTACCCGCCGCTGACTTGGTATCAAACGAAGAGAATCTGGACCTCCCATATCAACACCGCCACGGCCGATGACACAATCTTTTCGGCTAATACAGAGTCTCTCATCAAATATGCCTGGCAGCTCTATGACATCCAACTAACACAGAAACAGTTCGGTCCAATCTGGAATGGACGACAAATCCGGAACGCCTTTCGGACTGCCGTTGCCCTCGCAAGTTTTCGGGCTCTGCCGGGCCAGCCCGTCCAGCTTTCGGAGGCCCATTTCGCAAAGGTGGCGTTGGTTTCCAACCAGTTCAATGATTATATTTGGCGCGTCAAAAAGAGCCTGACCGATAGTGACGTTGCCAAAATCAAATCCATTCGAGTAGATGATTACGTGCCGGGCGAGACACTGCACGTCATTCAACCGCAGCAGAACCAACCCATTACGAATGTTCAAGGGGGTCAATTATCGCCTGGGATTCCTCGGGGGTTCACGCCTGTTCCGCAAAGCTCAGCCCCTGCCATCCCGCAATTCAATGCACAGGCCCAGACAATGCCATTCAATCCGTCTAGCCAAGGACATCCCCAGCAGTTGTCTTATGGCTCGGGGTCCACACCCTCGACGTATATGGGCTATGGTGTACCGACGCCGCTGCAAAGTCCCCAGCAAAACGTGCAGTATCAGCAGCTTCAGGGTCAACAGGGGATGCAAACTCAACCACACCAGAGCCCACCACAGCAAAACATGCAATACCAGCAGGTTCAAAATCAACATGGGATACAGACTCAATCACACCAGAGCATGCAATACCAGCAGGTTCAAGGCCAGAATGGGATGCAGACTCAACCACAGCAAAACATGCAGTACCAGCAGTTTCAAGGTCAGCAGGGGACGCCGTCTCAACCACACCAGAACCCACCACAGCAATACAATCCAGGCCCCAATCAGTCTCCCCCTTAAGTCAAGAGGCATGCATAGTCGGGTCCTTGCGCAGTTTAAATGCCTTATTTATAAGCCTAGAACCATTTCTCGGATTACCGCTTCATTAGTCTGTTTTAGGGAGGGGGTTGGATTGGATCTTCTTGTTTAGATATCAATGAAAAGATTATTTTTTCAGTTTTCGAAGAGAATTGATTATGAAATCTGGCCACTCGTATGATGTTGGAGAAGGTATCCATATGGCTGGGGTATAAAGATAGAAGTATTAGAAGTACTGTATGGACTTATGAAGGTCAAGACGCCCATCGCAATCAGTCTTAAACCAACAAACTCAGCCGAGAAATAAGTTCTCGCGATCAGACTCGCGATACGCAACTAGTCGATCCGATGCCATCCCTGCAAAACAAGACCCATCGAAGCACGATAGAAGACAAAAAAAAAAGATGCGGAGAAAGCCTTCCTCACCGCCGATCTCCAGAATCGACTAGACCGAAACGAGGGCCCGCGGCACCCCGTCACATGACCACAGCGGACCACACAGCGACCCAACACGGCTTAGCGGCAATCAAGCGAGATGGTCCGAGCCCGCATATCGGGAGTGGAAGGCACACAACGCATTTTCAACCCTAACCTTTCCGTTCAACCTCAACGCCCAGCGACGACAGTACACGCCTGCCAGACACCGTCACGTCCAGGTTTTCCTCGCCTCAAATTTCAAGATGACTCACGACTCCGTCTGGTACAGCCGTCCTCGCAAGTAAGGACCCCTCCCCCCCTTATTTTCCCGTTGTGGGTTGGATTTTTGGTTTCGCAGATGGTGGAATGGGAAGGATTATCGATCGGTTCGGGTTGGAAGGTTGGGAAAAGGGAAACAGCTGGCTAATTGATATTTTTTTTCCCTTGATAGGTTCGGCAAGGGCTCCCGCTCCTGGTACGATAAATTTCTCCCCCGATGAAACTCGTTCGATATAAGAGATGAAATTCGTTTCTATATGTGTGCGGTATTGGAATGGACGAAAACTGATGAGTCGATCGATATAGCCGTGTTTGCTCTCACCGCGCTGGTCTCATCCGCAAGTACGGGGTATGGAACATCTGAATCCAGTTTTGCATTGCAGATTGCGAAAGATCTGCAAGTTTGGGGAACATGATAACTGATCGGGGAATTTTTGAAAATACAGATGAACATCTGCCGTCAGTGCTTCCGTGAGAAGTCCACGGACATTGGTTTCAACAAGGTTGGTTTATTCCATTTAATCCGGCTCTATCGATCGAATATTGGGAAGACTACAATTCTGGAGGAAGAGAAAAGAAGCGCAACGGGACACACATACACCACACCACCATATTCGAATTAAACATACCTGGAAGCGCAATCACTAACTAGACCCTCAACACTACACAGTACCGGTAAATTAATCGCGATCCAAATTCCTATTCACGACGAATCGTTACGTGCTCGGCGCCCGGTCAGAAACCAATGCGGACATAATGATGAAGAAAAAAACGATTTGTACTCCGACGGGACAAGACACCAGTTTGGAACAGTGAATTAGCTCTCAAACCCAACGTTGGAGGAAACCAATCAATTTTTTAAAAATGGGAAATCTTTTTTTGAAAAAGAGCAACGAGGAAATTTTATGCGTGGATGGTCGGTGTTGACAATTTTTTTTAATTAAAAGGTGTCACATGTCGAAACCTTTGTGTGTCTGTCTTGTCTCTTCCAATTCAATATCTACGTTGAATTGAAGTGAGGGACTATTTCTTTTAAAATCAATTCGCTCCTGGGGAATTTAGTCCTTTCCGTCCCTGTTGTCTGTCTCCTCGTCTTCCACCGAGGGATCTAATCGATCGCGCCTGTCTATGATTCCGTCTACTCGCCCTTCCTGCTGGTCCTGTGAATGTCCCGTCCCGTTACATGCATTCGTCGATCGATCTGGATATGGAGATACGTCTATTTCACCAGTCACAGTAACAAGAAGCCTACTTTCCATGCGCCCTTCCGGACTTCTTCATACCCTCTCCTCTTGCCGTACCAACAAAATCATGCCCAAGACCCGAGCACCTGTATAATTCCGTTCAGCGTAGACCTAACATATTAAGCAAATAGAATTCAAGATTTATCTACCAAGATTTGTACATGATCGCCTCCATCGCGATAACAGCAACTCATATCTAGATAAAACAGAACCGCAACCCAACATGAACAGGACTGACTAACTCGTCTTCTGCGTCTCGCAATACATAGATACATACATACATAACATCGAACCCAAGCTCCAGGTCGGAATGCGAACCGGGCAAAAGAAGAATAAAAAGGAACCAAGAACGGGGAAATAGATCGGTCTTAACTCCATGCCATGAAACTCCTGACCGCTGAAAACAGGGTATGCAGTAAACAAAACAAAACCACCTTACAGGAGAGAAGAGAGCGAAAAAAAATCATCAAGCAGGTGAGCAGCCCATGTACGTTGATCAATCACTCTGACAGCTACTTCGAAGGAGCGCCGGCCAAGGATCGGATATTGTAGAATAGAAGATAGGCGTCGGCGTTAAGGACGTCCGCCTCAGTTGCTGGAGTGACCTGATCATCGTTGAAGAGCATCCACTGCTGTATGTTAGTATCAAAACACGATATGAGATGTGACAGGGATAGACGTACCCGATCACCTTGTCGGCAGTAAGCGTAATAATGGCCAGCGTCAAGTTTTCCCTTATGAACCACTGCAGACGATAGGTCATACACGTACCGCGATCTGTCAGTCAGGGGGTGCGGGTTGGTTGTGTACGGGAGCATATTGATGGACAGAGGGAAATCAATTCTGCCCTCGAGCTTCTCCGAAACCGAAAAAGTATGTTCATAGCGCTATTAACGGGATTAGGACAGAGCGTGCAACGGCAGAAAATATGAATAGATACGTACCTTCAACTGCATGCACAGAATCGCCGGCAATTTCTTGATCCGCAGCTGCTTTGTCGCCTTTTGAGGGGTGTCACCACATGAGGTGCAGTTGTAGACACCTGCCATGAGCTTCTCAGGGGAAGTAAAGCTCTCGAGGCATCCGGTCAGCGTAGGTGGAGAGGAGGGCCCAGAGCCGCCCATGGCGCGCTTCTTTGCCTGCACCTGGACATCTAGACTCAGATCCACCATGGGATCTTCGGTTCGCGTGACATTGCCGCATTTGTCGCAAGTCACGCTGCTGCGAAGCTTGCCGTAAAAGGTCTTGTGGAAGAAGCAGGGACAACCCTTCTCATGGTTCTCCTGATGTCCATCGGTGGTTGCGTGCAGCTTATCGACCAGAAACTGGTAATATTCGTGTGCATCTTGTTGATGATACCCTGCCAGAGTCTGTGGAAGAGTTAGTATCGTTTTCAAGGCCCGTGAAAACATCGTGATCTCATACCGCGCTTCCCCGCCATGTTGCCACGAGAAGGTTCAGGGCTGCGAATCCTTCCACTTTTTCAGTACTGTTGAAATCGGCAAATGCTTCTGCAACCGCACAGCCTATGCAATCGGGTATTTGGCAATCGTGATGGTGGGGATGGCCATTTCCCAGGAAATAGGTGGTCAGGATTGGATCGTGAAGCAGAGTCTGAAGAATGACATTCATGTAACAAGTTTGGCCCAGGTTATACAAACCCCTGGCGCCTGCTTTCGCACAAAGACGTCTGTTGGCGTTGCTTCTGACATACAGCTCATCGGCCGAGCTCTCGCTGAACCGACGTTTTTGGGCAACTGATCCACCTTAGCTCGGAATCCCATTGGTATGAACGCATATACAAACCTTTGATTGTGTTCTCTGATGATGACGATCGCAGCCGCTCCAGGCCGTGATCATAGATGAGATCTTCACAGCTCTGGCAATACAGAGCGCGATTTCTTGATTCCATGACTAGACGAAGATTAGCCACATTCCAAGAGTCGCGCACAGGACTAACTTACAAAACGAATGTCCGGTTTTCTCGGTGTGCTTATTCCGACTGCTTGGGGTGCAGGCTTCGGAGCAAGTCAAGCACGTGTACTTGGGTCTCAGAAGACTATAGGCACGCGAACTCGTATTGTTCTTCCCAATCATCTCCGCCGTAATGGGATGAGGGGCCAATGCATTGTGAGTCTTGAGAAACGAGTTTTTGAACTGATTCGCAGTGCTTCCCGCATGCGCAAGCTGAGTGGCAAGGTGCTCTTGTGGCCCGTCAGCATGGAGAACAAGAATAGAGAGAAATCTGCCATAGTGTTCGCATACCACAGCCAAACTCGGCCTCAGAAAGGAGCGTCACAGAAGCTACGCTGGCCATTGTGAGGATGTCAGATTGGTAGGGCGCTAGTATAGAATTGAGGCGTCCCGAGTTTAGTTCAGAAGGAAGAGGTTGCACAGTGAGAACGCAATCTCCCGGGAACAAAGTGGATCATGCGACACGATAGAGTCAATCAGTTGCCAAGGAGGCTCAGCTCTATAGGATGGGGTGGAGGCAGATGAAACAATGCAGTTTTCTAAGCGCAGAAACAATGGGGATCCATGGAATGAGACACCGTCAAGAACCCTTGATGCATCACACCAGCATTGTGCGTTTGGCAGGTCAGCCTCCTGGTCAGGATCAATTGGAGGCGTCCAATAGCAGACGGCGTCAGTGAATCGTCAACGGACAAGTTGAAGTTCCAGTAGGTTGTGTTCCGTCGTCGGATCGGGTCCCGAAGGGTACCGCAGGTCTGGCAGCCCTCTGAGGCTCTGGCTCTCACGGGGGTGACTCGACGGGGTCACTAGAGCGAATGACACTGCGGAGCACTCAGATGTACCCAATAGGAGTAACAATAACTAGAAGAATAGAGCTCTCCGAAAGGGAGTAGGGCGCTGGGGACGGAGGAAGCTAGTCTAAAGGATCTTTTTTCGCTGGTCGCAAGGGTTGTCGCCGCGGCCGCCCGGCGATAAGAACCCGGGACTGCCATTGATCCGTCCCCACGTGGTCTTTACTCGGCGCTATTGACTCTGTGCAAGCAGTACAACGGATTCATTCAGTCATTTCATGATTCATTGGTGTCGATCTCCCCAAGACTAATTACATGCATGCGACACAGCATTTGCAAGTTAAGCACCCGATCAATTCAGCTGTCAACCTTGTCGCAAGACAATGCCACGGGCCAATATAGCCCTGCTGCCTGTATGCGCTGGTATCCAGTGTCCGACATCATTGACCCTTCGTCCCGTGTCTGTTATCCATCGCTTCCTGTCAGATGTATCAAACGGCGACCTAAGATTAGCTCTTAGTGCCAGAATGCTTGTAGCGCAGACCATTCCTTCTGGTTGTGATGTCGTCGACGAAGCCTAGTCCACGAGTCTGTAAATAACCTCCCTGAAACTATCTCTTTATCGATCGCATGCCCTCATCGCATTCCCCTTCCCCGAGGTAGAGCACTCGGACGCGCTCGGTTCGTTCCTCTTGTGGTATAGCGACCGATACTGGAGCCACGGGTACGGGCTCCTCTTGTGGTTCCCCGCGAAGGGAGAGACGATTTGGTTGTCGGTTTGGAGGGCAATGTAGTGGAGGGGTGTTCGACAAACGTGGTGTCGGTGGTTCTGGAACGGCATTGTTATGAGCATATGCAGCACTAGGTCAAAAGACAAGGACGAAACTTACATGTACGTTGCTTCATCATCCATCGAAGGTCGCGTTTGTTCTGTTTCGAACTCTGGAGGTTTGTCAATACAGTGTGCTCATGGCGGGAGGCACGTTGACCATACCTTTCTGTGCTTCCGCTAGCTTCGCTCTTCTGAAAGATTCGGGAATCGGAGCCTGCAAAAACTTTAGTACCAAGTCTTGACCAATGCTATCACTGTGGTCTGCCATACCTCGGGAAAATCGACACAAAACGCATTCATGTTCATTCCGTACAGGAAACTAGCAAAGCTTTCGCTGAAGCGCGTCAGACTCTCGTGCATTAACTGCAGATGCATGAAGTTGGCCTCCAGATCGGCCATGGAGTCGGCGAGTTCTGCAAACTGGGGCTCCAGGGCATTGATGGCTGGTTGGCTATATCCTGCATTGCCGATACTGCCTCCATATCCATGGCCTTCGCGGAAAGATGAGCGAGAGCTAGGTCGGAGGGGAGTCGTAGGCCTGGAGGAAGGATGAGGACGCGAGGAGGCTCGGGCTTCCATTTTGGCGATGGCAATTCGATTCCGAGGATTGAGAAAGCGTAGGAGTGGGGTCAGTAGGGATGCGGAACTGCGCGTGCCTCAAATTCAATCGGAGCTAGCTTTTCTCGATCATTGATTTAATATTGGGGCTCGGTTAAGTGGACGAAAATCTATCTTTAGAGCGTTAAAAGGGTGTTTGTTGACGCCGGCGGTTGATCCCCCGCTTTCGGGTGGCGGAGGCCTCAGGCCCTGAACTGAACCCCTGGTTGGCTCCATCTTTTGGGTCCCTTTCTCGCTTTTTTTTTCCCTGGCTGTTCTTCCTTGCCAATTGCCAATTGCCAATTCCTTGCCTCTCGGTCCCTTCCTGGCTTTCGTTTCCTCTTATCTCATCTTTTCTTACTTCCCCGCATCCGCGGTTAAAAAGGTCAGGGGTCAGACGATCTTTGGCTGATCTTGTTTCGCCCTTCCTTGCCTAGTCGCACCAAGGAGTACGCGGAGAACGGAGACCAGGATTGCACCCACTTCTGTCCCTCCCTGTGGTCTCTCATTTTAGCACATGCATGCTGGTTCGTTCCTACGCCGCCGCCTCGCTCATTCCTCGGCCAAGTCTTTCCATTCCACCCCGTTTCAGTTGCACCGGTTCAAGGGTGCACAGATATTCTTACCGTCCTATTCAAGGCCGAGCTCCTTAATCTTCTCTTATCCACTTCGACGGTCCCTCTCCACTTTCTCCTCATCATCACTCGAGGAACCGAGGAAGGCCGTATCTTTCTGGACTGTCACATTCGCCGTTGTCCTACTTTGTGGAGGAACTTGGTTACAGGATAAATACCATCGCTCCGTGAACGACCCGTCGCTTCCGTCGCTTCCGCAACACGATCAAGACGACCCGGAACTATCGCCTTTCCTCCGAGTAATCGATACCCTCAAAACAATGCCTGGTGAAGCCGCCCCCGGAACCGTGGGCAACCTTACGCCTGAGCAGGAAGCCAAGTTGCAAGAGTTTTGGGTGTTGTTGTTGAAGGTTTGCGGTGTTAGCCTGGAGGGTGTTGAGCAAACCGGAGACGCTACTTCCTCGAGCGCATCGCAGAAAAAGGAACAGCAGCCCCAGCAACAACCCAAGCGGAGGTTCGGGTTATTCGGTGGTGGAAAAGGTAGTGAAGAGGACGATGCTGCAAGTGCCAAGTCGGCGAATGGCATCTCATCCGGCATTGCCTCCATCGACATCACCGATGGCGATGACAAGTATGGACAGTCGAAGGAATTCCAGCAAGCTCTTGTTGACATGAAGCCGGAGGAAATCCGCACTACCGTCTGGAATATGGTTAAACAAGACAATCCCGATACTTTGCTTCTGCGCTTCCTCCGAGCGCGCAAGTGGGATGTCAAGAAAGCGCTGATCATGTTCATTTCTACGATCCGGTGGAGATTGCTGGATGTCAACGTGGACGATGATATCATGAAGAATGGCGAACATCTCGCCTTGAAGCAGTCGCAGAGTTCGGACCCCGCGGAAAAGAAAGCTGGTGAGGAATTCCTCATGCAGATGCGCATGGGCAAAAGTTTCCTTCATGGCGTCGACAAGCTCGGCCGACCCATCTGTGTTGTCAGAGTGCGCTTGCACAAGGCCTCCGACCAGAGTACGGAAGTCTTGGACCGCTTTACTGTTTACACCATTGAATCTGCCCGAATGATGCTCGCACCTCCCGTTGAGACCGCCGTAAGTGCTTCCATTCCATGTTTTGACGATCGATTTCTGACCTGGAATAGTGTGTTGTCTTTGATATGACTAATTTCTCTCTGTCGAATATGGTACGTCTACATTTTCCCTACATGACATGAGCATGTCTAATGAACCTATTCAGGACTATAACCCTGTTAAATTCATGATCAAGTGCTTTGAGGCCAACTACCCTGAGTGTCTTGGAGTGGTGCTCATTCACAAAGCCCCATGGCTCTTCTCAGGTTCGTGTTCCTTTTGCATCTGCACTTGTGCTTGAAATGTTCTAACCATTGCGCAGGAATCTGGAAAATCATCAAGGGCTGGCTCGACCCAGTTGTTGCCGCCAAGATCAACTTCACGAACAATGTCTCGGATTTGGAGAAATTCATTCCCAGGGACCGCATCATGAAGGAGCTCGAGGGTGACGAGGACTGGGAATATAAATACGTCGAACCCCAGCCGGGCGAAAACAAGGCCATGGAAGACACGACGAAGCGAGACGAACTACTCGCGGAAAGACAGAAGCTCGCGCAAGAAGTTCAAGATGCAACCATCGCGTGGATCTCGGCCAGCCAGAAGAAGGACGACGAAGCCTTGAAGACCGCTAAAGAGCACAGAAACGGTCTGATTGAGCGGCTGAGAGTTCAGTACTGGCAGCTCGACCCTTATATCCGGTCTAGGTCGCTATACGACCGCCTGAACATTCTCCAAGGCGATGGCAAGATCAATTTCTATCCTACCGAATCGAAATAAACGGTGTCCTCGGTTAGGTTTGAATGGGTTCAAACCAGTTGAACATTCTAGATAGTTAGACCTTTTTGGATTCTGTTTTCTCTTACTATATAACTCTCGATAGGGAAGTTTTGTTTTATCTAATGTGACGCATATAGCATGTATATAAAGCACCTCATGATGGACAATGTGATGACTCTGGGGAGTCGGTTTTGGTCTCCTTGCTTCCTGGACTTATTATTTGGGTTACGCAGAGCCCTTATCGAATCGGCAAGGGGATACGAAAGCGGCCATTCAGCTGCAAGAGCGATTTGTTCTTAATTTAGTCTCTATACAAGTGACTCTCGAAAAGTGGGATTTGATTTAAACTGGCAGGGGCCGTAAAGGGCCGCTGAATTTGTGGCACTATTGCATTCGCCTCACTTTTCGTTACACGGCCACTCCGCCACTGGATGTGAAACCCCATATTGAATCAAAAGGTCGAGCCATCTGTCCATTGGTTGATAATTTAAATGAAGGATCGAAGTTCATTTAAGATTGCACTACGAAGCACAGCAGACGATGCCCGACCATGGCACCAAGCTGCAACATCAAGCCGGAGATAGAACTGCTGTGCGAGGTACAATATGAAGGTATGTACATGGCTCTTGTGTAAGGAAGACCTTACATCTTAGACTTGAGCTCCTCGTGCAAGGCCTTCAGCTTATCCATGTCCGTGTCCTGGGCGGGCCATCCAATACCCAGACCCTCCTTCTCGTTGGGCTTGGGGATCTGCGTAACCGTTAGCCTTGTCCTAATGTCAGACGAAGTCGGTGAGGCGATCGAGGTAGTAGCGTGTGTAACATCGGTGTCGTTGCCAATGCGACTCTCGACTTAGGGGTAAGTTGGACTCACCATGTGAAAATGAACCTAGTACGAAGAAGAAACACATATGTCAGTCACCAACTCCCATGTGATGAAAGACTAGTGTGGAACTTACATGGGGCACCACCTGGTGGGCAATGCTACCGTTGTTCTGCAGGAGGTTGAAGTCCTTGGCACCAGAGACCTGGGCTACTTTCTTTGCAACGGGCTAGAAGGAGAAAGAGAGAGATACTGGTCAGTTCATTCCACTCCAATATAAGCTCAAGGGCGGTTGGCTCGAAACTGCGGGGAAAGGAAGGGATAGTCGTGGAAATTGGTCGCGTCGTCGCCCAAGGTCCCCAGATGCTTTGTCACGTCCCTATTAAAGGACCATCTATCCGCGACCCGAGCCATTTTGAGATCTTCTATTATTCTGCACATACCAGGATTTCAGTGAGATGGTCGTCGGGGATGTCGGTAAGCTTTTCGCCGTGGAACTTGGGGATCACGAGCTGTCATGGTTGAAACAGTGTCACTGTTAGTTGGTTTGTATCTTCTTAAAAACGAACGAAGCGGATCGATATGGATGATTCTCCTGGGAATTGCAGGATATACACATATGTTCGACCGATGCTGAACAGGCCCGTTGTCCATGGGTGCGCAGGTCACGGTCGAATTGATTGCAGTGCGGGGAGGTCGAAACTCAAGACAACTGGAGACTTACGGCATGTCCGCGGCTGAGAGGTTGAATGTCAAGGAAGGCAAAGACCTTGTCGCTCTCGAAGAGCTTGAAGGAAGGGATATCACCTATATTCCATGGCAAAGGTTAGCTAGCTACGTCACCCATTAAGGTTCATCGCGACGTTCATCATCGCGGCGCGACCGTAAAGAAACCTAGAAACTGCGATGGGATTGGTTTGGAGGAAAAGATCCGTACCCTTGATAATCTTGCAGAAGATACAAGCAGCAGAAGAAGACATTTTGCGATATCGTCGACGAAGTCTATACAGCGAGAGAAAACGAGAACAGCGTAGTTCAGCGCTCGAGAGGAGAAACGACCGAATGCGGGGTTCAAGGCGGAACCGACGGGGCATGAAAAACGGTCGGGAAAAGAAAAAGGTTGGACACGACCGGGATCGAACTCCGAATCACTCGTAAGATAGAGGGGGATATAAATCACTATCAAGAGCAAAAAGTGAGGATGGTGACAAACTAGCTCAGAACCCATTTCTTGCCTTTTACCAGAGATGGCCGTGGTTTGCGCCAAACATCCTCTGCTCAATCTTTGGATACCCATCTATCGACACAGTCGTCGATTTTATTGTTTTTCTTTTTGCAGGATCCGTTTTCTGTTGCCTATCATTATGATGGTTCTTACTCTTTTCTGTTCGTATTTGGCCCTCTGAAGGCCTATTTCTCGAGAACGGTGCGTGTGCAATAGTGCGTATATCTTGTGTCGATAACCTCCACGGCCGCTCCTCTCAGCCTCCACCAACGAATCTACTCGAGGCACTTCCATGCACCATCGACATTGGATGCAAGCCATTCATGCGGCTTCCGTGTCTTCCGTTGGTGTAATCGTCTCCAATCACCCTATCAATTGCCTGATATCAGCCAGCGGACTTTTGTCCGCTGCAACTAACCCCTCTCGCCGTACATCCATCCACGCAACTACCGAGGACACTGAACTGCACTGGGTCTTCAATTACCAATCCCAATGCACATATTGCACTCCGTACAACACCTCTCCACGGAGCCATGTCACGGGCATGCTTTCTACCCCAACACCCAGAGATTTGGAGAAGACAAGGTTCACAGACCCGAACCAAAATCCCCTGATTCCTTATTGGCAAGATCACCGAGCTCTAAAGCCTAGGATTGACCCCACTCATACACCTATCTTATCATTTGCTGCGTCTCCGCAAAGTCAGGCTTATCTACTGCACGTCTCCAACGATGGGCTTGTATATAGGCTCTGGTCCTACTCGCTGAATGAATAAGATTGTTTCCGCTTAATCTTCCAAGTCTTTAGCTTTATCAGGCGCCTGACTGTCTATCCTGTGTACGGCATTTTGACTAACACGCATACAACCCTACCGGCCCTTCTACATCATCTACACGAGCCATGCTCTCGACGGAATTGTCCGAGGAACAGGTATCGGCCCTGAGGGCCAATAAAGACCGCCTTGCAAAGGACCTCCATCATAGCTGCCAATGGGGTTTTGGGATCCGCTGGGGAGAGTGAGTATCTCATTCATCTTTCTTTCGCATAGTAAATAGACAGGCTTCTAATGAAATTCAGTGGCTCTACAGACACGGGCATGCAGCGCCTGGCGCTATCAGACGAAGACAAGACGGTGCGAGACTGGTTTATCGAGACAACAAAGGCATTGAAATGCAGTGTCACAATTGACGAGATGGGCAATATCTTTGCCGTACGGCCCGGGCGACGCAAGGACGTGCCTCCGGTGTTCATCGGTAGCCATTTGGACACGCAACCTACTGGTGGTCGGTACGACGGCATACTAGGGGTTCTTTCGGGGATTGAGACCTTGAAAGTCATCGACGAGATGGGACTCGAGACAGAGGGTGGTGTTGGTGTTGTGAACTGGACAAAGTAGGAACTCCGTTTGATCGAAATTGGCTATCGTCCGTCAAACCATCGCGACTAACATCTGTACAGTGAAGAGGGTGCTCGTTTCCCTATTAGTATGGTCGCTTCTGGCGTCTGGGCCGAATGCATCCCGCTTGAACGAGCCCATGGACTCAAAGAGGTCCCGACCGTGGCATCTCTCCCTACTGCTTCATCTGCCCCGGAGTCAATGAAATCGGCCCTGGAAAAGATCAATTACCTGGGAAGCGTGCCGTGTTCTTACAAAGAGACTCCGATGGCGGCGCACTTCGAACTGCACATCGAACAGGGACCGCATCTTGTGTCCGCAAACCAGCGCGTTGGCGTCGTCACCGCCGTGCAAGCATACCGCTGGTACCGGGTCAACATCATCGGCAGGGACACCCACACAGGCACGACGGCATTTCAGCACCGCGCAGACGCTCTGTATGTCTTCGCACGTATGATGGTGCATGCGCGTGAGGTCGCGTCTTCGCACGGATGTCTCGCAAGCGTTGGCATTGTGGAAGCAAAGCCCGGAAGTGTGAATACCGTGCCCGGGCTGGTCAGCTTTACGCTCGACATCCGCGGGCCGGAAACCGACCTAGTTGAAGTCGTCGAGACACAATTGAGGAAGGACTTTGACGCGATCGCAGCGGAAGAAGGCAAGGGAATTGGGAAACCTTGCCGTGTTGAGTGGAAGGTGGACTTTGATTCGCCGGCCGTCAAGTTCCATCCGGACTGCATCGACTGCGTACAGGAATCGGCGGAGGCGGTGGTGGCCGATGCGCCGGAGCCGAAGTCGCTGGTGCGAACGATCATGAGCGGCGCTGGACATGATAGTGTGTTTACTTCGAAGAGGGTACCCACTAGCATGATCTTCGTGCCCTGCAAAGACGGGCTGAGCCATCATCCGGAAGAATACTGCTCTGCGGATGACTGCGCGACTGGCACCTCGGTCATTCTGCAGGCAGTGATTCGCTACGACCGAAAGAGGTTCTCCGCCTAGATGATATCGCGGTCCATGTCTGGACGGAGGGATGAGGAACCAGAATGTAAATAAGATACGAGAATCTACGAGAGAAGCCAAATTGAAATTTTTGGAGTCATAATCATGTCATTGAACCTAGCTACTCCGTGACATCGAAACAGCAACAATGCACAATCACTTTTTTGATTTTTCGTTAGGATGCGCAAAGACGTAGCAATTTCTGACTAGATAAAGCCTACTCAAGCCACGCCCGCAACATCCATGGACGCCCTAAGAAGACCTAGCGACATCTCCTTTACGAGGAGGGAGCGCCACGGCCACGGCCGAAACCGCCACGGAAGTTAGGGGCGAACTCGCCGGGGGCACCACCCTCCTTGCCCTCCTCGCGGCGGCGGTAGCCACCCTCACGGGGAGCACGGGGACGACGCTCGCGCTCCTCACCACCCATCATGCCACGGGGGGGAGCGTGAGAACGCTGCTGCTTGATGTGGGTGGCGGGGACAACCTCAGCGGGGAGGTGCAGCCACTCACGGAGGTAGTCAAGACCCTATCGACAAAAAAAAAAAAAAGAACCGTTAGTCTACCGAACTTGACCGTTTCTTGCACGGAGCCAGGATTTTGGCATCTTCAGGGAAAACGTACCTCGGGGGTGAGGGTGTAGTAGTAGTACTGCCACGAGAACTGGGTCTTGACATAGCCGCGGGAGTTCAGGGACTGCAGGGCCTTGATCACGTAAAGGTTCTTGGTGTCAATGTCGCCATGCTTGGGAAGGTTGAAGTCCTTCTTGGCCACGAGCACACCCTCTGTTCAATCAAACATTCAGTCAGCCATTTTATTCCCGATCGTCCTTGTGAGTGAAGCGAGGCAGGTTGAATTCAATCCGAGAATTTCGTCCAGCGCAGAGAGCGTAAGCGAGGGAAGGGTCGGCGACAAAAATCACATACCGCGGAAGAGGTACTCGTGGATCTTCTTGCGGTCGTCCTTAGGGATAAGCCTGGAGAGTTATTAGATACCATATCCTTCTAGAAAGCATTGAGGCTAGAAGGGCCCAACTTACATTGTTGCGAGTTCCTGGCGCTCTTCGGGGAATCGCTCAAACAACGCCGGAAGAGTATGGTTTAAATGATGGATATAGTCGAGTGGAGCGGCTGCGCTTGGGAGTGAAAAGTAGTGCGGTGGCTTCCTGATCCGGAAAGCGGCTAGGGCTTGGACCCTCTTTGCGACGCTAGTCCTGATATAGGTAGATTTGTGGCTGTGATTAGGTAATGCGATCAGCCACAGGGCTCAGTCCACACCGCCCTTTGATTCTGCCGGTGCTTGAGTAATCAGTAATCGCCGTTCCTTCCTTATCGTCAACTCTCCGCAATCTTGCAGTCACTTGCGCTTCACCTCTGCCGATTACACCTCTGTGGTATCCCCCACTGTTTCCTCAGATTTGAAGTGAACGAAAAACTCGAGTATTCTGAGTTGTCAGCGATCAAAATGGCATCGTCGAACATCAATATCCTGCTCACGTCCTTCCCTGGACTGTCGCTTCCCTCGACACTCTCCTTCTCCCTCGCCTCCACCTCTACCATCGCCGATCTCGCCGACAAGATCTCTTCATACATCCCGACATCCGTCCCGTTCCAGTCGCTCGTCTTGACAACCACCAGCAACAAGCAACTCGACCCCTTATCGCAGAGCCTCGTCTCTACTCTACTCGCCTCAAATGGCGACATCAGCACGGCATCGAACCTCCTACCTCTCCGTCTCTCGGTCCCGCTATGTGGTGGAAAGGGTGGTTTCGGCTCCCAGCTTCGTGCAGCTGGAGGGCGCATGTCCAGTAAGCGAAAGCGCAACCAAGGCGACGACAACGGATCCAGCCGAAACCTCGACGGCCGACGTCTCCGCACCGTCAACGAGGCCAAAGCGCTGGCCGAATACCTCGCCGTGAAGCCGGAGATGGATCGTAAGGAGAAGGAGGAGCGCCGACGTCGGTGGCAGTCGGTCGTGGACATGGCCGAAAAGCGCCAGGAGGAACTGAAGAATGGGGGCGGCAAACAGAAAGTCGACGGCCAGTGGATGGAGGATAAGGAGGAGATGAATGAGAGGGCTAGAGATGCTGTGTTGGTCGCCATGAAGAACGGGGACTGGTCGGATAATCTGCGCGATGCTATCTTGGGTGGCTCTAGCACGAGTGCGAGCGCCAGCGAAGGCAGTGGTCAGGAAACACCTAGTGGCAGTGGCTCGGACGAGGAGAGCGATGAGGAGATGGAGGGAAATGGTGCCCCGGGGCCATCTGCGCCTGCTCAGAAAGCAGCTCCTCGGAAGTTCATTGGATTTGATGATGACGACGAGTTCATGAGTGACTCGGAAGAGGAGGAAGACCAGCCTAAGGACTCCAAGGGCAAGGGAAAAGCAAAGGCTTGAGCTAGTGGACGACGTAGACGGTTGCCATGATGTTTTCTTTGCGCTGTATCTTTTGATTTACGTTATGTTTTCAGCGTTCCGCGAACAGGGCCAGGATGCGACTTTTTTTCTTCTTTTACAAAACCTTCGATGCATTGTATAGCATAGTAGTAATCAATCAAATTTTCACAGATCAGTTCATGTTGCTTGACTACGAATATAACTTGACAAAATCCCTTTCTTTGATGTGAGTAGAATGATAGGATTTGCCACAGCAGCTTTTTCGGTGATCCGCACCGACATCCGCTCCGGTGCTATCAGCGCTATCAATCGTTCTCCTCGCATACTTTTTACTCCGTCCTTTCAACATTCTACACCACCCCGTCATGTCATACTGCCTGGGACGGGTTGTCTCTAAATCCTGGCGATCAATCCAGGGTTGTCGCCAACTTCCCCGTCCGCCTCGATCGCTTCCCCAGAGGCTTCCATCTCGGAGCTTTCTTTCACGACCGCATAGCTTCCCCGAGCTCAGCTTCGACTCTCTGCCATTCAAACAACAACGCTTATTCTCCTCAACGACCCCGTCGCATACAATCCCGTCCCTCCGTGCCGAGGAATTCCTTCCTGTTTGCTGTCCTGGATGCGGAGCCTATTCGCAAACCCTCGATCCTGAAGAAGCTGGATACTACGGTGAAGCTAGAAAGCAGACGCGGAAATTCCTCTCGGAGGCAAGAAAAGAGACCCAGTCCACGTCGGAGAGCGCACCCAAACCAGAGCGTGCGTATAACCATATTTCTCTTTTTAACGTCTGTCGACGAGACTAATGCAACTCTAGATGATGTCCTTTTCGAACCCGGGTTCGCGCCCCAGAGCGAAGATTCAGAACAGTTACCTACATTCACACATGTCTGCGATAGATGCCACGACCTGTTACACCACAACAAGGCAATTCCCGCCGTCTCACCGACGATTTATTCTATCCGAGCACTCCTCGACGAATCCCCGCATAAACATAACCGCATTTACCACGTCATAGACGCTGCGGATTTCCCGATGTCTCTGGTCGATAATATCTACGAAGCTCTTTCCCTGCAGGACCAGCGCTCGCGAAACCGACGCGCAGGTTTGTATCAATACAAAGGGGGGAGAAAATTGCCAACTATTTCCTTCATCATCACGCGATCCGACTTGCTCGCGCCGACCAAGGAGCAGGTGGACTCGAAAATGGACTACGTGCGCTCTATTCTCCGCGACGCTCTGAAGTCACAGAGTGGGGACTATCGTCTGGGCAATGTCCATATGATTAGCGCACACCGCGGTTGGTGGACTAAGACGGTCAAGGAGGAGATCAGCGAGCATGGAGGCGGTATTTGGGTGGTTGGGAAAGCCAATGTTGGAAAAAGCAGTTTCATAGAGGCTTGCTTCCCCAAGGATTCGAAGACTTTGGAAAAATTCGCGGAGCTGGTTGAACGTCGCCGAGAGGAGGAGATGCTTATCTCCAAACCGATTCAAACATCGACGCCGGATTCCGACGGTCTCCTGCCTCCAGCCCCTCGGGAGGAACAGTACCCTATCCTTCCAGTTGTATCGTCACTCCCTGGTACTACCGTTTCACCCATTCGTATCCCGTTTGGTCGTGGCAGAGGGGAGATGATTGATCTCCCTGGGCTAGAGCGCACTGAAATAGCCAACCATGTCGTGGACTCGCACAAGCGTGACTTGATAATGACCAAGCGGATCAAACCTGAGCGTCACAGTATTAAGACGGGCCAGTCGTTGCTTCTCGGGGGCGGACTTGTTAGAATCACCGCGGTGAACCCTGACCATGTGGTGATGGCCGCCTGTTTCCTTCCGATTGAAGCCCATATCACCAAGACCGAAAAAGCGATCGAGATGCAAGCGCAACAGCGCCAATATCCCGGTGACAACATCGTGAAGGAAGGCAGTGGAGACACCATTGCATCTGCCGGTGTGTTCGACCTGAAATGGGACGTGACTCAATCGCATCTGCCGATCTCGATAGCCAAAGCGATGCAAGACAAAGGAATTCAGCCTCCCCGCTTGCCTTATAGAGTGATGTCAACTGACATCCTAATCGAGGGATGTGGGTGGGTCGAGCTCACAGTCCAGGTACGAGCTAATGCCGATGGCAACGAGTCTCCAAGGTCCTCGCCGCAAGTCGAGGTCTTCAGTCCCAACGGCCAACACATCGGTTCGCGGAAGCCAATCGAATGCTGGCGTTTCACCGCAGAGAAGAATTCATCTGACAGGCGCAAAAGAGCATCGCGGGGTCGACAGAGCATTGGCCAGAAGAAGCGCGCTCGTTCTTCGTCGTGAATACAAACAGTCTAGGACCCAAAGCTTGGGGTTCTTGAAGGCGGATTCAATTAACATTTGTATAACCTTGCATGGAGCATAGCGATTGGTGTTTTGTTGGATATAAAAGCAGTGCATATACGCTCAAATTTCTGTACATTATCATTAGATCTACGTTGTCACGTAAAATAATCTCCCATCTTGGTGGACTTCTATAGCATCAATCATTTCCTAGTGTGGACCAGGGCGCTAAAGATGAGCACATTATTAGTCTACAGCGGGGGACCTTCTGCTTCTCTCGATTCTCGTGTTCTCTCCCTCCATCCTTTGCATTCTGTTATTCACAACCATCTCTCTATCTCTATCTATCTTCCTATTTCCTTTTAAAACCCCATATTCGCCATATAACAAAATGCTCTCCTCGCGGGGAACCAAGAAGACCGAATCCCTTCACCGTCCCTGGCGATATGCCGCAGCGCATACCTACGACACAGAAACCAACCCCGAGGGGTTGATATCCTTTGGCATGGCAGAACATGTATACCAATGACCCAAGTCACCCAATACTCAGTCTCTAACTTCACGACAGGCTTCAATGCGTCAAGAGATCGCGACCTACATCAACTACAAGGTATCCAAGTGCTCTCTATTCCTCCAACTCATCCCAAGAACCAACCTCCTCATTGATTCTGCCCCTCTAGGTGTCATTCACAGCAAACGACATCGGCTACCGTCCTCGTCCGGACTCGCCCGCTCGTCTTCCCCAGGCCGTGGCGTCGCATCTAAACTCCCTTCTGAAGCCTATAGTTCCCATCGACGCTGACCACGTCGTCACTGCTAGCGGACTAACGGCCATCGGGAGCATGTTGGCCTTCACCCTAGCAGAAGAGTCGGATGGGATCCTTGTTGCTCGGCCTGTGTATGGTCGATTCGAATTAGATTACGGCGTCGAGGCCGGCGTCCAGATTGTGTATGCGGACACCGAGCCCGAGGAATCTTTCGCGCCGGGTGTTGTCGCGAAGTATGAAGCGGCGTTGAAGGATGCTGTAAGTAAGGGTATCACTGTTCGTGCTGTTTTGCTTGTGAATCCGCATAATCCTGTGGGTGAGTTATTCTTCGGCACATTGGTCCTGGTTCCTAGCTTGCTGTTTTGCGTTGTGTCGATGATACTGCTAAACAAGTTAACGTACTGACATGTCTGACCAGGTCGTTGCTATCCTAAGGAGACCTTAATAGAGGTCCTTCGGTTCTGTAGCAAGTATAACTTGCACGTTATCAGTGACGAGGTCTATGCCTCCTGTGTTTTTGATTCGGGGGATCCGCGCGCCGTTCCGTTTACATCGATTCTGTCAATTGATGCGAAAGCACTGATTGATCCGAATCTTGTGCATGTTCTCTGGGGGTTCAGCAAGGTATGATGGCGTTCGTGGGCTATTTACGAACTCCAAAATCCGCCTTCCAAGGGGCTTCCTCCTCATTAGAAGGCTGATTCAATGAATATCTAGACTGACTGACACCCAAACAACAGGATTTTGCAGCAGGAGGCCTTCACCTTGGCTTCTTGATCACTGCAAACGAGCAACTCCGCGAAGCATGTAAAGTCATCGTGTGAGATTGAGCCCTCCATACCCCTCCCTCCTTGCTCTTCTCGATTACTATAAACCGACAAACCGCAACATGACATGTTACTTATGGAGTACTTTTCTGCGGAAGTTCGAGGGCTTTCTCTTTCCGGAACGGGCTTAGGTCAGCGCTGCTTTCTGATCCGGGATCAGGTCCGGATCGTGGCAGGAGCGACACGGTGCGTGTGCTCATTGTCGCCGGATCGCTCCCGGAACACTCCGGGAGCGATCCAGGAAGAATCTGGCTGAGGTTTGGCGGATCCGAGATCGGCCTTACTCAGCCGTACCTAGATGAAATTCCTTGCCAAATAAAATATGCGCCGCCAAGACGGTGGATGATCCATTGGTTCAACCAATGTTTTGCCAACATGTTGATGCTCCCCACCCATTGCAAAAATACGGCCCCATCATAACGAAGGTATCCTCGTTGCCTTTAGCACTTTAAGTTACTTCTGATACAGCTAGACATTGTCCAGGTCAAAGGGAACTACACACTGTTAAGAAGTCTATTACAGTAGCACGGCTGGTATCATGCTTCATTCTAATCAAGCTCACTAACCTCTCGATCTCATCCGAAGGCATTAAGTAGGTTATCTCTAGAAATCTTCCTAAGCTTAAAATTACCTTAAAGCTTCTATAGGTGGTCTCGTTGAAACTCCAATGTCTTTGTTTACGGGTATTAATATATAATGTCATCCGATCGGTTGTGAAAAAGGAAAGGACAGGAGCCCTTCATAGTAGGTATAAAGCTCTAGCTTCTATGGGCAAGATAGCAGGCATAAGTCTCCAGTGGTACTTATTAACTAAGTAGTATTTCGTATTTGTGCCAGGTGTGTTCATGTATGTATGTCAAATTGCGCGTCGCAGATAGTATATACGGTAAAGGAGATGCGCTTGTCCTAGGCCCAGTCTCGAGACCAAGAAATAAGAGCCGGGAAGTCGTGGATAGGGTGGCTTAAACTAGTCAGTCCTTATATCCTTTCAGGTTCGCTTTGGGGTTGTGTTATTGGCATGTCGTATTGTATCTTGTACTTTCCCAGAAGCAGAAGACATCATGTCTAGTGACATAGACCCCAGCCACAGTATGACAAGGCCGTTAAGTGAAAAGACAGTTAACTACAATTCATCTGCTTATCAGGCCTGAAGTCATGTGGCTGCCTTCTTTTTGTTTGGGCTGCCCAATCCCGTACGCCTTAGAAAGATTCAACTATTCGGTCTATTCTCTAGATCCAAAGACATGGCAATCGACATACCTGCCTTCCACATGTCTATTTTACCTTGAAATGTCTGGAGATTCTTTCTTTACTTATCAGGCTGCTGTCAAGAGTGTGCGCTTGTTCACCATTACCTGCCAGGATGTTTCTAAGATATCTAGTTTTTTGTACTTTTGAGACCCTGCTTCCCTTTCTTGGACAGTTCCACCATATGGGGTCTGCTTTGGGGAACAAAGGAACAAGCCGCTTTTTGATGGATAGTGCCAGAACTCAAAAAGAATATAATATGGACTGATCATGAGTTTCAAAGAGATTGTATATATATGCGCAAGGGTAGTTAATCTAAAATCGATGACTAACCAGTTTGAATTGAAACGGTGGCCATCTTGTATACGAGGCTCTTCCATGAATCTATGTCGACTCACAATTCACTACCGCCATAAAAGTAGTATAAATATGTTGAACCGCATGATTATAGGGTGGTCACGGTGGAGGCTGACATCGTGTATTTATACAGGTCTTCTGACCGGCTTTCCATACAATCTATACATTGCTCCAATACTAGAGTAATTGCCAAGTTAGCCGCGTGGGGGATATGGGATGGATCCTCAGGAAGAAAAGGGACGTTTCACTAGAAAGAATCTATTCTTCCCAAAGCTCCATCTCGTAATCGACCAACCCATATTGTTCGAGTCGATCACAAAGCCCAGTCAATTTCTTTCCAAGGCTTCCCATCGGCTCGACACCCAAGAGGCTGGTGTGTTCCATCTGACAGCTCGCTTGCAGGATCTCCTCCATCGTATCTTTCTGCTTCTGACAAACGGCAAGCTAGCAGATATTAATATCCTTCCATAGTTGCAGTCGATTGAAGGGCAGAGCTTGGCCGTCACGGAGGCTGCCTGAACACAAGCGGTCCCAGACAGATGGTTTCCTGAGATTAGCCAGATCCGGGCTACCTTCTAAAGCGAATTTATAGAGTCGTCTTACATGTAAGCTTGATGCGAACAATATACTTCATCCACATCCTTAGAGGTGACCGCGCTAGTTGCGCAAGAGAAGACGAATGGTGGATAAGAAATTGTCATGGAGTGAGAGATGATTCAAATGCTAAATCAAACCAGATCAGAAAATAAGATACTTACCCAGTTCACGCGCATTAGACACCAGCCACTCCGAGGTCTCCAAGAGGCATTGGCAAGCCTTGTCCGATTGGCAGGTATGCAATTTATCCATAGTCGCTCGTAAGGCGTGCTTGAACTGGCCGTATACTCCTTTCAAGTTAGCAGATTTAGCGGGATCATGAGAGGTAGATTCTAAGATCCTATTAGGCCCTACAGCCCTCATCTCAGTCATGGTTGCGAGAAAGGGCTGGGCTGGATTGGAGCGTCCAATGAAACCGTAGGACGAGTCCAACGCCTGAAAGGCAGCAGCGTTGGGTTTATTAGGAGAGAAATACGGTGGCATGGCGCCTTGACTTATTAGTACATCCATTACCGCAGGCTGCCATACTGAACCGTAGGATGTCGCGGCATCATGTGGTATTTGTGTTGAGTTTGGCCTGTTGAGGTTGTACACCATGCCAGAATTATAAGATGCGAAATATTGGGGCCGCTCAGGGCCGACAAATAGGTTTGAAATTTTGGCGCCCGCAATGAAGCATCTTGAAAGGCAGCTTATGTGTATCCATACTGTAGATGAGCGGGCATTCGGCGTTGACTGGCGGGTTGCGCCACGTCCTCTCGTTTATCTGTTTGTTGTGTTTGAAAGCTGCTAAGAATAGATGTTTCGTATTGTAAATTCTCGCACTAGCCACAACGTGGCTAATTCATGTAACGATACAGTACGGTACATTACTGCCCAGACGGCAAGGCAGGATGATATCCACATGTGCTCATCATGGCTCAACACAACCAACCTTCGGCTTATTGGTGAATGTTTATGTTATCGTATAACCAGGCCAATATGCTAACAGAGCCTCATGTGGTGTTTTTGTGGAGTCTGAGCTGTTGAGGTTGTACGCTATGTCAGAAACTCAGGATCATAAGGTGCGAAATATTGGGGCCGCGGAAGGTCGTGCAGGGCCGATCTATAAGATTGCAATCTTCCACCTTGCAATGTACTATCCTGGAAGGTAGCACATGTGATCCATGACCTGGATTAGTGAGTATTGTCCACAATCCGACTCCCGATGAACGTCATATCTTCGCTGCTATCATAACCCTGAGTCCCTGCTTCACACGGAAGGGGAGGACCGAAAGCCGAGACTGTAAGTGCCGGGTCTTAGATGGTCGTGTTAATCACATACTTACACGAATACAGGAAGAGATTCGTGATTGAACACGAAGAAAACCTGATATTCGACCTATTAGGTCAGCTGATGGCGTTGGCTATCGGTGATGGCATCTTCGCCGCGACGATCAAGGACGTGGCGGATATTTACACAGTGCCCATCCCTGCACATCGTAGGGGTATTCAGATGAAGATAAAGAAAGAAAAGTTGGATATCCCGATATTTCGGGAGCCAGAGCATACTGAAGACGGCTATCGAACATCTGATAGTCAACCACTCAAGTCACGGACGTGGAGTCGCATCCTGAAACGACTTGGAATTCGGGCCGGTCAAGCGCATAACCTGACACAGAAAGTGCTTCGCCGGGGCGGAATCAACGCGATCAACAGTATGTTTCCTGCTACATGGATGTTGACCCCTATAGCTAAATGTTTCGCAAATAGACAAAGCCCCATCGTCTGTTCGTGATCAAATTGCGGATCATGAATCGAATGCTGTCAAATATTACCTTAATGAAGTAGTGGACTTTGACACCGCAGCAGCATTTCACAAGCGACCATCAAACGAAATTGTGCAACGGGAACTCCGGTCGGCAACACTTTTGGCGGACCATACCGCCCCCATCGGCCTCACCGATGCACAGTCTCGGAAGATATCACGGGACCCGGAAGTACGTCGCTTGAGAAGGATTTCCCGGGGGCTCACAGCGAGGATCCGTGCGATGGGCCTCACTATTAAGGATGCAACAAGAACAGAGGCTGGTGAGCAGAAAAGGCGAGCAGATGCGGAGCTGAACAGCATGCTCACCTGTCTCCGAGACAAAGCCAAGGAGCGAAACCGAAAGAGACATTTTAGGAATACCGACACAGCAATTTTTAATCAACAATATGAGGGCACTTCCGAAGCCGTGAACAGCGACGGACAGAGTCAACTGCCTCGCTATTACCATTTCTCTGAACGGGCGGAGCTCGTCCGTCTTCTGTGCTACTCTGCACTCGCGGAAACAACAGAAAATGCCCACCATCGTCGGCTCGAGTATGTACGACTTCTAGTCCGCTGGCAGCGTCGAAAGGAAAGCCCACGTCGAGGTAGGCAGGCAGCCATCACCATACAACAGATGCCAACTCCGACACCACCGAAAGCCAGAATTGTTCCCGAGAAATATCACCCCTTACAATGTCCATTTTGCCTCTCTGACACGCGCCTACCCCCAATTGACCGTATAAAGAGAAAATGCAAAACGAATAAACTGTGGGATCATGTGGAGAATATTCATTGCCAGGAACTAGCTGCATTTGACACAGGCAATCGTCGTTGTGGGATATGCAGCATAAGAGACATTGACTTTTTACTTTCAAGCAGAAACGAGTTCAAGAATCATACCCAGATGGTTCATGGAATCAGACTACGTCCGTGACCTATTTGTTCTTACCAGGCTGTAAATTACTCATTTGCAATGAATGGAACTACAAAATCTCTAGGTTGCAGAAGAATTTGCAAGCAACGCTTTCAGGAGCATCTAAGGATTATTAGGGCAAAAGCGCAACCCCCTCCCCCCAAACGAGATTTAACGTAAGTCAACAATGACTCCTTAAAAATGAATCAATTTCCTCACCGTATCTGAGTAGCCACCATCTTTATAGTAGGCGAATATCATCATGGTCTCTTGCCGCGTTAGAAATGAGAGAGGCTTTGAATTCAGCAAGTCTTTGAACACCATCAGGACAAAAGTATTTTCAAAGGACGGGGAGAGAAAAGAAAAGTAGTGACGACTTGTCTCCCTGACGAGCAGAGTCAAACAGAAGACACCGTTATTTTTAAGATATTCGTAAAACTACGCTATCATGCGCATAGGAGGGAGATCTTATAGCAAGGTCGATTATCTGTCCTTTCGTCTATTTGTACGTGGCTAGATGGAACTGGAAAAGACGACTCTATTCATAAAGGAAGAAGGGATTAGTCTAGAGCAGTTATAGTGCAAGGGACGACCTCTTAGTACGGTGATAGAGGGGAACCCGCGACTTGGGCGCGGTGTATTATTATTCTACCACCACCAGGACAGTGTGGCAAATATAAGGTAGCGCAGGAACTTTGCAAACTCACTCAACCCTCCCTCCCCATGAGCCAAGGATCCTCCAAAAGCTCCTTAGCCGTCGCCCTCTTCTCCGGTTCCCAAGTAAGAGTCTTCCGAAGGAAGCGAAGAAAGCCCGAGTTATCATCCAGTTTGGTTTCAAGGGATTCGATTGTCCGGTCATGCGGTATAGGTGCCAGACCCAGCCACTCATCTATAGTAGGTTAGTAACGCATCACTACAAGTGATCTTCATAGAAGAAAGGCATACTCCGATCATTCCAAAAGTCCGCCCGTCTCTCCGGATTCCTGGCCAGGAACTCAGGGGGCGGTGGGCCCAGTGCAGCAATCAGCTGGGCCAGATGAGCAGCATCGTACAGATCGCCGTCTTCGTCACGCGCGGTGAAGAGTCTTTTCGATCCAAGCATGTCCCATGCCTATGAGCTCTTTAGCTGGGAACTATGGGAATCGAATCCAGTACGACAGCGACTCACTGTAAGACCAACACTCCATATATCAACCGGGTAACTCCATCCCACATAAAGCAGTGTTTCAGGTGCCCGGTACTCCAATGGCATTATATCGCCTGCGTGAGGGCCCGGTCCGATTCTCGCTTCTCCAAAGTCAGAGAGAAGCATGGGTCCTTCCTTCGGTAGTGTTAACCGTGACAGGTAGATAGTTCGATCGGGATAAATCTTTCGCGTAACAGGGGACGCCATCTCCTTGTCTTCCAGTCGACGCAGGAGATTATTGTCGTAAAGGCCAAGCAGCATGTTGCCGGAGTGTACGTCTGCTAAGTATCAGTGGAGGAACTTGTAACATGGGCCCACGATCTCCGGGCAGGACTATACCAGTATGAACAATCTCTCCGTGGGAATGCAAAAAGTCCAGGGCCTTGAGAAGCTCAATAATGGCGCCCTTGACAAATTCCTCCTCGAACCCTTCTCGACGAAAGACAAATCTCATATCACGCAAACTCATTTGCGCGGGCTCGAAGACAAGAACAGTATGCTTGCCATGCGGACCAGTCACCTCAAAAGAGTCCAGCAGCTTTCGAATGTTGTTTATTCCTCGCACTTTGTATGATATTTCGGCCATACGACTATTGATACGGTCATAAACAGGCAATTCCCGATGACGAAGCGAGGTATGGACGTATACTTTAAGTGCGACATATTGGCGATCCCTGTGGAAATCAGTTATCGTTCAACTCGAACTTCTCGGAGGGCCTACCTCAGGTCTCGGGCCAGCCAAGTGGTCGACGAGGAACCAAACCCCAGCTTTGCCACAAATTGATAGCGATCTTGAAAAAGCTCGCCCAGTTGAACGGGATAAAATCGGTCGGCTTGATAATCAGGCAACTCCTCCTCTTCAACCAGCGTGTCGGCATCGACAGTGGTGTAGCCACTCGTTGGCAGGGCCCGTGGCTTCTCCAGCGCGGCTCTTTGCGGCATGGTGGAGAATGATTTGAGCGAAGATGTAATGATATCCCACAGCGAAGGCATTATGACTCTAGGGGAACGAAACGAGGAGGCCCCGATCGCTACTGTCTTGTGTGTCCGGTGGAATCGTAGACTAGCCGAGAAGCTCCAGACTCCTGTCCTGAGGAACATTATTGAATAGCTTCTGATCTGGTCAGCATGCTATCTTTATGCGCCGGCTAGCAAGTGGATGTTGTCGGACGCGTCGTGAATTGAGTTGCGTCATTTACCAGCAAAGCCTTTAGCGCGCGTTGAGAGCTGTGCGGGAGACCCACACGGCTCGGTATCATCATTGGCCGATCGCCCCGTTATGTATCACCACCAAGCGGCTGCCAAAAACAGAAATAAACAAACTGACGTGCTTAGACCTCGCCTAAGCGCCATGACGATGATCCAAATACTTATCTACTGGATACAAATATCCGTATTCTTACCCTCCGCCTCATGAGCCGTTTCATGCTGACTTTAGTGCCCATCTCATACCTTTATAGCCTATCAATGGCCTTTGTTCACCGGAATGCTCTTGCGTCCCCGAGGCTGAGCTCGTCATGTAGATCATTTTCGACTTATCCATCGGCCCAATGAATATTTCGTTGTTATCTGCAAGCGCCATATACTGAATTTAAATCAGGGGATGTGCGAGACTGAACTGCTATTAGTGGCCGGTGGCGGTCCTGATCAGCGGGTTGCCAGCACTCCATCCAGTAGAGTTACATCGACATTGCCGCCCTCTTATGCTAAATACGACTCCCACCTGTTTCATCTGGCGCTCAATTTCTAAGTCGTGACGTCGTTACGTGCCATGCCGGTGCAGGAGTTGTGAATATAAACAGATCCCAATCCTCATGGCCGAGAACTAATTCACTCAGTCTTCTCATTATCTATCCATTTTATCCCATCAAGTGCTCTGAATATTCCACGCAATGTCTCTCAACGCTGTCCGCAACTTTTCGAGTACCACCAAAAAGAACCTTCTCAAGCTTATTGGAAAGGTGACCTTGGAGGACGTCCGGACGTTGAACAGCCCTGACGGCGAAAGATGGGTCTCTTCCGTGCACAAGATCCGGGACGAGGTTGAAGACTTGGTAAGATCTACCTCCCTATTTTGGCGGTACAATGTTCTAACCCTTGCTAGTATGACAATGTTACCGAATATGAAATCCAGTGAGCACACCAGCCTTCACCGAAATCTGTTTTTGTATGTGAAGATTAACGCTTGAGATAGGGGTGGCAAAGCCCACAAGTCAAAGAAGGACCCAGCAGACCCGGATGACGTCATCACTGTAGGTTTCTATAGCAAGAGCGGCACGCGATTGCTCAGTGGGCATGTTCATGCAAACGGGTCTTACAAGCTGGCCGAGAGCCGTGCAGGAAGGGGCAAGGGTAAAAGCCAGGGCAAAGATTGATTCTCTCGGGAACCCCTGGCAGAGTGATGTGAGTGAATTTGGTTTACAAGTGGACCTGCATCACTTCGAGCGGAAATGGGCCTTGCGCAGCAGATACTTGGGTAGGCAGATTCTGCGTTCTTGCAGCAGTTTAGGTGTGGTTTTCACGGGTTTCATATATCCAATGTTGTATTTAGACTCGATAAGTGGTTATCTAAATTTCAGTTTTGGTCCAACACAACTCAAGAGCGCAATCAAGCAACGCACTTTTAGTAGACTGGTGTCAGCTTGCTGGCTGGTGTAGCTCTGCATATTTGAAGCAGAAGGAAAGATCGGCGATCGTAAACATGCAAAGGATTGGTTGCCTCTTCTCAAAGGAGGAACGGAATGTGAAAAGGACGGAGTGTAGATCTAATAGGCGAGGCTGAAACAGAGCCAGCATGCCAGCATCACAGCATCGGGCGGAGGAAGCCTATGGCCGTATCACCATTGCTAGTGAAGCTGTGGGTTCACGTGGAGAAGATTCACTGCCAGGAACTAGCGGCATTTGACACTGGTAATCGTCGCTGTGGGATATGCAGCATACGAAACATAGATTTTCTGCCTTCCAGCAGAAATGAGTTCAAAAACCATACCCAGACGGTTCATGGAATCAGACTACGTCCTTGACCCATTTCTCTATCAGTATGTACAATAATTTTTAACAATGAATGGAACTACGAAGTCCCCTGGGCTCCAGGAGAATGGGAAAGCATTGCTTTCAGCAGCATTCAAGGTTCAGTTTCTCGACCGCAAATCTTTCACTGGAGACAGCATTTTTCAAGATTGTGGACCGAAGTACGGCCGGCTACTGACTTGATAACATTGCAGCAACTTACTAACGAACCGCGTTATCATCTTGTTCACCTTCCAGGTACTCCTCCGAGACTAATGAATTGTGCAGGGGTATAAAAGGTTTTCTGGACTGTAGTTGAATTAGTTGTAGACTAAACTGGGCGTTGTTATTTTAGCTGAGGCGGTCCACTATTTTAGACTCTACGAAAAAAAAAAATTTTCGCTCATCGCGGAGGCCAAGCTGCTCATAAAGGAATGCTTTCCTGCCAGTCAGCAGATATAAAGCAAAATTGAAACCTACAGATATTGCCTTTTTCTGAGTATGAACTTTGCCATTCGGCGGGCGATGTGATGACAGATAAGTAGCCCACAGTGAATGAGGTATTCGGTATGAAACCAGACAGCTGAAATGTACTATCAAGACTTCAGTGGAATTATTAGGAAAGCGAAACGTGAATCATAATTAGTCTACAATGGCTCCTGATAAATTAAACAATTTCCTCACGGTCTCTGAATAACCATCCTCTTTCGAGGAGGCAAATATCATCATGGTCCTCTTCCGCGTTAGCAATAAGAGAAGCTTTTAGTTCAGCAAGTTTTTGAACAGCATTATCATACTGCCCATTGCTGATCCAGCCATCATCGCTCACACCTCCAAGTTGGTCACGCCAATGATTTACGACCTTATTCAAGTCAAACCAAAGCTGCTCCTCCTCGTTAAACTCATTCATTTCAGCTTCGGTGAACTGGACTGGGCAAGGTAATCCTTTTGTATCAGGTAGGTAAGACCAGTATTCAATCATGCGAACTAAAGCTCCCTTCAAAGTCATCAGATTTCCACTCCATTGCCTGCCTGCCCTATCCACAAGATGCTGACGTGGAAGTAGTATTGGATCACGCAGAGCCTCGAGGTGCGGTTTGTTGAAGTGACCGTTAAGAATACGATAATAGTAAGAGAGGAGGCGTCGGTTATAAAGTTCACCGGCTTCAGATTTGTCCTTCCCTGTCAATGTCTCATAATCCAGTGGAAGTGAAGGCTCTTCAAGATTGAGGGATTCTTCGGTATCTGGACTTTCAAAGGCACGAGGGTAGCCCGCAACTAATAGGCGAGGCTCAATAGTTGTGTGCTGCCAGTCAACGATACATGATATGGCACCGGAGTTAGGTGAAACGAAAATGTTGTTTGGGTTTAGATCTCAATATCGTTAGATCTTATTAGTGAAGCAATTGGGTAAACATACCTGGATGACGAATAGTTGGTCGATTAAGTGTACTGGTGGGGTTTTTGGGAAGAAGGTATGGAGCCAATGCGAGATATTTTTCCAACAGAGAGAGGTAATCATCTGGGGATTTTTTCCCAGGAAACACGCCATTGTGTGGAAAGTCGAGTTCCATTGACTTCCCATATCGCCGAGTCCATTTGATTTCTTTTGCCGCAATAGACACAAGGTACTCCTTAGGATCATTCCCTATGACAGTCAGACTGAAACCACGAATGGTAATGCCGGATAAAACCCACATGGTCCACGATACAGGTCGAGGCTGGCTCGTTTCCCATACCAAAACATGTAATCTGCGGTAGGGCCAATGCAAAGCATGTCATGTTCAGCATCATTGCCAATATTAGATATATACAATGGCGCTTGAAGCTCAGGAGGAACATCTTTCTTGAAGTAAATACTCCCAGTAGCGCCGAAGGGAATGTCAAAGAATTTTCTCTCAATCTCAACAAAAGTGGATGCGAGCTTATGTCGTTCGCGTTTGCTCATGCTCGACCACTTAGTCTCCAGACCAACACCTGGAGCCTTTTCCATAACGATGTACTCAACACCGGCAGGATTATTCTCTGTAGCGGAATACCCATAAACACTTGGCACAGGGATGCCTTTGGAACGAAGATAATACAAAGTGGCAGCTTCACTGGCGGTCGCGTAATGTTTGGGCCCGGTAATCTTGTATGGAATCTTGACAATGGCCTGGAAACCATCATCCATAACTAAAAGGAAAACCCGATTGAATCCTCCTTCTGCAAGCTTCGTGATGCAGCCAGCCTGTCCATGGCTGGTCCCTATATGCTTCTCTGCTTCTCGCAGAAGGGCGGCGGGGTCGAATTCGGTATATCGTTCACGTAGTCGAATATCCTCGTTGTATAGAAACCTACCAGAGGTGTAAGAGAATAGGTCACGATTTGTTAAAGCACCTGGACAAAAGTTTTCGTGTCATTACCCCATAATTCTGATGGTGGGATGGTGTTATACTAACTCATGTAGGGATTCTGTTTATATGTATGCAGATTGCGCGAAGTGGACGACTGAATGTATCGATTGATGAAGCGCGTAATCATTTCCGACAGAAAGTCGAAGCTATGGATTCGTACGCTAGGCCAATGACAAAGATTAGGACAAAGAAGATAGACTTGAAAGAAAGGTTTCACAAAAGGCCCTGATGCTAGCAATGTGGGTTTAACAGACGATTTGTCTCTTGGGGATTGATGTCGATATTTAAAGGAGTCGATCATGGCGCGAAAAAGGGCTTTCGAATTTACGGAGAGTTCTCCGACATGAAGGACAATTAGTAAGCGACGCTAATCGGCTGCTCTCTTATGCTCCACTTCATCCCCACTTCCTAGTCTATTTTAGTCTTCTTGCCCCCTTTCCCTCCTACTCCATCCTACTGCATCCTACTGCATATTACTCCATTCTACTCCCTCTTACCCCTCTTACCCCTCTCACCACTAGACTTTTACTCCCTTTTATTCCCTTTTACTCCTTCCTACTCCTTCCTACTCCTTCCTACTCCTTCCTACTCCTTCCTACTCCTTCCTATTCCTTCCTACTCCATCCTACTCCTTCCTACTCCCTCCCACTCCCTCGTATTTCTTTCAATGTCCCCGAAAATGGAAAAGCCAAAATTGTCGGATTTCGAATTTGCCGACTTTCTCGAGAAAGAAAGAAGGACATTCAATGAGCGTAAACGGCCATTATTGTCCTACCAGGATGATAGACTACGTTCATGCCTACGACTCCTTGGCGAAGACACTATATCCAATAGTCTATCTGATACCCAGCGTCTTGGAAGGTCGAGGGCACGAAAAATATTGATTGAAATATTTCGACGCCAAGGAGAGACTGCTTTCTTACTTGTCGCCATCGCTGCTAGTGTTTCTAGAATACAGAAAATGTCCGACGACACCATTAGGGATGTGCACCAGTGGTTTGATAACACAACACAATTTCCGTTTGGATTGGTCATGACAGCACAAGAAATATGCGATGAGTCGTTCAGAAGGAAATATTCACCAGGTATGGTAACAAATTCTCGTAAGAATTGAATTTCTGACTTTTGATAGATAGCAGCCTAGGCGCTCTTACCATCTCAAATCAGCCCCCTCCAACTGTTGTGAATCTCACGTTTACTGAGCTTCTGGAATTTCTCCAACGCAATCAAGCCAGCTCGCCTATGTTGCAGATGATATGCCCGTTATTTGGCTCGCCCTTACCGTCAATTGACATAAATCTGGATGCATCATCGGAGAGAACCGCAAGGATCGAACTTTCTCTAAGAGCAAGCGAGGCCCTGATAAGTCATATAAGATTATCGAGGGACCTAACCGGACACGTGAAAGCATCGAATTGAAGGGCTTTGATAAATCCTGCATGTTTCGCCGGGCTTGATAATAACTAAGGAGATCCCAGAGCTCATTCCCGGTCCAGACACCTCATTCAACACGGGGCTAGTATCTACCCTTACAGCGCCCCAAGCGCTGTCCTTCTTGACAAGGAGGGCAGGGATTGACGGATTGATAGTTTCGAGGTCGACACCGATCGTCCATTCCTTATCCAAAATGACATCTTTTTTGACCTGTGCGTATATAGTTTAGAAATTGTTATAGCAAAAAAGGAAGGCACCGTCGACTGACGAGCCATCGTATTTTCCGACCTTTGATTTAACCAGATTTTTGAGCTCTTCTTCATCATGTGCAATATTATCCACCGATATAGCCTCGCTCTTATCCGCCATCCTCGTGTATGACGTCTCAAATATCCTTGCGAGTTGGGTCCGGTATGGGAAATTGTGGGAATTTGCGAGTAGGCGATTGATCCTCGGCAGGCTTTGAAGGGAGAAGATAGGCGATGCGATTTATGGAAGCACGATCGGTTGCGTGAAAAGTTGAAAAGATTGCGCAGTGTCTGGCTTTATATTGTATAAATCTGCATTCGGAAAAGGGAAATTCAACGTGATAGTGAAGCTTGAACAATCTCGCAACAGCAGTTGTCCGACATTTTTGGTGGGGTTTCTGTCACCTGCCCCACGGTCAGATATGACTAATTCTTGCTTCGGGCACCGCTGCATGTTACTTAAGCTTAACGCGCGAAATTCGCCGCCTCGGCAATTCCGTGGAGCAGTTTACATATTCAGTTTGACGGCAAAAGCCAGTGACAATCTTAATCGTTTTATACTAGCAGCATGGCATACTATTAAAAGATGGTCAGGACTTCTATGTACGGCAAGCACTGCATTGTCTGCCTGGTTCTTCCGTGCTATTCGCTTCAAGGATAAGTACAAACATAATGGAAGGCCAAGAGCAGATTGAGAAGTCTCATAACTCAGACCTGCAAACAATCACGGTCTTTCAACAGACCCCAGAATCTTGAGACACATCCATCAACCCTAAAGTCCTTCAAGTGAATTTCTCACAGCAGCCTCGAATGTTTCATCGTCCGGTTCAGTTCCTTTCAGAATATACAATGTAGCCATCACTGCATGTGTGCCTCCATTATTTTCACGCCACTCTTTGATCGTAGAAGGAACTTTGCCAGCATTTGGCTGGAGCTGATATTTGTGGTATTCTTTTCCATCTTCTTTAGTGATAACGCCATCGTAATCCCAACGTACCCCATAACGAAGCAGGTCGGCCTGTGTTTTCGGCCATACTGTCTTCCCGCGGTCGGCGGTCGGATTGAAGAATTTCTTGAGGTCGGCTGGGCGTCCTGTGATAACTTTTCCCACGGCGACGATCGATTTGAACAATTTCCCCATGATGTTATGGGATCACCTAGTAAAGTTAAAGATGTATCCTTTGTTCTTTGTTCTTTATCTCACTCATTTTCTCACCAGGTTTGCAGACAGATATACCTCTGTAGATACGGATCGGAGCTGATAAAGGCACTAAATTCACACAGTGCTGCTTCAGTGGATTTTGAATACTACAAGATTGGAAGGGATGTTGCTCGCTTTTAACGCCAGAAGAAACATTGTGTTGACATAGTAAGTGATACGCCATACTAGAATTGGGGTTCCCGAAATAAAGGTAGAAGTGGGCAAGAAAGAGTAGAAAGGAGTAGAAAGGAGTAGGAAGGAGTAGGAGAGAGTAGGATGCAGTAGGAGAGAGTAAAAGTCTAGGTTGTGAGAGGGATATGAGGGAGTAGGAGCGAGTAGGATGCAGTAGGAGAGAGTAGGATGCAGTAGGAGAGAGTAAAAGTCTAGGTTGTGAGAGGGATATGAGGGAGTAGGAGCGAGTAGGATGCAGTAGGAGAGAGTAGGATGCAGTAGGATAGAGTAAAAGTCTAGGTTGTGAGAGGGATATGAGGGAGTAGGAGCGAGTAGGATGCAGTAGGATAGAGTAAAAGTCTAGGTTGTGAGAGGGATATGAGGGAGTAGGAGCGAGTAGGATGGAGTAAAAAGGAGTATAGGAGAGTAGAATCCAAATGAAGTTCAAGTATTGGTTTCCTTGTTCGACATACTCGTTTAATGGGAATGGCTATTGTATGAACCCGATTAGTTTTTTCTCATCGACAGATTTGAGTGAATCTGAATATTTCCCGTAAAGAAAAATATGTATGTGATAAACATGCACTATATTAAAATATTTAAATTTTAAGATTGGTTTACATTTCTGAATGAAGATAGATATATAAAACCGAAAAACATCTCAGGTGTCCACTGCATGTTCTCTGGGCAGAGGTACGTTAGTCGGATAATGCTTCTGTTTTAATATTTCCTACATACCCATTGATTTCCCTCCCATTGTTGACCATGGATTGTTTTGGTATCGAATTTGAGCATATAATGATCCCACGATGGCTTAGGAGACTCTACACCAGCGCATGCGGATCAGATGACTTGACGGACTGGGATCATAGCCCAGATTATGATGACAGACGCTTATATTCTTCGTGGAATGCGAACGTACTAGCTTCTAATGCCCCGCGAAGTGAGCGAAATGATGCCAAGATGTACTTGGATACAGAGCCTTCATCCTGTGGATATCGACCAAATTCGTCTGGTGGGATTGATAGGAAGATGCCACAAATCCCAACCCCGCCAAATTCTCCACTGACTCCTGATTCCGTGTGTCTCGCATATGCTCCATCCTGGTCTCGAATGCCAGCTCTACTGGAAATGCGTAAGGATCAGCCATTACCAACGACAACTTCCTGCACGCCGAGCCCTGAGGGCACAGAAGACACTAGTGTGATCCCCAGTAATAGTAAGTGGTTCCAAGCCATATTGAAAATCAATTCATATTGACTGAAAGGTATCTACAAGAACGGGGACCCTGGAGTTTACCTATCATTGATGAGGCGATGCTGGTCCTGGATACATCCCAGTCAAGCAAATATGAAGGCGTAATCTTTGGCACCTCCATGGAGCCATCTCTAATGCTTCGTATTAAAGGTAGGGGCAGATTCCGTTGCCCCCTATCATACTTCAACCGGCAGGATCAGGCTCTGTTACGATGGAAACTGGGATTCCTGTTGTCACAAAATGAATGGGCCGATATTTGTAAACATGGATTCGTTTGGAATTGAGGTGCACCAGCCGACTGTACTTGTGGATTTTATGTATGTAGGAGCACCCCAGTCAGGCTTCACCTAGTCGTTTTGTGTCCTGAAATACGTTTGATGTACATACGAGTACCCCGGCCAGGATCAGCTAGGCCGCTCCATGTCCTGGAATAGAGGTTGGTTCTCCAGAGTAACAAAACAGAACAGATTTTTCTCACTTCTGAAAAAAAAAAAAAAAAAAAAAAACAAACCCCGGTAGTTTCCCCTTAGACGTGCCGGAGCCTAGACCAGCAATGGAGAAACGGGCTGTTCTTTGCATAGGTATAGGAGTACTTTAGACCCCTTGATGCCCGCAAGGAAAAGGGCACAAGGCGCCTCTGCTTTTACAATTTTGCTGTGCAAAATGGCCAGCCTGCAAATGCAAAACCGCACTCTTCTAAGAG